ACTTTGTAACTCTTGTAAAACAAATTTATCCCAGCCTGATTCTAAAATGTACTTCTCCAATTTGGATCAAAACAGTGCAATACCTTTAAACTTGGTTTCACAGTGGCACTGAAGAGTCATGACAGCGTTTGAGACTGGAGTCAAAAAAAGAACAATTCATCTATTGAGTCATAAGCAAGGTTCTACCAAAACGGAATTAGCATTTACCTTCTATTGTTTCAGTGCAAGAAGCCTATTGCTATGTAGCATCTCCAGTTATTTCTGTAGGGCGAGAGCTAGTGCTTGTCTGAACACAGAGATTGATGCCCTGCATCCCTCCACTAAAATGAATTGGGAAGCTCCATGTGTGCATTGGAATTTCTACACCTGGAACAGATTGCTTAATTAGACATCGGTATTCAGTGCTTGTTGTTTCAAAATAAATCCAGTTATGCAAGGAATGAAGCATGATGATCTTTGTGCATATTGTGTGAGAGCTAATGTTTGTCGGCTTTGTACTTATTTGATTTCCCCCTTCTAAATTCAGTTACTATATTGTTTCATATTTTGTCTAGTTGACGTGTAGAGAACTATTCTCACATTACCTGTAGGTTTCACCTGCGATGCAGGCTATTCTTGTTAGCATATTTTTTTTGGAGTATATATTGTTCCCATAAAGGAACATATGCAATTATAATGAGTTAACAGGAATATTAGCAGCCCAGCTCAGACTGCCAGAGGTTACTTAGATTGGTGGCAGGATCTGTCCTCTTTAGCAAGGAAGCCAAGAGTTTTCAGTTGTGATGTATAAATTGCAGTCGGCCAATGTGAATGGAAAGCTCTTGTAACTCGCATCTCTTTAAGAGGTGTTGGCTCTTCTTGCAGGCATATGCTTGGTGGCTGCTCTTGCAAAAAGCAATGGTATAAAACTGTTGGAAAATGTTGCCCTCAAGGTAATTCTCCCCTGTAGTTTTGTCTGTTGGTGAGAATAGTTGCTTGCCTCATTAATGAAGGAGGCCAATCTGATACGCCTCTTTCGTTAAGCAACCAACAATGAACAAAGTCATTCAACCAATATAGCGTCAATTCTTCTTGTAAAAGGCATAGGAAAGAATGTTTTAATTATATGGGGCTGAATGCTGCCATCTTTGCTTTTTTTTAGCCAGTGGTTTAGCCACCTTACTGTACATATACTGTCTTTATGGTTCATCATCTCACTCATTAGTTAACCTCCCACATGAGGCAACTTGCTCCTCCGGTCCTGGTTTGAGTCGAAACCATAGTTTGCCCTTTCATCTGAACCAGCAAACAGTGGCTTGCACATGCGCTGCAATCCAGGATCATTATTTATAGTGTCTTTCTGAAATAATGTAGGAAGTACTCTCACCTTACACCCTCAGTATAGCTTTAGCATAGACTTATTCTAATACAAAGAGTGCTGGTCGGATCACATCGTCCATTAGTGGTGTAAACTGGGTTGAGGGTGCAGGAAGAGGCAGAAATGTCAAGTCATTAGCTGGTATCTGATACTCTGGTTGCTTTAATAACTGGACTTGCGTTTGAATCAGTTCATGTTGCTCAGTTGCTTCTTTTGAAGATAAATGTTCCCAGCCTTAAGGTTATGGTAGGAAGATCTTGAAAGAGGCTCTTAAGAAATCTTTGCTTAGGCAGCCATTCTGTAAAATGAGCACAGAAAACATACAATCAACTCATCCAACAGAATGCCTATGGAATTCTACACATAGCAAAAGGGTATAGTAGTATATTTAAATTTCTTTTGCGCTTTGAGGCTTAGAAAGTGCATTCCAGAAGTGAAGTGAATACTTATTTAAATAAAGTGTTATAATTTCACACACACACAAACACACACCCCTTCAGTATTTCCATACAAATTTCTTTACCCTTCCTGTGCATTTGCATTACTTGGGGCAGATTACAGCAATCAAAAACAAAGCTATCCCATTAAAAACCAAAAATTATCAGCAGATAAAAACATTCTTAAATTTCTGATTTACAATCCTATTTCTGTCACCTTCATCACGCACTTTAGACAAGTCACACTTGCTCTTTTCTTATAAATTGAGATCAGGGATCAATTGCTTACTCAGGATGGGGATAAGAAGGAGATAGTCGCCAAGTTTCTGCAACACACAATGAGGATTCGTGAATGTTATACATTATACAACATTAACCTAAGTGTTAGATATGGGTTTCTGATGAGTGCTTTACTGAACCCTTCTGGAATCTTGTATATATGCCAATAAAGGTTTGAGAATATGTCTCATATGGTCACATAACTTGGATTGTCCTGGGGTCAACTTCTAAACTGCAAAGTTTCACATTTTACTTGGGGGTTTTGTTTTCTCCTTGTCTTTCAGACCACAAGTTGATGAACTCACACTAGTATTGTTCAGCGGGCCCCAAATGCTATTTCAACTTGTTCCTGTCCGAAGTCTCTGAAATAGACATTTTTTGGCATATGTTCATGGGAGAAAGATTATATGTAGAGAAAAAGGAAGCTGGGTCTTCCCACTAGAAATGTTGTTGTTGTTGTTGTTAAGTGATTTTGAACAATAGATGCATTTTTAGAAGATCATAATTATATTATCATAATAATTGTAGCTTAAGGATTCTGGGAAATTTGCCAGCTTGCCAATGAGATAACTAATACATAACTATATACAATTCATTTCCTTTAAATAAGGCCCACCTGCACAAGAATCTTGTTGTGATTGAAACATATTATTTTTCAGAATCAAAAATGGTTGCTAAATCTTCCCTTAGAAGGGGATGGCAGAAAGTGAAAATGTCCCAAGAAGTGAAAATACTTGTGTCAGAAAATGGAGAGAATTACTAGAGCTTTTATTTGAGTTCCATGTTTCCCCCTCGCTGTATAGAATTTCTAGAGAGCCCTCAGGTGATAACTGCCATTGATCCATCATTCTCCTATCATCAGCTAGTTTAATAATAATACCTTTATTGTCAATGTACAACCTGTGTACAATGAAATTAACTGATTCTTAATCATTATTAACATCATATATTTCTCTTGAGAAATCATAAATATTGGAAGAAAAGAGGCTGCAGCAGCTCTCAGATTTAATTCCATGCAGTAGCCATCTTCCGGTACCCCTTCCTTTTTAAAAGGCGCTTTGCCATTATTTATCCAGGCTGTGTTGTATCCTTCTTTCCTATGCCATGGGCCTGGTGGTCACAGGAAATTTGGGTCTCGCTATTTCATTAGCCCATTAAACCATATGTAGTTTGCTAAATTCTAAATCATGTCTGCTGCTTTTTTTGTTTTTATATTTGCATGATTTTAAAATTGTACATTTTGATCATTTGTCTGCCTTGTGTAGTTTTAATTATATTGTAGCTTTATTTTTACCTGCCTCCATGAGAACAGTAAACAGAATACCAGTGGATTAAAGAAATGACTCAGTGAATGAATGAATGAATGATGCCATTTTTAGCAAATGTGCCTCTCAAATATTTGTCTTCTGGATTTCAAACCGATTCCCCCCACCCCAGCAACTTTGTCTGTGTGTATGTGTGTTTTCATTCTCTTGATTAGTATTTGTGGTTTTTCTCAGTTTATTATAATCTGCCCTTTTAATTAACCTACTGCTTGACTCTCTCTTCCTGGCCATTAATGAAGTTATTAAATGAGACAGCATCTTATGGTGATCCCTGCAGCACCTCAGCGTGTGCTAACAGCACAGAACAAAAGAAGGTCCATCGCAAGATGACCTTTGCCAGTCCAACCCAACTCTCCACATGGTCCTTTTAATTGTCTTTTGGAAAGCAGACACTTTGGAGAAAGGAGCCTCAGAGACCCTGGGGGAATTAATGCTCTTGCTGAGACTTCATTGCTTTGGTCTTTTGTGTCCCCACCGTGTTTTTCCACTGAGCTGCTGCTCTTGATTAGCCTTTGAGGTGCTTTGCATCTCTCTCTGGCTCCAGATCCTCTGTAAAGTTTGTTCAGTTTCTTAACAACACACCCAGCCACTTTCTCATGTGACCAAATTCTTAAGAACCAAAAAACGACAGAGAAGTTGGGATGGAGGAATTGAAATTTGAATTGAACTATTCACCATTTATAGATTCCCATTTCTCTTCCAAAGGCTGCTTTATTATTCCCCCTCCTTGCACCGTCAACATAAAAGGCGGAATTAATGGAGAGATAATTTTAAAGAAACCATCTCCCTGACTAATGGGTTGTTATAGACAGTCCTCCCAAGGTGTCGGCCAGTTATAAAGGAACAGCACTTTAAAACTATGCCTCTGGAAAGTTTATTCGTTCTCTTATCTCTTCTAAGGTTAGGTACACTTGGTCAAAGGGGCATAGAAGAACTGAAGTGCCTCTGTAATTTGCAAAGTAGTGGAATACCAGGAAATTAAATTACTGGAAAGTATTGACTTTGGTGATACTCAGGACTTTGGCAGGCAATAGAATTGCAAGGTATTAACATCAAGGCTGCTAGGTATAACCACATTTAGACATAATCTTCTTTTTTTCTTTCTGTTTCTCTCTAGATTTGCCACAGGATGAATTACAGGAAGCAGAAAAGCCATGAAAAGCGCAAGAGAACCCTCAGGAGGATTTTAAAATCTGTGCATTTACAATCCAGCAGGAACAATTTATTTTCCTCTGTAGTGAACGCAACCAACCTCAAGAAGGAAGTCCACTAACAGTGCAAAATGCTTCCAATTGCATCCAGGCACCTGGCTATCCCTTACTTTGACACACTTTCTTATTAACAGGTTCTGGACCACTTACCAAGCAGTCATATATGTATGGGGTTATAAGTGCTCTTTAGAAATTCTGATGCTCGAACAAAGACTTTATATACCAAGAAATGCACGTACGCACACAAGCATTTCATGCGTATATCTCAATTTTTAAGCCTCTCACTGCCCAGTCTGACTTGAGGTTTGTTAATTTTGCCCTAATGTTACAGCTTTGATAAAAGTTAACAATCTCCCTGTCCCCCTTCAGCTAATGAACTATGTTACTAGACTTACCATTTAATATCCTCAATAATACATATTTCCCTTTTCCGGCTCCCTCCTGATATTATTCTTGATAGTAAAATCTTCATACCTGGCTTTTGGAAGTTCTGAAACTCAGGGATATAAAAATGAGACTAGTTTAATTATTCATTTATGCCTCAACCATATATTTTACAGAATTTCAAAATCTGAGAGAGTGGTTTGATTTTAACTATGTAACTTCATTTCTCATATCTGCCAGTCTCAACTTTCAGGGCTCAGTCCTAAAATGTTGGTGTTTGGATATGAAATAGCAGATTTCATACAATCTTGAGTTTGAGAGTTGCAGCCCTAAAAGGTCAGGTGTTGGCTCTAAAATTGAGTATTTTATATACGATAACGTGCACAAGAAAGCATGTGGAAAGGACTAATGATGCCAAGATGAAAATAGGGTTAATTCAGGAACATGTACATTGAACATGAACATTGTGTGAAAATAACTCAGGTCCGCCTCCAATGCTAAATGCTTTAATTAAGGCATATGCTTCTACTTTTGTTTTGGTCCAGCTGGTGCACCACAGATTACAAAATGAACAAGCCACTGAAAGTATCACTCAAGGATTGGGTGCAGAGATAAGTACCACCTGACCCACCTCAGAGTAAGCATATATTGTTGGCAAGGACTAAGTTATGGGCAAAATACAGCCTGTTAATCGCTTTAAAATAAGCATATGCTTAACTCTTCCACTGAAATAAATGGGACTTAAATATACTTTATTCTGGCTGGATCACACCCAAAGTCATTGTCATTTCCTTCCATTTTGGGTCCTGTGAAAAATCACTATGTGATTACCATTCCTCATTGTAGAATTTTGTCTTCTGCAACATTGGGCACAATTCCAATTCATCTTTTTCTTCGGCCTGCGAATACTGGAGGAGAAAGCATCTCAGGCTTATCTCTGTCACTTTGTCTGTAAATTGGCTTGTTTTGAATGTTCTGCTCACCCCCCCCCCCAGCATCCACTTCCTGTTTGTGTTCGGTCAGATCGGGGTTAGGGTAGCCTATTTGCTGTGGCTGATTTAGTATTCAGCGGAAGTAGTGCTATAAAGTGAAGTTGTATCTGTCCCGCTTTTTGCTAACTTCAGTTTTTTCTGGTAACTCGCATTGTAGCTGTAGACTCTTGGCTAGCCAGGTGCCCATATTTATGTTTCTGTTTCTCTGCCCATAGAGGCCTTTGGTGGATGTATTTGGGACTAAGCCCAAATCAGTGATGCAGATTCGCTTAGTGTTTGTTTGTGCAATATTGCAACCTTTGGATTTGAAGTCACAGTTCAGTGTTGGCCGCCCCAGATCTCGTTCTGATGCAGGAAAATAGTTTGAATTATGGCATCAACACACTTTGGGCAAGCTTTTATTTGTGTGTCGTATCTCTTTAGATGCTGCTTTGTTCTCTTCCTGCTGCTGGATCTTTGTTTCAACATGGCTGTCACAGTTTAACATGTCTTTAATAGTGAGGGCCTCATCATGAGGGTGTGTGGGTAGGACCCAGATTTTAGGCTAAATTCCTTCCTACGCATTTTCCTGCAGGAGAAAGTTGGAAACTCATGAAATGGACCTGTTGTGTATTAACGGGAAGCACGTGTGTGTGTGTGTGTGTGTGTGTGTGTGTGTGTCTTTCCCTGTTTCAGGGACCACTGAACATCCAGGGGGAACTAATCAATTCCCTAAGCTCTTCAGTTTAAACATTAAACACAGTTCTAAAAGCCTCTTTTGTGGTCACAGTTCTCTTCCAGATAATTCTGATAAAATGTCCTATTTTGCCACTCTTTATTGTTGCATGTGATGGCGTGCCTGCGGTTACTTTATTTTTAAAGATGATAGTGGTGCTTGATTTCTCCCTGAGCAACTTCTTTAGAATTTTAAATGTCATTGTTTTTCAGAAGAATTAGGTCAGTGTTTCACAGAAGTACTGGGAAAAAACAGAATGAGCAACCGAAACCAAAAACACTCCCCTACACTGCGCTCCAGCTATAGTGGAAAGGACAGGTGGACTTGGGGAAGAAAATAGGTCCGTTACATTGGTGTCATTCCCCTGGTGTGGTAGATCTGGGTCTGGGCTTTGAGTTAACATTACGTGACTGAACATTCCTCCATATTACCCCATGTCAAAGATACTGTGTCAGGGAGAAAAACTCCAGTCTAGCCTTTGCCTTGATACCAAACTTCATATATCTAGAAAGGCTTTTTTGTGAGAAAGTTTGCCATCATGAGAGACTCCACTTGCAGGTTGAATTGTTGCCACTTTCATTAGGACCATAGCAAAAGAGGCTAGGGTCAAGCAAATGCTTTGCCCAACTTTGTATCGAAAGACTAGAAGCAGAACTACCAACTTTCATGATGTTCAAGTCCATTTTCTCCCCAGGAACAAATAATGCAGTAATATATCCCATAGCCACAACTGCCAGCAGAAAGCTCCAACTAAATCCGGATTAGAGATCGGAATATCCCACGCCCTTTTAACAATTAAAAGCTGTCACCAACATGGGAAAAGGGGTGTCTCCCCGCCTAGGGATGTGGGTGATTTAATGTTGCAAGGTTTGTGAGAAGATATAAAAATAAAAATCCTACCTCAGCTGGGCAGCTAAGCCTCTGCATTTGCATGTAAAGCAGTGGAGGCGATCAGACGATGCATGGCTATTTCCCGGAAAGGTCTCACTAGCTCAGTCCACTTGTAACCCTAAGCCAACCCTGGTTTAACACAATAAGCAAATGTGTGGGTTCCTGGAATCAAGATCACAGTCTCAGGTCCCCTCCCTTGGTCCTGCTGCAGACATGCTGCTCAGGACCAAACTGTGGCTTAGCTGAGTCTAACTTGTAAACTGGGTCACCACCTGTGATGGATATAGAGTATCTGTAAAACAGGCTAAGTTGGCTGATTCTGCAAAGTAAGAGTTTGGGGCTTTTAAAAATGGAAGCAGGCCAACAGAGACTCGGCTTTGCCACATACATATCCATGTTAGTTTTCTTTGATTCTAAGCATAAAGTTAGTGAAGCGTGGTATGGAATTTCTATTGAAATTCAGGAGAGTCCCTTAGGAACGTTTTACTGTTCTCAAACATTTATGACAGGCATGCACAAGATGTCCTCTCTGGGTGGGACACCAGTTGTGTATTGTGAATCCTCGGGTGTTTGGTCTAAAGCACCTGCATTTATGGCCCCAGTTGGACTGGATCTGTAAAACAGGTAGAAGCCTTCAGTACATGGTGGGGAGCACACCCAAGGGCCACAATTTGTGCAGTCTTGGCTTCCGATGTAAATAGAAATAGTGTGAGAACACCGTGCAGTCACATAGTTCCCATTCACATCAGGACAGCCTACTAGGCAGAACTACAGTATTTATAAAGAAATAAAGAAAATGTGAATTATTCATGGATAAACTATGAGTAGTAGTAACACATGGAGGTCTTTTACCTTTTCGATAAGATGGCGCAATTAATTACATACACGAGTTCATTTAGGAGGCAGGAAGCAGTGCAGGTGAGTCACTATTTTCATTTTCCTTGGCTATGTGGATGAAAGTAGCTCAAAGGACATTGCCATTTGTAGCGTAGATAATAACGTAACAGAATGCCCTCCAACATAATATCTGTTACAGTGTGATCATCTTGACTGCCAAAAACAGAAAAGTCAAAGCCAAATGTGTTTAAAAATTAAATATAAGCCAATTTGCTCGTTGGGTGGAGGGTGGGGGCTGCTGTGCAAAAGTCAGCACCCATGTTTCTGAACACAGCGAAGAAGATACTGCTAAGTCAAGTGTGGGACTCTGAAGCGATATTAAGTTGGTTACATGGCTAATAAAGAGGTCACAATCCTTAGTGTAAATTGATTTTTCTTGTGTTAGTTATTTATATTTTCAGTAAGGGATAAGAATATTTTTTTTAAAAATGTTCATTTACAATCAGACAAGCTTTAAATATGCAGAATGGGTGTTAACGTCATCAACTTATTTAAAAACTATGCTCTATTTTTATGAGATGCTTGTACCAAAACAAATGTTTGTCTTTGTCAAATATATTATAGGCATATATAAATGTAGGAATTGTGAGCAAAGTGTTTTATGTTCTAGCCAATTCATCACAGATGCTAACTTGATATAGTTTGAACTTTCTACCGTTTTTCAAAAGTATTTTCTAACTTGCATCCTTCAACAAAAATGTCCAATTTTGATTTCTTTAAAGAGCTGAATATTCTGTAGTACTTGATTGCTGAATAATATTTGTCCAAGGCTATGATCCACAGAGCAGGTAAGCATGCAAAGTTGCATCTACGTTGGTTGAGTTATTTAATGGCACGAAAAGCCTATTCCACAAATCAGTTAAATCAAAGCATTTTAAATGATGTTATCTAAGTTGTGGAGGGAGATGAAGGGAGGTTTAAGAGCTATTATACAGCGTTCTGTCATTTGTGGATTGTGCTATGATAACTATTTCTAGTCTGCCTTTCCGTTTTAGAGCTGTTACTAACGTAAACAGAACATGGACTTGTTACATTGTCCACAATTCTGAACTTCATTAAAACCTGCAAATTGCTTTTGCTATTTTGCTATCAAAATAGTATTAGGCAAAGAGTAATACATGTCTTTTTCTATTAGATTTTATTTCAATAATACAAGGTTTCTTATTGTCATCTATAGTTCTGTATTAGGTGTACACTTAATATTTTTGTTGCTATATATATGGAAAATAATTTACTGCCACAAACCAAAGGATGTTGGGCGAGGATAATTTTCATGTTAAATCTGTAAGTAGAAATATACCATTATTTATGTACTGTGCTAAATAAAATATTGTCTTTATCAAAACAGCAATTTTTACACATTTTTGAAATGGATTTATTTGCCTCTGAAATCTTTAAATTATCAGTCTTCTGCAAAAGCAAAAAGTAACTAGAGATAGGTTGTTGAATGAGATTTGTGGTGCATCTGATAAAAAAAGTTTAAATAAAAACATTTTACCCTACCTTTTTGAAGGAAAATTGCCTTTTGTTCTAGGTGACTTGATGGTTCAGGATTTGACTGTTGTGTTAGCAATACAAAGGAGTTCCTGACTGATCAACTGGGTTAGTTACAGGCTGATAGTGGCTGATGCCTTATCTCTTATTGTTTGTTCAGCCATTATCACCCTTAGTTAAGCATGGCATGTTGCTAGCTGTTGCTCTGTCTTTATGGCAGGCTGAAGCCAGCATCCTGTTTGAGCTGCTGGCTTCTGTTTCAGGGATCAAATGTTACATCCAATTTCTTGTAGCCTTAACAAATCTATGCATCTGTGATTAAACTCTTGTGTAGTTTATTTCGCAAGATCAGTTCAAATCTACAGCACCTAAGTGACACAATTGAAACATACTTTATGACCTGTTTGGGGGGGAAACTCTAAGTTTGTTTGCAGTTCTTTACTGATTTTTTTTTAAGTACCGAGAAGAGTCATTCCTGGGGAAGGGTCGTAGTTCAGCTGTGACATCTCCAGTTAAAAGTCTTTCAGGTAGCAGAGCTGGGGAAGACATTTGCTGTCACTGTACTGGGCAATGTGGAACCAATGGCCTGACTTCATGCAAGATGGGTCTGGAAGAGAAATAAACATTTTTTAAAATGTTATGCATTCATGTATTCTTAAACCAGGACTGTTCTGTTGTCTAGCTGAGAATCTGGATTCCCAAGGATCGTAGCATACCTACATGTAGTGGAGATCAGAGGAAAATGATGTGGGACATTTGGCTAAAAACAGGTTGCAGCTACATGGACCAGGCTTCCTCAACCTACAATTCCATCATCCCTGACCACTGGTCCTGCTAGCTAGGGATCATGGGAGTTGTAGGCCAAAAACATCTGGAGGGCCAAGGTTGAGGAAGCCTGACATGGACAGTCCTGGCCCAGATGCCAGGGAATATGAGAGGACATGTAGAAGTGGCTATAGGTTCTTGACTTCTGCCCTTGACCATCACCTGAGCAAGTGGCTTATCTCTTCTGGTTTTGTTACCCCCCCTTTCCCAAAAATAAGTATTCCCAAGTTTTGCAAATATTCCACCTCTCACCTATTCTGCTCTTTACCTGTTCGAAATTCCCATTGGGGCTAGAAAGAGGCATGGATTGTTTGACTTTGATGCTAATCTGCACGGTTTCTGCAGAACTTCTGTTGTGCCTTCCAATCACATCTCATCCCCTCTGGAATGTGTATCCCACAATCCTACTGCGGTTTGTGCTGCTTATGAGTGAAACCATTTGTGGGTGGTTGTGCCAGTGGGTAAAGCCCATGAATGAATGAATGCGTCAGTTGCCTTATAAACTTGCTTTAATTCTCCGCTGCAAAAGGTGGAATGGGTAAGAAAGGACTTGCTGAATTTGGTTTCCATAATCTTTCCAAGGGAACTTTATAGATTCAAAGACTGCAGTGCCAGACTAAGAGCACATCTACCCCTCTCACTGCAGTGCAATTATTTTAGCATTTCCAGAAAAACCCATAGTAATTATTCCTACTAGCCACATTAGGACAGATAAAAATCTCCTGTTAAAAAAATATGAAACATATGGTATGAAATATGAATTTTAGAAGTCTTTGTCTGCATTGTTGATTTCCCATGTGCTCATATTTTTTTTTATAAGTGTGGCCAAGAGATCACAGTGCAGCTATCTAGCGGTGTTTTATTAGGGTTCAATGTAAAAACAAGTGATTTAATTAGTTGTGGGATTGAAGCAAAACAAAGTTAAGTGATTTGACCTGATATCTTCTGGCAGCGTGTCTTGGCCACCATATCTTAACATCTGCTTTGGGTGAGAGAATAAAAGATATACAGAAAAATAAACATACTGGGAAGGTATGTCCAGACTTTACCAGTTATTAAATACCATTGTATTTCCCAGGTGATTGCAAGTTGTGGGAATCTGAAAAGACTTTGTAATAAGCTAGTAATCACTTGCAGACTGAAACTTCCTTGAAGGGTGACTGCATCTCTTCCTATGAAATCCTAGCATTCAGATTTTGAATCTACAGTAAAAAGAAATTATTATAGTTAAAAACAACAATCAGATATGTTATTTATGTAAAGCATTTATAACCTGCCCATCTAATTCAGATTCCACAACAATAATATACATAATATTTTTTTGTTCAAAAATAAAAATTATAGAAAATAGCAATATTAGTCAATTAAAATGCCTGGGTAAATAAAAATGTCAAAAATGAGGGCATTCCAAATCGAGCTGCTGAAAATACGAGCTGCCTATATGGGCCACAATATTACCTAATTTCAATACAGTAAAGAAGGTAAAGATTATTAAAATTTTTCAAAATAAACAATTTAGCTTCATAGCGATTAGGAAGAAACGTTTGCAGTTACATCTTAAGTGTCTACCAGGAAGTAAGGTCATTAGGACAGAGCTGATACCATCCCATGGCCATCTATATTACAACAGTATGACCAGTGTGAATAGTTTTCTTGCTCCAAACTTGTGACCATAAGCTCTTGGTAGGCTCCTTTGAGTAAGAACCACAGCTACATTCTGGGGTAGCTTCACTGAGTCAAGAGCCAAATGAAGGCTTCGTTCAGATGCAATGTGAAACATTATGCTAGCCATAGTTAAGAAACCACACCATAGTGTGAGCTTTCCAACAAACATCAGCCAAACAATAGTTTAGGGCTGCTTGCCCACTCTTGTTTCCCATCTGCTCTGGTTTATAATTTCATTAAGTTCATTCACCTCTGCTTGGTGCAGAAGGCTCCTGCGGTGGAGCAGCAGCCATAACTGTGGTTGTCAATTGCCTGAATTTAGCACAAACAGTGATTTGCAAACTTGCAAGCTTCAAACTGAGGTTTAAGATTTGAAGTTTATGGTTCAGATGTTCAAATAAACCATAATTTTGCTCAGGGTTAAGAACTGGATCCAGCCTGGGGGCTAGATCCTTACTTCCCTCACCCATTGCAGGCCAACTTCGACTTTAGGTAGGGCCACCTTACTGCCAATCATTTGACATCATTACAACTTCAGGCAACAACTTCAAAGGGATTTGCTCTCAGCATCTATCACCTGGTGCCAGGTGTGGGACAAGTGGGTGTGGCCTCATGGGCCAAATGTGGAAGACTGCCAGTCTAATTAGGTCCCATAGGCTGAAGGCTTCCTACGAATGGTTTAGCTAACTAAAGAATGGATTTGTATTGCACCTGAACCTAGTGTTCTTTGGGGGAAGGGATTCTAATAATGGACCGTTTCAAAACGTATTGCTGTGTCTACCCTTAATCCACAAAATAATCTAAAGTACAGTGGTACCTCAGGTTACAGACGCTTCAGGTTACAGAATCCGCTAACCCAGAAATAGTACCTTGGGTTAAGTGTTGATTTAAAGCAGAGTCTCTGGTGCCCAGCGGAAGGATGAGGAATACGTGCTGCATACTCTATATTGCTTTATTTACAGTACAAAGCTGGTATATTACAGAAAGACATCTTGCCTCTGCCGGAGCAGAAAATGCATCCTCTCTCCTCGACAGCTCGGAGAGAATCACACAGTGAAAAACAGGAAACCAGTGTACGTCACATCCAGTCTCCCTTTCCCGTGAGAAACTCCAACAGTACAGACTGTGGAATGTAAACACCTGTCTCGTGACAAGCAGAGCTGCACAGTGAAGGAAAGCAGAAACTAACATCCTCCCCTTTCTGTGAACATCACTGGGCAGCGTGTTTGCACAATATCAGTACAAACCCAACTTCTGCACATAGGTACAGTGTTGATCCCTTGATACAATCTTGGACAATACATCAGCAGGAATTTCATTACCTGGCATATAGGACACCGTTACGAGTCCCTTCTGAATACATTCCCTAGCATGCTGCAACTTTAATTGCAAGTGCTTTGTGCTTTGCTTACAACCTTCAGACTTGAGCAAAGCCAAACATGCTTTGTTGTCCTGGTAAACCTGGATTGGACATTTGACAGGAATTTTCATATCTTTGCACAATTGTACTAACCATTCACAATCCTTAAGTGAATAAGATAGTGCATTCAGTTCAGCTTCACAAGTACTTAAGCTAACTGTTGTTTGCTTCTTGCATGACCAATCAAAAAGACTCTGATTGTACATGTAGCAAACTCCAGACATACTTTTCCTGTCTGTAGCGTCACTTCCAAAACTTGCATCTGCAAATATCTCAAGACCACCAGACTTCTGATTGTTAAATCTCAGTCTGTAATGCATAGTGCCTTTCAAATACCGCGCTATGCGTTTCAGAGCTTTCCAATCCTTGACACTAGGATTGTTGACTTGTCTGCTTAGCAAATTACAGCTAACAGCAATGTCTGGTCTTGAACATCTGGCAATGAAGTTTAGCTTGCCTAGCACACTCCTGTACAGTGTAGTGTCAGAAAATGCTTCTTCAGTGTCATCTACCTGATAACCTGTTGTCATCGGTGTGTCTACAGGGTTAGCATCCATCAGATTTAGTTTGCTTAACACATCAGCAATTTTCCGTGACTGGTGTACTAGAATGTTACCATCTTGATCTTTCTCTATTTCCAGAGATAGGTAGTTGTTTACCTCACCAAGATCTTTCATGTCAAAGTGCTCTTTCAGTTGAGCTAGGGCGCTATTGTACATTGCAACATCTTTCCAAAAGAATAATAAATCATCAACATAAAACAAACAGTACAGTTTCTTTTGCCCCTCCTCTTTGACAAATACACATGGATCAGCTTTCCCTTGCTGAAAACCTAGAGAAAACAATACTTCAGTGAGTTTTGTGTGCCAACACCGTGCACTTTGTTTGAGACCATAAAGGGATTTCTTCAGAGCACAAACAAATCCCTGTTTAACCTGTACGCCATCAGGTGGAAGCATATAAAGTGATTCATCTAGAGATCCGTACAGAAAAGCTGTATTAATATCATGGTGACTAATGTGTAGATTTTCCTCTGCAGCTAGCTTAAGCATAAGCCTAATGCTTTCATATCTCACTGTGGGTGAATAGGTCTCGTGATAGTCTTGACCTGGTACCTGTGCAAAACCTCTGGCTACCAATCTGGCTTTGTGTCTGACTATCTTGCCATTTTGATCTGTCTTCGCTTTGAAGACCCATTTGCTTCCAAGCAGTTTCATTCCTGGAACTACTGGAACTAGCTCCCATGTTTTGTTCCTTTCTAAGGAATCAAGCTCAGCCTTCATGGCATTTAACCATGGCTCAGCTTCCTTCGAATCCAAACCCTGGATTTCTTGGAAACTTGAAGGTTCAAATACCTTCTTGGAGCTTTTAACAGCTGTTACTGCTATCTTAGCAAACTCATCAGCAAATCTCTTTGGAGGTTTGCCTTTTGTGGCTCTCTGTGACCTACGAATTAGCCTTAAGTCTTCAACACTCTCCTCTTCCTTCTTAGGAGAAAAACGACCTATTGTGAACAATGGTTCCTCCAATTCTTGATCAGAGCTTTCAGAGGGTCGCATAGAGGCTTTCGCACTCTCGAAATCCTCTGAATCACCCGATTCAGTTTCAGATTCAGACTCAGAACCTTCATCAGTGGGTGTGGGCTGTTGTGGTTGCTTTGACTATCCTCAGTCTCATCACCGTCATCAGGATAACATTGGAAAATTCCCACATTCTCCCCCACTTTGCATTGTACTCAACACTTCTCGTGAGCTTAATTGTCTTAGAGTCAGTCATCATTATTCTGTAAGACCCTTTCTGATAACCTAGAAAGATACCATGCAATCCACGCTTGTCTAACTTGGAGTTTTGTGGTGAGTGAACCCACATGTCAGAACCAAAAATCTTCATGTGTTTGATGTATGGCTTCTTGCCAAACATCTTCTCATAGGGGGTACAACCAATCGCTGAAGATAACCTGCGATTGTAACTGTAAACAAAACACGAGAGAGATTCGGCCCAATAACTCTCTGGAAGATTGGCATCATGCAGCAAGGTTTTTAAGCCTTGAAGCAATGTCTGATTTGCCCGTTCCGCAAGTCCATTCTGCCATGGCGAGCGAGGACTAGACAAATCGTGTTGAATTCCTTTCTCAGTCAGAAAAGCTTCAAACTGCTGAGAAGTGAATTCCCCCCCGCGATCACTGAAAAGAGTCTTTATCTTCTTACCATGCACATTTTCCAACCAAGCACAGAATTCCTTGAACCTAGGAAAAGCCTCCGATTTCTGCTTGAGATTGTACACAAAAATATATCTAGAAAATGCATCAATGAGAACCATGAAGTATCTATTTCCACCCAAAGAGGGCGCTAGTGGTCCAACCAAATCAGCATGAACAACCTGGTATGGTTCTGTAGCTTTCCTACTAGACACCTTACCTTTCGCAGCCATTTTCACCTTGTTTGCTGCGCATGCTTTGCACTTCATGTGGTACCTGCAGGGTTTAATAGTCATACCTTCAACCAAGGCAGGCATTTTAGATACTGCCTCAAAATGCAAATGACCAAATTTTCGATGAAAATCGTGAATACATTCTGCATGCAAACTTTTGTTAGAACCTGCAATGCAACAAGTGTCATCCTGCACCACATCATCATAATACAAAACAAACAAACGATCAACATATTCTGCATGCAATACATAATCATTTTTCTTTGTGATGATGCACTTCTTGTTCTTGAAGGAAACGTCAATGTTCCGCTCATTCAGCTGTCCAACGCTGAGCAGATTATGTTTGGCGTCTGGCACGTAAAGCACATTCTGTATCGATAAGTCCAAACTGTGAAGAACAACAGTTCCGTAGCCGTTACTGGGAATAGTGTGGTCATCCGCCTGGTGAATCGCACCTTCCTGCGGTGTAAAAGACACAAACAGTCTCTTATCATTGCACATGTGGTGGGTGGCCGCTGAATCAACAACGAAGAAAGATCTAGACGTCTTCTGGACCTCTGCAACCTTTGGAGTGAAGCGTGAAACCATAGCCTTGTGCTGCGTTGTCCTAGACACCGGACCTTTGCTTTTGCCTCGGCCTTTTCCGCGCGATGAGCTTTCGCTGCGCTGCTCTGTCTTGGCCCTGGGATGTCTGCATTCCTTCTTCATATGGCCTAGACGTCCACACGAGTAGCATTTCACTGCCTTCAAAGCTTTGGCGCCATCTGGTGGTTCCACTGCACTATGGGATGACGTCTGTGAAGACTCCCCTTGCCCATGCAGCTAGCACCCCGGCGATCTGCTTCATTTAAAATCACGGCAGTAACAAAGTCCACTGTCAGCTGAGCAGTTGGTTGCACAGCAATCTGGGTTGCAACAGACTCCCAACCTGAACCCAAAGATTGTAGTATCATGAAAGAATACACAGCCTCTGGAAAGTTGAGTCCTCTCTGTTGCAGCTCATGTCTCAGATTTTGCATCTTCAACAGATGTAAACGCACATCTCCACCTTCAGCAAGAGCCATATTATGCAGCTTGTTAAAGTAAAACATGGTGGATCCAGCTTCTGTCCTTAAGTGAGCCTCTCTCAAAGCGTCCCAAATTTCTCTGGCTGAGGTCTTATCACGCAATAGACAGAGCTCTTCTGGGGATACTATCAATGTAAGAGTTCCCTTTGCTTTGGAATCCTTAGCTTCCCATGCATCTGTAACTGGAACTGGGGGTTCCTGTAATCACCTCAAACAAACCCTCTTTCCGCAGAATTGCCTCTGCATACTGAACCCAGTCGCTGTAATTTTTCTTGTTGAGCTTAGGAATCCCACAAGCATCCTGAAGGGCCATCATGACTCTGGCATTAGCCTTCAGCGTCATATGCTGCTTTAAATCTTGCTGCGTCACTGCTGCAGCTGCCTTATTACAAAGGCACACTTAAAAGTTACTTTCGATTTCCCGGCATAGTGACTTGTGCCTGGGAGCCTTTTGCCTATTCCCGGCAAAACCGGCTTTAAAAGTTCAAAGTCCAGCCATAAAGCCATTAACTTGAAGCTGGCAGGCTGCCCGGAGCAGTAGCACATACCTCATCAATCACTTCTACGCGCAGAGCAGATTCCTTTCCGATCCGTCCCTCTGCATTCCGATCCTTTGTCGACTTCTGGAGCCCATAACCACGTGTTGATTTAAAGCAGAGTCTCTGGTGCCCAGCGGAAGGATGAGGAATACGTGCTGCATACTCTATATTGCTTTATTTACAGTACAAAGCTGGTATATTACAGAAAGACATCTTGCCTCTGCCGGAGCAGAAAATGCATCCTCTCTCCTCGACAGCTCGGAGAGAATCACACAGTGAAAAACAGGAAACCAGTGTACGTCACATCCAGTCTCCCTTTCCCGTGAGAAACTCCAACAGTACAGACTGTGGAATGTAAACACCTGTCTCGTGACAAGCAGAGCTGCACAGTGAAGGAAAGCAGAAACTAACATTAAGAACTTTGCTTCAGAATGAGAACAGAAATTGGGCCGCGGTGGGGCAGCGGGAGGCCCCATTAGCTAAAGTGGTACCTCAAGTTAAGAACAGTTTCAGGTTAAGAACAGACCTCCAGAATGAATTAAGTTCTTAACCTGAGGTACCACTGTAGTTCTGCTGTGGAGTTAAGGAAGAGCTGGCCCTATAAACTGACTGGATAGGATATGGAACCATATCTACGTGGCCCAGAGTATTAGCATTGTATGTGTAAGAATGTTTTGCAGTTAACCCTCCTGCTAGCAAGCACCTTCAGAAGTAGCTCTTCAAATCATGCTAATCCAATTAAATTCAGAAGGAATAATCTAATAATTAATGGATAAAGTGACTGCAATATATTTCGAGCATAGATGAAATCAATTGCTAGAGACACAAAGGGTGTTAACTGTTTTCTTTCCCTGAACATTAATTGGGGTGGAGACAGTTGGGATCCATAAATAATGTAAAGCAATCAGTTTTTCATAGACATATTATAAAGCTGGAGAGTCTCCATTGCTGCCTGAGTTGAGGGTTTTTCTGCATTTACTTTTTTTTGGTTTTGCCTTGCTTTGTTGTGAACCACTCTTGAGTGTGTAGTGTATGCAGAATGTGCTGGGTGTACAAATAAAATGTAGAGAAGAAATGTACAGATAAAGTGTAGAGAAGAAAATTAGCAGACAGCACTTTTGCTGCCATGCTCATCTCTATTCTATCACTGCTAAGAGAACCATTGAAAGTGATCCTACCATTTGCAGGGCTCATACTTTGTACTGTTAGTTTTTTTGAGGATGGAATAGTTAGGCACTGCTACAAAAGGCACAAACTGTAGAGTAGCAATGGGAATCCCATCCTATTCTCCTCTCACTGCTGCCAGCAGCCACTTAGGTGCCACTCAGGGCAAAGGGTGCAAGATTCCCACTGGCTTACAGTGGTCTCTCCAGGATTAGGGAAGCAGCCAGCTGTATTTGAAGTCTCCAGCTTGGCAAATTCAGCCCATCTCTTCTCCTACTTTCCTAGATACTTTAACAACCACTAGTGTAGCCCAAACAATTTAGGATTATGATGATGATCTGTTTATTTTTCACATTTCTATCCCATCTTTCCTCCAGAAAGCTCAAGGTGATATACATTGTTCTTTTCTTCCTATTTTTATATTCACAACAGCCCTGTCAGGTGAGTTGGGCTGAGACACTGACTGGTCCAAGGTCACCCAGCTAAATGGTATGCACCATGCTGAGCTCCTTAAAGAAAATGTGGGATATGAATGCGACAAATAAACAAAATTAACATCATCAACCTCCAAACCATTAGTTGCAAGGGATTATGAGAGTCATCTCAAGGATGAATTTGGGAAGAAAAAACTGCACCAAGTAATTACAAGTGTTGATGAAAGAGAATTGCTACCACTATAGTTATCATGAGAGGATAGCTGCATATTATTTAAAGTCAGTAGAGTGAGAATGAACCACTAGAATATATAGGCACTTAATGGATCAACAGGAAACAGGTTTGAGGATGCATTATCAGGAGGTGAAAAATGCATTATGGAAAGATGCAGTTGAATTGTGGAAATTATACTTCACTGCAGGCAGCTGACGGTTATTGGCTGAGGGTGTTTACCAGCAGTGGAATCTTGGGTTTCTTGAACAATTAAGTACATGTACATTGGGGAGAGGCTGTTGCTGGCTGGCTACAAGGTCAAGGTGGCAACTGTGGTGGCCAATAGCATTACACTGTGGAATATGCTGCATTTGCCTTATGTTGCAAGTTTAATAAGAAAAATAAGAATAATTATATTATTTATACCCTGCCCATCTCACTGGGTTTCTGTTTTATGTGTGGCAACATTCCTTTTATCTTCCTCCTCTTCATCTTGTTGTCCTCGACTGCCATTTTTATTATTTTATTATTTAGCACTCCCTACTTGGATGGACTGAAGTAGAGAGGCCACAATGGGAGGGAAGAGTTGTAGAACCAGGACTTTGCTGACTTCAACGTTGGATCTCTGGTGTTTTGTACTGGAGGGATTTGGTTATACTGCTGCTTTCAGCTTTCCAGAGTATGCTCTGCATACTCTGGTTATGGTTTCAGAGAGTAAAGGTAGAGGTTAGATTCATAAATGCAAACTTTTAGGAGTTCCTTTGGACTTTATTTGAGTACAGATTTCACAGCAGTCTGCCTGCTTTACATGTGTTCTGATTGTAACATGTTCATGAAGTCCAAATTCAGCAGGGGCTATTGTGTGGATGAATCATTCAGTAAATGTCAGCTGGTCATCAGATGAGTACTAAGTGGTAACTGACACACTCATCTGGCAATCAGTAGGTGTGTCAAAATGCGTGGAACATTCCAAGGGAGGGCCAAAAGGGAACAGTAATGAGAGTGTGTCTAAAATAGAGTGGTCTCACATCCTGCCCCTCCCTAATTATTTGCACATGCCTCACTGGCTAAATGAGTTCTGATTGCGGATGGCCCTGTGTGAAGCACATGAGTGGATCTGGTACCGGTTTAGAAGTTCCTGAACCAGACTTTTTTTTTTGTCCCACTGGGTTGCTTAGAAAAAAACTGGAAAGGGGAAAGAGGTGTGAAGGAAGAGGAACACCGGATCTGCCTCCTGCCAGCCTCGCAGAGCTGTGGGTGTCCACAGCAAGTTCTTTTCCAGAGGCAACAGCTGGTACCCAGATTCTACCACAATGTCTCCAAGAACGCCCACCACTGTGTGACATTTTCCTTTTGCGTAGGACAGGCCATGGTTTGAAGCTAATTACAGCTTCAGGCACACTCAGCTGAAGGACAGGGCCTTTCTAAAGCTCTCCCACAAAGGCCATTTGGCTAAGAGAACAGCAGGGTTTGATCTACTGAAGTTTCATCTCTCTCTTAGCTGATTCCTACCGTCCTTACCTGGCTTCCGTTGTTATGGCCTCTCACCAGAAATTCACTCTCTGAACTTTTGTCCGCACCCAACTCACTCTTCTACGCAGTGGGTCGATTCTACTAAAACACACACAAATATAATTGTTAATTTATGCATGCAGCAGCATCAAGGCAACAAGATTTTACAGATTAACACAGTAGGAGGGGGAGGAAATGGGTTTCTGCTCTGATGTACTTTCAATTTCATTTATAGTAAGATCTCTTTTCACCCAAACCCTTAGTATTTACATGCCCAAAACTTAAGTATTGCACACCTCATTCTAGAAACAGCAACAAAGCCATACCCTAAGGCCTATCAAATAAGGACTGGCTGTGTGTCTGCCATATGTCTATTTTAGCATTAGATATCTGATGATGGTTCATGGTGATGTGCAAGTAATCACATGATACTGTGTCGTACAGATGAACATGAGCCACCCTGCCAACATACTTTCATCCCATGTTGCTTTTCTCCTTTCTCCCAGGTTTGTGCTTTGTTTTCTATATATTACAACTGCAAGAAATAAATATACAGCAGAGCAGCATATGGCTGGGAGGTAGGAGAAGGAAACTTCACAAATACACGGCTTATATGAGAAGATTCTCTACCGCAGGGGGTGTTATTCTTGCAATTACATAGAGGTTGGGATTTTTGCTTCCTCTGCTCTCTGTATTTCTAGGGTTCTTTTCTCCCCTGCTCACTTTTCTCCCTCTCTTGCCAGGAAGAAAAGGAAACACGTGACATGGCATTTGCTGCCCATACACAAACTCTTGGTGCATTTTTTTCCTGAATATGAAGTGTTTAACTGAAACGTACTAAACATTAATATTATTATTATTATACCCTATACCCAGAGGTATAGCAAAACAATGGAGCCTATTTGTAGACTGACACATTGTTATACAACATAAAAGGTAAAGGTAAAGGACCCCTGACAGTTAAGTCCAGTCGCGAACAACTTGGGGTTGCGGTGCTCATCTCACTTTACTGGCTGAGGAAGCCGACGTTTGTCCACAGACAGTTTTTCTGGGTCATGTGGCCAGCATGACTAAGCCGCTTCTGGCGAAACCAGAGCAGCACACGGAAATGCCATTTACCTTCCCGCCAGAGCGGTACCTATTTATCTACTTGCACTTTGACGTGCTTTCGAACTGCTAGGCTGGCAGGAGCTGGGACCAAGCAATGGGTGCTCACCCCGTCGCAGGGACTGCCGACCTTCTGATCGGCAAGCCCAAGAGGCTCAGTGGTTTAGACCACAGCACCACCTGCTTCCCGCTATACAACATACATTTGGCTTAATCAAAATCCAGGCTCAGAACTGGAATACGTAAAATAGTACTGAGCATGTGCAGTTACTATTTCTCGTCTCTGAGTAAGTGCAGCCTGCCCATATATGTGATTGCCACATTTTGTTTTTGCTTTCATGACTTTGTGCTATTTCTATTAATAAACTGTGAGCTGTAACGAGATATAAATCTAATTGTTGCATTCCATCAGCCTACAAGTTAGATGAAAGGATGCTTGTGATTTGTTGTCATCTGTAGACGCTACGTATGTGCAGAGATGAACCTCCCCTCCTTCCCCACATCTGTGGAAGCACATTGAATGAATGAATGAATTTACTTTATTCGGTCACAGACCAGCATAAGCAAAACATCTAAATAAATAACAGTGTGAATCTAAGCGAATAATTGTTAAATACTGTAAATGGGAGCAAAAACCAACCGTAGATTAAAACATATACATAGAATACTTGATTAAGCATAAATAATGGGTGAATAAAAACTAATAAGAAGAATTTAAAAAGACCAGTTAAAACAGCTATATGGGGTGGGGCTTCATTGATACAGATCTAACAATATGGGCCTTCATTTTAGGACTATGGAATCACATTAACGTGGGGCCTGCAGAGGACCAGATCTCAGGACTAGAGTCTGCAGTGGGTAGAGATTAAGGAAGACCATCCAAGGAAACCTCTTTGCACCAATAGACCTGAGCAGGTCATGTGATGCTCCCAGTCTCCTATAAAACCTCCTGAAAAGGTTTGCTCTCTGGTCTGAGCAACATGTAGATATATTCTTGCTGACTATAGGATGGCCTTCAATTTTCTGTTCACCTTGCTCCCATTTTTGAACAGCTTGTCATGTGCCAAGTGGTTGTTAGTCTTGACCCACAGAGTTTGAAGGAGATACTGCAAGCACTTAATGTGTGATATCTATTATTTATTAACTGCATCAGGGTGTTGCCGAAGTTTTTGTGTGCCACTGTAATACTCAGCAGCATGGCAGGGTTCTTGATTCTGTGCATTATAGTGTGTGACCTTTTCAACATATAAACTTTTGTTTCTGGCAATACCATTACAAACATCTGGCCTAAATAATGTGTGTATGTATGCAAGGAATTAAGAAGGGATGATCTTAATGAAGCAACTCATCCAGCACCAAGCGAATTATGTTCCTAAGAGCTCCATTAAAAATTGAGACAGGAAGGATCAAGGTAATGGCTCAACATCCGCTAAGTACCTCTTGCACATACTTTAAAATGTCAAGTGAAATCAAAACGGGTGGAAGGCACTTGTGAACCCTGCATGTGGTCTTCAGCAGCCAGGAAGATTGATTTGTAAGGTCACATATTCTCAGTGAGATTTTGGGCAGTTTAGACACATGAAAATTGATTGGTTTAAAATAATCCTCTCCACCAATTTGGGTTTGCTGTTAGTAACTCTTTTCCTCTGCATTGCAGGGTCAGAATCTCTGGCTGTGTCTTGCTTTTGTGTTATCAGTTTTTGCCCCATTCCCCTTCCTTTTGCATGTTCTCCACCACTCACCAAACGGCTGTTGGCAGCAGTGTCTTGGTAGAAATTGGGAAAATCCGAACATATGGCAACCCTACCTACAAATCTGGGCAAATCTAAAAAAAAGCTCAACACTGTATTTCCACTGTTTGAAATATGGCAACCCTACACTAGGATAGGTCATGACAGTGGTTGGCATCTCATGGACTGGACTAGTTCTGTAGCCTGACCATGACTACAGACAAATTGATCTGAAGGCAATCCAACTATTCGGAAATTTTAATCTAGATTAATATATGCTCATGTTTGTGTTTATATTAGCCTGAGAATTAGGGCTGTTTCACACAACATGCCTACATAATCATTACATGAAAACCACATCAATTCTAATGTGTGTCAGTCTCTCACATGGGTTCTTCATTGTAAGAAGCTGCCTGTAAGATTCCCACATGCAAATGCCACCTGTGTAGGAACTCTGTGAAATAACTCTGAATGGGGAAAATGATGTTGCCAGAAGATGAATGTAAGGGTTGGATAAAAGGACTTTCCACTGTAACTTTCTGCTACAAACCCAACAGGGGCTTTAAGATTAAGAGTTCCTGGAGGAAATGACTAGGTAGGAACTAGGTGAGCTCAGTTCTATTAAAGTCTTTTATGGGTCCCAACAAAGTCAAATTTTCAAAGAGCCTGCTAATTTTTGTATGTCTAAGGACTAATTCATGTCACCATTTGACACAGTGATGCTACCACAAGTTGGCTTCTTTAAATGTGTTGGCCAGGATCTCAGCTTGGCCTATTACCTTCCTTTTCTGCCCTGCGGACTAGTGGGAGGCCAGAATTTACACCCTACACGAACACATCCAGTCTTGAGAAAGGAGGTCTTTGCAGATGTGCATTAACACCAAGAAAGGTGATCTTGGTGTGAACACATCCCAAGTCACTCCCTTACTTTTGGCACTGGATATGTGAAGGCTGGTCCCTGGCTTGGAAAGAAGTCTTGTAGTTGAGATCATGACACAATGCACACTCACTCCTACAGCTTTCCAGTATTACAAAAATAAAAAATATGGTGCAAGATATTAATTTATTCTGTTGCTAGTTTTCTCCATTCCCTCTTGAAGTAAAGAGGCACGGCTGGCCTAGGTGGCAGGCAATCAGACTGGCAGTTCGTAGAGCCAACATTAAGGGGGTGCCAAATCATCCTGTTCCTCAGATTTTGGGTGATGGTGCTAGAAGTGTGGTGGGAAAGAGCCAAAACTACTTTCCACCTTGGGTGCCAAAATGTCTATGGGCCGTTCTGAGCTAACAACCAGCCAGGAGAACTATGTTGAATGTTTCAAATACAGTTTGCCCTTTCACAACAGAGGTGGGTCATGTTCTGTCTGTTTCACACAGACAGAAACATTATATGCAACACTGGACTTCTGATTTGGAATTTGTATGCAGCAGTATTCAGTTCAAGCTTCCTAAAAACAGACTACAAAAGAGAGAGAAAGAAAGAAAGAAAGAAAGAGGGAACAAATCACAGCGAGGGGTGATACTCCAAAGTCAACATGAAACAATAATTCCTATGGGTGTTGGAATTTTAATTAAACATTTCAAAAGGTTTATGTGAATTTTGAATGTAGGTTTTTCACTGGGGGAAAGGGCTAATGGAAATGACGATAGCAGAATGCATGCCACTCTTTCTTTTTCTGATCCCCACCCCAAGAACAGAATCTAAGCCAAGTTAGACATGTTAAATGCATGAGTACAATGGACTTGGATCTTTTTTGTTAAGCAAATAGCAGCCACAGCTGAACAGCATCTGGACCACGAGGGCTGGAGAGGGAGTTTCTCTCCCCTGCTGTGGTTTCAATGAAAGTTCCCTTCCCTAACTTTGATTTGCTTCAGGAGGGGAGCTGCATTTGGCACCAGTAGAGGCATCCCTCTCCCTCCAGATGCAAAAAAGGTGATAGGGTAATTTTTATTGGGACCACAGTGAAGAGAAAGGGTTAATATCTCTCTTTTTACCCCACACAGTCTTGATATGGCTTAAGCTCCCCTGTGGCAATTTTTATAAAAAGGATTTGGGCAAGTTAACTGCATTCATGCAATCCTAGTCATGTTTACTTTAGCCCTCAGAATTCCTTGCATTTTGCAATGTTCACAGTTCCCTCCTTGGCATTTCAAAATATTTTCATTAAACTCTGGATATCCAAACGAACCATTTTTCTATCCATATGTGCAGCACAGAGTGGTCACCTATTTATGACTTGCAATGATAGCTAGTGGAGCTTCCTTGTACAAGGGAAGTATACCTTGAATCTGATGCTGGGAGACAAATCACGGAAAGACGCCGTCACCTCAATGACCCAACAAAGGGGATCCTAGAGGCATCTGCCTTGTTGCTATCAAAAACAAAATGGCATTGGTCTGACTTAGCAGCACAATTCTTACGTCCCAGTGGGAGCTGCCCACATTCCTGACCATGTGCTCTAAAGCACAACACAAAAATGGCACTCTCTCTCCACTTTCTCCTTGGGCATTTGTTTCAGAAATGCAGCCGTATGCACATCACAGCCTTCACCCTGTTAGTCACGCGGCAAGGACCTAAGCATCCTACAGGTTGCAGATTGAAGGTTTCCAGTCCCCACAGTAGAAGCCATCTGGAAGTGCCCTAAGCTAATGCCCTTGATGGCTTTTTATGGCCAGCATCAAGAAGGAAGAGGGAATATTTCCTTTGAAAACTTACCACAAAGATGCGAGTCACAGCCGGCCACCTAAGGGGTGCGGGTGGGGAGGGAAAGATCATTTTACAATTGTGCTAAGTTTGAATCTGGAAACTAATGACAGAGATATAATCTCTGTAATGCAGTCTTTATTTGATTTTTTGTTCGAGTTCACATACAGGATAAAAATAAATGCATCTAGTATACAAAGAAAGTGACTCTGGAAAATAAATCATGAAAGCAATTTTACCCATCTTAGAAGAACCCATTAACACGTTTAGAATACACCAAGCCAAGTATACAGCTGTAGCTGGGACCAGCTGAGACATCTTATCTACTCTGCTGTGAGGCTGATAGTTCCCAACACTGCCATCTATAGGCAGTTTCTACGCACAACAATTTTCCTTCTCTGCCTGAAACCTGAAGAATCTTTTGGGTGGCTGTTCTTGTTTTATGCAATTCCTGTTATTCATTCCTTGGTCTTATAAATATTATTATTTATTTAAGGAAGTCTCAAACATTGTTTAATTCTAAGGGAACTAGAGTAACTAGCCACTATTCTACAATTGTTCCTCTAAGTGTTACAAAAGAAGTATGTGAAAAAGATGGAATATATACATAAGTGCCTGAGTAGATTAAATTTTAGTAATTTTAACACATATATGTTGTGAGTACAATATACTCACTCTCCTAAAATGGGAGAATACAATAAAAGCAAAATAAATGTGAACAATATTACAGTACATGAAATTAATATTATGTCCTCGAGCCATCTTCTGTGGGTTTATCATTTTGAAGAATGTATAATCAGGAGGGTTTTCTGGTGTTTCTCTTTACTGTCCAAGAGAAAAATTATAACCTCCACTCATTCCTTCCGTATAAGACTATGCGTGAATCTGCAGTTCTATGCACACTTAACATGGGAGCAAACATGTATGGGACTGAACTGAATATGTGAAAAAAATACTGGCTTTTTTGTTGGTACCTCTAACATATCTGGACTGAAGTGACAAAATTCTAATGTGTACTTTTGATTTTCTGGCCTTCCATTAAATAGGATACATATTTTAACTACCCTTTGCATGGTCTTTGAAACAAATTAGTCAAAGGGAAGCAAGCCCTATCTCAAATTATATTGTAAGTGTTTTTTGGAAGATAAAGCTTCTCATCTGAAGCAATGAGAAACAGAGAAGTTTCTGCTTTTCCATTCTGTTGATAAGAGTCTTGGAAATCTGAAAAAGTCATTGTCTTGAAGAAGTCTTTTCTGCATGGAAATGCTCAAACTCTCCCCTTGTGAAGAAATGCTGCAACTGTTCACCAAAGATGTCTCCAGTTATCTGGTTCCTGGTAAAACACTGCCCCTAGTTTGCCTTTTGGTGGTACTTTTTAAAAATAATAGTGTGCACCCATGTGGTCATACCTGAATATTCAGACAGAAAACATTGCTGAATATGCAATCTTATACACATGTACCTGGGAGTAAGTCTCACTGAATTCCGTGGTATTTAACTTCTAAGCAGATATGGGCAGGATTGCACTGAGTAACAATTATTTCAAAAGGTACACACCAGTTCCACTGTCCACTCCAGTATGGCTGCACTCCAGCACATGCTTACTTGGGAGTAAACTCCATTAAATTTAGTAGGACTGACCTGTTTGCAAAATCCCATAAAACATTCCTCCTAACAAAACTGATAATGGACAGTCTGCAAATTATCATCTTCTGAAGCCAGTGAGGAATAGGGTGTCATAGTGTAAATGAAATATTGCAGGTACCTCAAGAGACTTCAGTAATAAGTGGGTTGGATGCTCAAGCAGTTATCCTTGGGATGAGAAGAAGGTTGTAACAAGGGGACAGAAATGCTGGATGGCAGAGAATGATTTCCTGATGCTTTGGTTGGTTCAAAATCCTAACAGCAGCTAGATGATGCCTGTGGATACAAATATTTCCCCCCAATTTATCTTGAATTTCAAAAAAATGTTTCATGAAAAGGTGTTGTTAGGTCTAAATTTGCTAGCCTGTTGTTCTAAAACACACACACCATGAAATGCTTTTCAGTATGTGATTCCTTCAAAATGATTGCTTAGAAGTCCAACATACCTTGAGAATTGTGCGTTTTCAAAGTGAGCAAAAAGAATCAGTTTCAAACTAACAATTTATTTTATGAGATTTTAATAAATATGAAGCTATACTGTAAATTAGCACTAAATTGACCAGGGTCTCCCTTTCTAATGTTCTTGATGCCAGCTGACTTCGTTAGCTAAGCTAATTTACGGGGACATAGGAATTTTCCAGACAAAGAACTGCAGCTGACTTGTGCTGTTCAGCAAGTGACTTTGTTAATGCTTACTCCTTATCAGCTACACCAGCTGTTCAAAGGCTATCTTTCACAAAACACTTTTTATGACTGCGAGGATATTTTGTTTACAGTGACCAAGTCACAAAACAAAATACAAATGTGCCTATACAGTTGTGTTTGTTTTGTCTGTAGCCAATTTAATGGCATCCGCTATCACTTTTATGGCTAAAACTGACAGCATTTCCTATTTGTCTGGGGTATACAAGGGATGTGAAAAGTGCAAGTATCCATTGTCTTCATATGGGAGCGATTTTTTATTTTATTTTTAATTAAAAGAACTTGTTCAGGTTTCAGATGCCTGGATTACTGTTGCAAATGGGAATGTCCTCTTCTCGCTTTCTTTTTTGTTAAAGGATTCTGATTTCATTGTTTAAATATAGTCAGCAATCCATCTTTTATACAAAACAATTGCCTGTTCTGTGTTTCAAGGGAAAAGAACTAAAACAACCCAAGTGTTTAATTATGAGTCGTATCTACACAATATATCTATATTAGATATAGTATCCATAAGAGTTTATGAAGTGTTTTAACAATAGGTAGTTTAATAAAAACGTGCCTGAATTAATCAAGATTCTGGGGCAAAACCCATAAATTTAACCGAGAATGACAAAATGAAGATATATTTAGAATAGTTCACTAGCATTTCATTTAACATTCTCATTTTACATCTTCAGCTTTAAGTCTCGAAACAGTGCTTTATTAAATTTGATTGGTTTTGCCTAAATGTTCGCCTTAACAGAGTTTTTAGTGAACTATTGAAATGTTCCAAGCTCTTACTTTAAATCTGAATGTATTTTGTAAGTTATTTACAGGAAACTAAATTACTGACCACATTCACATAAAAAACTAAACCTCAAGTTCATGTACACACACAGAGCCCTGGTTCTCCTACCATGTACCTGGAAGACTTCAGGAGCTTTCCCTCTTGGTTCAAGTTAACCATAGCTTCTCTCTCTGAACCTTGGACACAATTACCTAAGAATAAGCCCCACTGAATTCAAAGAGACTTGCTTTTAAATAGGTATGTCAGATTGCGTTATAAATTATTGTTTTTCTTGAGCTATTGTGGTCTTTCTGTCTTTAAATTCAGTGCTGTGTTTGGATGACATAACTCTATAATAGCACAGGTGAATAGCATTTGGAGGACAATGAGTTAAGCCAAGAGGTATATGTAATTATGAGACTAGTGATCCTGGATATACATATGACTGTACTTAACTAGATACATCTTTGACATGGTTTTATGTTATGATTCTTGATGACGCTGCTTCTAATCAACAAAAGGTCAATCATATGGTTAATTTCAGACCAATGCATTTACAGCTGCTTTTCTCTCTTGAAGTTATTTGGGCAAGCAACATACTATTTCAGTGATGGAAATGAAAACGTTAGACCTTTTCTTTCCCATTGGGAATGGGGCAGGAGGACTTGTGCAGATTTTGAACTTGAAATGTTGAATTGTGTCCTGAATTATTATGCTATGCTTTATGCTCTGTTTCAACAGTTAGGGGAAATACTGAATTCCAAGGTAGAGATCAAAAATGTTACACTGCTCAACAACTGGTGGGTGGATTGGAACCATTTCAAATGACAAATGTAATTATGTGCTCAGTGCATTTGTAATGATATCAGATTACAAACCTAAAATGCAAATGAGGAGCTAAGGTGAAGATCTTCCTTTGTATTGCCAATTGTTTGCTAATTTGCTGTTAAGTCACAAAATTCACAGGACATTTCAATCTGATAGTATCAAAATTTTATATTGCTGTGACACAACATATCCTTGGCTTAACAAAGGGCATGATGAAAATACTTTTTCCAAATTAAAAGAGTCATTCAAAGACAAAGGAAGACTCCAAACTGAGTCAGGAAGTCCGTTCACTAAACAACTGAGAAGGAACTTCCTGATTTATTCAGAAGTTGGTTTGGGGCTTCCTTGGGGTGTACATCACTCTAGATTTTTCTCTAGATTCTGACAATGGAGAAGGAGTGCCAGGTTTATTTTGACAGGAATTCCCGGTTCATTTTGAAACTGCTATTTCACCTTTACTGATAGAGAAGTGATTGTAGCTGAGAGAAATAATTGCTAATTTAGTAATTAGCTCCTGCAAAGACAGGAGTTCATGCTCTTTCTAACTCTTTCTAAGTTTAATTTTGGCAAAAAAAGTTTTTTTCCTGAATATGTAAAAAAATACAATGGAAATGCAAATAAAAGCTGACATGTGTATATCCATATTGCAGGGGAGATATTGTGATTGACTGAGAGCGTAGATTACATCAGTCCTGCAAAGTAGTCCAGTGTTGCTGTACTAATATTGTTTTGCGGTTGGGATGAGAAAAATGAAAAGGGAGGGGGGAGCTGCTGATTTGTAACACCAACGAGGGTGGTGGTGATGAATTGCTTTCCATCCAAGGAGGGAAACAGGGGAATTCTTGGGGGGTGTAACTGTTGGTATAAACCAGGGGTAGTCAACCTTTTTATACCTACCGCCCACTAATGCATCTTTCTTGATGGTAAAATTTTCTTACTGCCCACCAGTGCTTGATGGAAGGAGGAGTCAGTTTGTGTCGTAGAACCCCCTACCGCCCCCCTAGAATCCTGAAACGCCCACAAGTGGGTGGCAGGGACCAGGTTGACAACCCCTGGTATAAACACTTAAATGGATACATTTATGTTAAAAGCTCAAAAATAAAAATAAAAATGAGGAGAGGTGTAAATTGTTGTAAGTGTAGTTATTATAAGGTCAATATTGTTCTACACTGCCTTAATATTTTATGTGGCCAGTTTATTCTTTTCTAAATATTCATATGGGCAGTTTATACATATTTTTATCAATATAAATCAATGACCACAAGAAATGCACCCAGAATACTCTAAATTTTAATAATAATAATGATAATAATAATAATAATAATAATAATAAAACTTTAATATATCTAAGCACAGGCATGAGAACTTTAGTTGCTATAAATCTTATATTTCTTATGAGCCCACACCCACCTCACCTTCCACTACCTGAAGTACCATTCCTGCTCTTACCAGTGTTAGAAACTGAGATATTAAAGCCAGGAGCTAAATGGCACCTTAAACCTAGGTTATGGGAGCAACAACTGAATGTCTAGGCGCACTTTTTTATAACAAGAATACAAAGCTGAAAATGAATGAACTGCAGCTAAAATATTACGTTCATTTTCCACATGGTCTAGTCCTTCCCCTGCCCACCCCCTTAATATTCTTAAGAGGGTCTCTTCTCCAGTCTTCAGAGAATAGCTAGAAGTGGGGAGGCAGAAAAGGTCCTCCTTTCCTTTCACTCTGCAGCTTTAATCTGAAATGTTAGCCGCAGTACTGCGCCCAGAGCTCAGAAACTGCTCGTGCTAATGAAATTCTCTGTCGCAAAATGCGCCTAGAACAATGGGAGTTTCAAACACTGGCTCTTACACTGTATTGCCTGCCTGTAGTCAAGTGATAAAAGACATACGGTAACATAACTGTCGTATAATTGAAGAAAACATGAGTTCATTGCATTGTTTTAGGAATGGTATTAGGGGAAATGGGGATCTTGGGCCTTTAACAGCTTTGTGACAGCAGAAACGAAAAATGTTGAAGCTAGTATGGAAATAAAATTACAGAAAAAACTCCATCTGTTGAAATTTTGTCCATCTGAAATGTTATTGCTTGTGTGTGGTCCAATTTATTATGGGGCCCTCCATTTCACCTGCAAAACAGGATACAAATTTGTGTATAACACAAACTGTATGCAAATTTTATGCAAAGTTTCAAGTGGCAGAAGGCCCAATTCACATATTTGGCCCAGAAAATCCTGTTGGCACCCATGCCGTGTGGCATCCACAACTTCTGAAAGACACAGAGCAGCATTCATAAAGAATCTCACCACTGCCAGGAATGCAAGGAAACCCTTTACTGATCAGGACAATCCACATTGTAAAACAGTTCCCATGTGAATTAGTGTTGCCTTTGAAAATAGTCTGGAAACTTGGGGTGGGTGTGGTTTTTGTTTGTTTGTTTGTTTGTTTACAAAATATGTAAGTTAACTGGGAGCAGACAAATGAAAATTATCTTGCCAGTCTTAAAACAGTTGCACTTACACAAAATCTGCTTCTTGTCTCAGTTCAAGCTGCTGGTTGCAGCTTTGAAAACCCTAAAGGATCAAGGCACCTTAAGGACAGTCTCCTCTCTCACACACCTGCATGGCTATTAAAATACCCCTCAGAAAGAACCATTTTGGTTCCCCATCTTCAAAAATAAGACTGACTGTGCACAGCCTTCTTTCTACTGCTCTCAGAGACAGAACAATTAATTAGCAACAATGGGATCTTCCCTCCAAATTCAAATGGCAATTGTGGAGAGGGAGAGTCCAGACTTGGGCAAAAGGATTAAAGTGCTCTCTTCACATACCATGATCCCAATCTCTCTCTCACACACACCGAGACACACTTTCACACAACAGCTGCCATTTGCTTTAAATACGTACAACCATACAATATCATATACTTTCTGACCCTCTTAATTACTTACAATTTCAATCCATTTTGGCTTTTTCTTCTTCTTTGCATTAGGACTATCTACCCAAGTTGTCAGAGAAGTGAATCAGGTCCAAATCGGTTGAAAAACGCCACCTTTGTTTTGCAAATAACCCTACTTCTATCAGGAATGTCAAAGGCAACAATTAAAAAATGCATTTACTGCTTCCTAGTCAGCTGGTACTAGATGTCTATGGATGGAGGCTATAATTTTGTCTGGATTGTCTCCTGATGCATTTGAAATGTTACAGAAGCCAGAAGAGAATACAATAGGTGGGTCTCCTCATGAGAATTAATAATCACTTTCCTGTTTCATTCTGTTGTTTGCTGACCTTTTTGCTAATTCTTCTATAGAGTGGAACAGCAGAGAATGGTTGCTTAAAATAATCTTTTCAAAGAGATGCCACAAAAACTAATCAGTTATTTTCTAAATAAGCGTAAGTAAATGCTGCCAACAAACCTAAGCAGTAAAGTATGGAAAAAGTCCAGCACTGGAAGGAGGTGGATGGTAGTAAACGTGTTTGAATGGAAGTATCAGTAGTGTTAGCACATTTGCAATATATTGTGGAAAACACAGCTGATCTGTTTTTGCTTTATTGCATTTTAGTAACTGCTGTCATAATGTAAAGATGTGCAAAGCATGTGACTAACTTCTCTAAAAAGATGTTATATATTTATAGGTTTCTGCAGTCTGGCTTCAAAGTTTATGGATTCATAAGATCAGAGAAGCAAGCTGTTTATATAAAATATTCATATAAACATCCAAATGTGATAAGAACAGCATCCTCATCAGGAACTTGTACAATAAGGTATCTTACTAGCTCAACAATTGATAAAAGTATTTGTATGATTCTCTCTCATCACAACAGCAAGAATCACATATAAGGAGAACCTGGGCACTAACCTCAATGAGTTTGGCGCAACCATGAGTATATTGTGATTTAAATATCAACCTGTACAGACAGAACACAAGAGAGGGAGGGTAAGACAAAGTGAAGGAGCAGCAGGTATATTAAGAAGTATGTGACAATAAGACAGAGGGGATTGGAAGAATATATTCAAATGATAAAAGACCATGATTAGGAGGGGGGTGGGGAGAGAAAACCCTGAAAGCAGAAATATATCACCCCACCCACAACCCAATTTGACTACATATTCAGGACTGCCAGAACTCTCCTCATGCTTTAAAAAAATAATAATACTCAAATGCTCCAAGTCTGAACTCGGCACTGAAAATATGTTCTAAGACTGGACTTTGTGCTTGTGTGTGAATGATGTCCTAACGGGTGTGCAGAAAGAAGCCCAGGAAGAGCAATGTGGGTATGTGGGGTGGAAAAGGTTGAATGTGATGTGGAAACACTTAGCTGAAGCATGACTCTGTTAGGGGTATGAGCAGGGCACTTTTTATCAGCCTGTTTATCATCAGTCAAAATGGGAATAATCATCATCATCATCACACAGGACTGTTGCAAGGATGAATATGATAAAAAGAAGACGTACAAGTGAGGCGGATGGAAGTAAAATATGTATGACTGTATGTGTTCCAAACGTGGTAGCATGAGGAATGGCACAAAAGAGCATGCATGAAATGGTCCTCTGAAGTGGCCTGCACACTGGAGGGAGAGAACAGCGCTGGATTTAGGGGAGACTATCTAGCAGTGCATGCTCCAGCAACCATTGGCATTCCTTACCTTGAATTGCCAAAGGTGTAATGAGACGTGGCACCTCACACAATTTTAAATGTAAGCTCTGGGATAGAAATAGGAGTTCTGGGAGGAGTGCCCTTCCTGAACCATCATTTGCCCCCTTTCCTATTTATTTAGATTATTCACACCTTTGAAGAATTCTTACCATGGCTTGCATTATCACCATCCAGAAACAATTAAAATATGTGGAATTATTTAAACAAACCTCACAAGGTTGCTAACTTTTGAATTATTTCTTTAGCTGAGCCTTTAATCTGAGCCATTTTATCTGCAGCAGTTAATAAACTCTGATGTTTGTCTCTCTGCAATGCTTAATTTCTTTTTAAAAAAGGATGCTGGGGCTCAATTCTGCCTAGAAACATTGCTTCCTGTGTGAGGCTCTCACTGGAGAGGGAACCTGCACTCTTCAGCCTCTTCTTACTAGGGCAGTCACCTGATTAAACTTTAGTGGACTGATTGTATGAGTTTTAGTTGCCTGATTAAATGTGTATAAACCTACATCCATAAAATATAATACTTCCGAAGCAAGAAGCTTTACTTTGTCCCTTCCTGCTTGTAGATGAGGCAGGTCTCTTGGAAGAGACAACCACTATGTGAGATGATGTTTCCTACTTGCAGGTTGCTTTTACGTTTGTTTTACAGTGGTATCTTGGGTTACAGATGCTTCAGGTTACAGACACTTCAGGTTACAGACTCTGCTAACCCAGAAATAGTACCTCGGGTTAAGAACTTTGCTTCAGGATGAGAAAGAAACCGTGTGGCGTCGGCAGCGGGAGGCCCCATTAGCTAAAGTAGTACCTCAGGTTAAGAACAGTTTCAGGTTAAGAACGGACCTCCAGAACGAATTAAGTTCTTAACCCGAGGTACCACTGTATAGCTTTTGCATATTTTTAAAAAATACATCACCATCATCTTAATCTTGGTACCTTTAAAATGGATTAATCCAGCAGATTTAATAATTTTAAAAATGCTTTTACAGAATCGGGTGGCGCTCCAATAGCACTTCACCCCGAAGTAGGCCCCGGTGAATCCCATAGGAGCCAACTCCTAGGGACCGAGGTCCCTTCAGGCCCCCCAATAAAACATTTGAGGGGGGCAGCCCCCCCCCAGTTGATGGGCATTGCCAATGTGGCCAACTATGAAGGGCGGGGCTTATCTGCCTCCCCCCCCCATATCATACTGTATTGAAGTTGGCACCCCTGATGAACTCAGCGGGCCTTACTTCTGAGTAGGCAGCCTTTGCACCTCCACGTCTCCTTTCCTCTCTCTATATAAGAGGGTGAAGGTCAGGCTGGCAGCGCGAATAAGGGCCCCGCTGCTGCTTTCACCCTGAAGGCCTCTCCCGCCACGACCTCCTGGTCCACGGGCAGGGCAAGAAAGTGCCTTTTCCTTGGGGGGGGGGGTCTTAAATTTCAAACCATTATTATTATTATTATTATTATTATTATTATTTCTCTACTTCCACCGACGACTCGCCACGTGCGAGGAGGAAGGCAGCGGGCTCCCTTCACCTCCCCGTCCCCTCAAGGGAAAACGACGTGAGGAAAAGCGACGCGGGACAGCGCGCGAGCTTCTCCTCAGAGCCTTTTCCCGCCCGCCGCCCCCTCGCAAGACAACCCTGAAGCCGAGCGCTGAGGGAGGGGCGGGGCCCGGCGGAGTCTCGCTGCCCCCCAACGCCTCTCGAGGGGGCATGAGGGGCGCCGCGTCGAGGGCGCCCGCGGGCGCAGCGGCGACGGCGGCGGCTCCTGTCAGGGCACGAGGCGGGCGGGGGTCCCTCGCGCAGCGGCAGCCGCCGCCGCCGCCGGCTGGCCCCGCCTCGCCCGGCGCCTCTCCCCCACCCCCCCCGTCCGCCCACCCATATCCCGCTCAGGAGGGGCCGGTGGGCTGGCGAGCGCCTCACAGCAGCAGCACCAGAGAGGGAGAGAAGTCCGCCTCCCGCCGCCGCCGCCGCCTCTTCATCCCCGGCAGCAACTTCCCTGCCCGGCTCCCCGCCGCCGCCGCCGCCGCCTCCTCCTTCTCTCCCTGCTTTGCAGTAGTAGCAGCAGCCGCCGCCGCTCCTCCTCTCCTCCCGGGGACGATGCTCTGGCTCCTCAGCGGCAGCTCCCGAGCCGTGTCCCCGCGGCTCCTCCGCTCCCCCGGGCTCCCCTTCGCCGCCTGGCTCCTGCTGCACCACCTGGGGGCAGCGCCCATGGCCGGGGCTTCCTCCTTCCCCACAGGTGAGGGAGGGAAGGAGGGCGAGCGGCACGCGCTCAGGCTGCCCGCCCGTGCCCAAAGTTGCGCGCTGGGGCGGGGGGGGGGGCGGTATGCGCGCATGATGGAGGCAGGTTTTTTCGGGTCGTCGGAATGGGTCTGGGGCGGGCGAGGTTCTTCTGCACGCGCGCACCCCGCGAGCATCGCGCAGGTGAGGATCCTTAGGCTGCCGAGCAGCCCGGCTGCCGAGCGTCAGATCTGGATCTGGTGCAAACCTAAAGCAAGTAACAGGGCTGTTGCCTTCGGAGATCAGTTGCATGCTTGCAGAGCTGGAGAAGGAACAGGCTGATAGCCGTAGGGTGCAGTTGCGTGGCGTGAGGACGGCTGCGTCTTCTCACTTAGGATGATCAGCATCAACAACACGCGGATAGGGAGCATTCCGCACTCGGGGAGTCCTTGAGAGCCTTTGGTCAGCAGATGTGGAGATGTTGAAAAGGAGAGGTGACCTCTTAAGTTGCATGCCTTTCAGGCAGGTGAAGGACCTCAGCTGCTCTCCTCTCCACCCCTTGCTTCATGGAGGGAACACTTTACTGACACCTGGGGCGTCCAGAGAGATGTTGAATCCATTTCTAGCCATTGTGAGAAGTGTTAGCTTTCCAGAGATGCCCCGCTATGATATTGTGCCTGAGGGTGTGTGGGGATGTGTGTGTCTCCAGGGAGGTTTTGCTCACTGGACTCATTTTGCAGCAAATTGATGCTGATTATAGTCTTGGTCTTTAGGTTTCAAAGACACCCGTGGGTTGAGTTTATGTGATCTGATCCACATAAGTAAATGAGAAATTCCCACCTAGAGACATCAGGTCCTTATCAACGTTGCCTAAATTTCATTTTTAAAAGTAACACTCCCAAAGAGTTTCAAAGGATCAAAAACATTCCTGTCTGTTGACACCTAGGAACAACTTACACAATTAATTCACCCCCATACTACTTATACTTTGGACAGTTTGTGGATGGGTAAGACAACAATAATTTTAAAAAATGTACAAATGTTTAACAAAATAGTAATAATTCCAAATACTTGCATTTCTTCAATCAAAGGAAAACCCACATTTACTTAAAAGTAAGTCCTATTCATTTCAGTGGGCTTTTCTTCCACATAAGTTGCATCCTAAGTATGTGTAGGACTACAGATTTTTTGACTGCAGTGCTGTGCATAGTTAATTCAGGCTGAACGTGAGCAAAGTGGGAGGAGAAAGTATTAATTTTTAAAATATCTATTGCAGGTTCTGTTGCAAAATGTGAAAATGAAGGAGAAGTACTACAGATCCCCTTTATCACAGACAATCCTTGCATAACGTGCATTTGCCTGGTAAGTGTGAATTCCACTGATAAGATCAAACAATAATGTCTCATGTAATCAAATTTCCTTATCTTTTCCCTTTGTGCCGCCAGAGATTAATTTCCAGTCCGTAATCTTGGAATCATATCCTTGACTTTTGCTTAGACACAAATCTTTCAGCTGACTTTGCCCATGACATTGTCAGGCTACCTGAACGCTCTTGTTTACAGGATGTATTTGTGATTGAAGCTTTTCCCCTCTAATGTCCATTGTGCTGAGCCACTGTTAAGTGGTTTTTGTGCTTGTAGAGTTTGTACTTATGGATGAGAAGGAATTGATGTTTAGCTGAGCCTTTGCTTATTTTCTGCCCAAGTTCTAAAAATTGGCTTCAGAGATGCAATGAAAAATATAACAGGTCAGTAACTGCAACAAAATCCAGGTGCTTTAGAAGTCCAAGTCTGCTTTCGAAATGCAGTGTGTTATACATTCAGGCTCTGCATTCTTGGCTAGACATATTGTAATAAAAAGACAATGCCAGCACACATGATACTTCTATCAAAAAACTGCACTCCGAGGATGACACTGGCTGTTGTTTGTTCAGGAAGTTCAGATTCCCTGGTAGTTAACAATGACCCTGGTTTGTATTCTGCACCAAAGGAAATACCCCCTTATTCTTGCAAGGGATCTCAGTTTCACAGTAGAAATGCTTTGCAAGCCAGACTGTCAGAGCCACATAAAAATAATCACTGTCAGTTGGAAAACAAACAAATTTGAGCAGATATTTTTAAAAGGATTTCCCCCCAAAAAAGTCATATGGGAACTAGGGTAGGAATAACTGCATTTATCTAAGTGAGGGAGGAGCAAGACCCTGCAGAATGTTTTTTTGGTCATAAAACGAGGGTTTTCCATCTGTCAGATCAGAAAAAGGGACAGGTGGTATAGGTCACCATTGCTCCAAAAACCTCAAACCACTCTTTTATTTATATTATGAAGGTGCCCAGCTCTGCAGTTTGTCTCGTTAAGTGAAGGCAGGTGTGCCTGGCCATTATTTAGAGAGCCATCAAAACTTTGTATCAGTGTTCGTGATAGTAACTTTAGAGGAGGAAGAGAAACTGGCAGAAAAAATGGGATGGTGGGGAGCAAAGTGAAATATAATGAGTTGTCTGTGGTTTTCCTTTTCCCAAAGATGTCTGCAGCCAGCTGTTTTTCATGTGATTTGCAGTTGAATATATCACATATAGCTTGTGTTGTTCATATCTTATCATGTTTAGTGTCCTAATTAGTGCTTCAGTTTGGATTTTTTAAACATAAAATGGAGATAAGTTACAATGTTAAACAGGTGCTGCTGCTAACCTTTGTACTGTGTCCTCCATATTTCTTGCAAAAATCCCAGAATAGCTCTTCTCCTGGCTATTTTCCTGCGGCATTATAAGAATGTTAGTTCCCTTTCAGTTTTCGTATGTAAAGGTTAACCTACTAACAGATACCCTCCCATCCCACACCCAACTGAATATTATGTTACTTATTTTATATTTGTGTGTCCATGATTTTCAGTTTGGAGACTGTCATTTGCATTACTATCTTCCTTAAATTTTAAGGGCTCCTGTTCTTACTTTTGAGCTTTGGCTTATAGACTGAACTTTGGGTGCCTGCCTGCCCCTAGGTCTGTTTTAGATCATTATCTTGGTCCATCCAGAGTCTAGCCCAGTATAAGATGGAGCCATATTGGGCTCTGCTGTATAGCATTCCTGAACAAATGACACCCTCATTTTTCACAGTACTGTACTCAATAGGCAGAGGGAAGAAGGCAGGGAATTCCCTGCTGGAGCATTACTGCAAGGACTAAGGTTCTCAGCATTGTGGAACCTGCTGTGAGCAAGTGCAATTACGTCTGAAGCTTCCTTGTGTCTTCGCCCTCCTCTCCCACTAGTTGAAAATCTCCTAAATTCACTTTATGGATGCTTGCGTGTGCATCCATCACTAACTCTTTGCATAACCTAATAAAACTTGAACACAACACAGCTGCCTGTATGTATCACATATACTTTTTTTGAAAAAGGAAAGCAGACCACCATTCAAACAGGTGAAACCATGCGCATGCACAGTTTTTAGAGGGGTACCTTGTTGCAGGAAGAACAAGGCACTTTGTGGCACTTAGGAGTCCACAAAATGCTTTAAGGTGTCATAAATAGGATGTCATAAACACTGCTATTTCTGTGGGGGAACGCAAATATGTGAGTTCTAATAACTATTTTGTATATGAAATGTGATATCAGAGCATTGCTTTGTGTCTCTTCATTGAATGCTCTGACTGACTTGTCATTTCATAAGTAAAATAGGTATTAGGTCCCACACGTTGCTCCCATTTCCAGTTGTGATCTTCCAGCCAAAAGCTCAGCAGCTCTTCTTCATGCTACAGGAGGTCTACATACCAAATTTGGCTCAGCTCCATGAACTTGTTTTGGGGTTATTGTGGCTATACTTCATGCAAATTAAGTTAATGATTTTTCATTGAAAAAGAAAACAACCCCAAATTTTTATCATCTTCAGAATTGCCTATCATTCTACAAAGAAGTTACATTCCATGTGCACAACAGCTCCCACTAAAGAGGTACATCAGATTGTAGTGAGTTGCACTTAGGTGTTTGAGCATTTTCACACTTGCCTTTGCACTATTTTTGTTAGTACTTGATCCTTGTTAGTGCAGAAGAGAAGCTGCAGAGGCATTTTCCAATGTGACCATGCCAATGTAGGTTTTATATTTTCATTACAAAGAGGTTTAAACAAGAGCTGCTTTGGTCCCATTTGTGAAAACACCTAATGCTAATTCTGTAGTTTATAAGATGGTTGCCACTTGTACTATAGTAGTATTGTAAGATTTTAAAAAGTAACTTGGATTGTCTAGACTGGTATGTGTAAAAAATGGTTGTGTGAATTGTCTCTGTGCGTTACCTGCTGGAGAGCTGGAAGTATAACTTTCATATCCGTCTGTTTGTACAATCATTTCTGTATGTACTTTTGTAAGGGCTGTGATTTGTACTTGAATAATACCTTCCACTCAAGCCCTTCAGACTGTACAAACATTGACGAATGGAGCCTCACACGAACTCTGCGTCAAACAAGGAGCCTTACGTACAGAGAGATGTGATTTGCTTAAATGCGTTCCAAGAAGGCAAAGCAGGGAAAGGAGCCATAGACCAGTAGCCTTCAGCCTTCACAGACACAGAACCTGCTTTCAACACAAACATGCATTTAGGGAACCTTTTAAAAAACCATATATCTGTATGGCAGGAGTGCTTCTGTTATGACCCACCTTATACTGAGCCATGACCCAATAATGGGTTGTGAGCCACAACTCAATAGTTGATTCTGAGCCACCAGTTAAAGATACAGTATAGCACTCACCTCTGCTATTGTTTTAAACATCGGCTGAAAACTTTTTAAATTCAGCAAACCTATCCAAACATGCAACTGAGTTATATATACTTGCATTTAATTTTTACTCATTTTATCTAGGTTTTATTGATAATTGATTTATATTATTTTGTACATCTCTTAGAGATTTATTTTTTGTTGATGATGCGGTTAATAAATATTTATAAATAAACAGACTGTTATCTTCTCAAACCATTTATTCCAGCCCAAGGTATATAACTACTAGGGCTATTTGGAAGTAAAAGTCTGGAGTGTAACAATGGCATCTCTTAATTCTTCACTTTTTTATTCACATATATTCTTATTTGCCTTCCAGAGCTCTTTATTCTATGTCCATCAATATTTAGCCACGTTTGTCTTCACACTGTACTTGCACATGGGTGAATTAAAGTACAACTATTGAAGGACATTGCCCTCTGCAGGCATTCAGTGTTCATTCTTTTCTATGCATGGAAGGGGCAGGGTGGAGCTGTGAATGTGCCCCTTCTCCAGATGCCCAGCATCCCTCTGCACAGCAGAGTGTTTGCATCCAGGGACAGCCAAAACTTGCATGATTGACCCAGATCACGTGAATTTTGACTATGCATGCAGGCTGTGTGCAAATATTCTACTTTACTCGTTAATATCAGGCACATGGTTCACAGCAGGCCTGTTCTGTGCCAGCAGTATGCAAAATCACCTACTTTTTCCAGATATGTAACCCTTTATTTATATTTCAGTGTATGATGAGCCACATATTCTTTTGCCTGTGGCTTCTGCACTTCCACTTTGAAATAAGTTTTGGTCATCCAATGACCCTGCTTTGGCAACATTATGACATGCAAACCTGTATAGCTTTCTTCCAAAATATTGCAGTCATAGTAGTATTGTGATGGGCATGCAGCTTGTCCCATTGTCAAGGGACGATGATAATCTTAAATAGCCTGATTTTCAGGTCCCATCGTTTCAGTCCTTGAAAGAGGCAAGGAAACAGTAGAACCATCCCAGTTCTTGATGTTCCTTCCCTTTTGCTGGGAATGCAGTATAAAACTTAAGCCTCCTTTCCTTGCTGTGCCACTACTGAGCTCTGCCCGTATTTGGTTTAAAAACATAAGAGGAACCCCATTAGATCAGCCTAAAGGCCCATCTGATCCATCATGCTGTACTTACAGTGGTCAACCAGATGGCTATGGGGAATTCGCAATCAGGATCTACATGCAACAGCACTCCCCACAATTGTGATTCCCAGCATCTGGCATTTGTTCCCATACCCAGAAAGAATACTCAAGGCAACTTATTTTTTTAAAAAAATAATATTTATTAAAATTTTCCAATCAAACCAAATTGTATATTCCAAATTATACAAATTATCCAATAATCAAACAAGTCCCAATGTTATGCCTAATTATAAATTATTATTATTATTTAGCTGACTTCCCGTGCTTCGAGATCGGAGGGAATCCTAATCCTCAAGGCAACTTATTAAGTGATTAAAAAACTATTAAAATGTAACAAATTAGCTCATTTGCTAAGTGTGGGCAATCAATGAGGGAAGCATCCCTTACCCCATGGCATGTAAGCTGCCACATTATTTGCGCCACAGCCAAGGATTGGGAGAAGGTCTCCCCCTTGCTAAATGAGTCTTAGGTTAGTGAAACCCAAATTGTGCACCTGCACCCCATCGTCCAGCATACATCGTGATGCACAGACCAGGCCCCAAAGGAACCCCCCAAGCTTCCAGTTATGGGTGATGACTCAAAAGTACCGTTATCCCCATTATGCCTTGGGGTGGTAGTGAATTAAGGCCTTATCTTTCCTTACGTGCCTTCAAAAGTGGTGGGAGAGCATAGCCATTATGGTTAGTAGCCATTGACAGGCCTCTCCTCCATAAATTTGTCTAATCCTCTTTTAAAGTTGGTGGCTCTCACTGTATCTTGTGGGAGCAAATTCCACACTAGGTGCTGTATGAAGTACTTTTTTTGTCTTGAATCTTAGAACATTCATCTTCACTGGGTAGCCCCAAGTTGTAGTATCATGAGATGTGGAGAATGGAGATCTAAAGAAGTGAGGGTTTTGAAAAGAATACAACTCATCATCCATCCGCAGATGAAAAGTTCCAGAACTGCACCGCATAGCCTACAGGTTTCAGTGTTGTGACTGAAATGCAGGATTAAGGTTTATAAGACTTCGCAGGTGCCTTAATGGAAGGCTGCATAACTAAGGGCACTTCTTCATTTTAGGCTGTGAAACGTAAGGATTTAGATGAAGCAGGACGGGTTCACATTTATTACTTTACGATTTTAACATCAACTAATGACTTTTGATTTGTGACTGGTATATTACTTGTAACCTTTTTAATGTCTAAAGATAGGACTTTCATATTATCTCAGAAACAATGTTATTCAGTAGAGTCAGTTCCTGCATTCACATGCCAGTCATCAAGTACAAAATCATCAAGTGATGGGCCTGCGCGTCTAAACCAGGCCACAGACTCGGGAATTTGAAGGAAACTCTCATTTTGCCATGGCATTATGTAGGGACCTGTTTTATATGAAAGTTTTGCAATACAGTCATATTACCTCATATAACGTTTGCTTCATGTTACATTTTTTCAGGTTGTGTCCCGCGGCAACCTGGAAGTACTGGAAAGGGTTACTTCCAAGTTTCGCCGCTCGCACATGCGCAGTAGTGCTAAATCGCACTTTGCGCATGCGCACAAGTGCCAAATCATGCCACACAGATATGGTGCTTCGGGTTGCGGGCTTTTCACGTTGCGAACGGGCCTCCAGAACGGATCCCTTTCGCAACTAGAGGTACCACTGTATAGAAAAGGGATAAAGCAACCGGAATATTTTATGGTAAACCTTGGTATAAGCGCACTAGAAGACCATATTTAGCTTGATTCTTCTATGTCTGAAAATAGTTCACATGGGATATTGTAGCATTTCTTTGTAAAAATATGTCATGCTTCAATGTTATCTCAAAGAAGTCATAAAATTGCCCCAGCATAGCAGAAAGAGCTGAAATGAGGTCTGTGCATAATTACAGGATTTAAAATGTTTGAGTGCTCCCCACAAGATCAACCTAGCCTGAATTAAAATTTTTGAGTTTTTAAATGTTGGGAGATGATTATGGTCATGAGGGTTGCAGCTTGGGTGGTGTTGGTGGAACAAACCATATAATTTCATCCCATGTGTCATTGTCTGCATAAGACTGGAGCGTCTTACCAGATGGCAGCTGGGATCCAAGAATAACCATCCCATAAGCTGTTTCTGGATATTCAGTTTTTAAAACAAAACCAAAGGGAAAGATTAAGCACACTACTGCAACTGGATGGGTGACAGGAAATGCTTGACAGTCTCTTCCATCACACAGATTTGTACTGGCACAAAAGAGGTGTGTGATGTTGCATAATGAACAATATGACCCAATCTATTGGAACATTTTAAGGCATGTTCAAACATACCTCAATTAGGACTACTCCCCATGGAGCTTGGCATTGGGGGATTCATAAAAACAAACCGATTGACTGGGGCTTGCACCAGGGGACCCTCTGCACAGTGTCACTAATTCCTCCCTCCAATGTGGCACGCTTTTTCTCTTGCTGCCACCATGCCATCCATCTGTAGACTAGGGCATTGCATTTTAGGTAAGTTGAAATGGCGACTGGTCACTTTGGATGAGAGCCAAGCTTGCCTTCCATTCAAAAGTGACACCACCACCCACCCATGGCTAAAATGTAACCTGGAGGCCCGGAAAGGCTGATAGTAAGGTAGCAAAGCCCTGTCATGTTGGTGAGGAGACATTTTGAGCAAGTGAGGCCCTTGGCCTGTTCCTGACCTGGGGTTGGGGAAGAGAAAGAAATGAGGAAGACACAAGCAGTGCACCTGATCCACAAGCTGCTTTTGATAGTTAATTAAATGCAAGAACAGAGACATGTCTTTTGTCTGCAAGAAATCCTTGACTTTCTTCTATTAGACTCCTCACACCTTGGCCTGTTGAGGTGGTAAAACATTGTCTGACTTGTGCCATTGAAGACGGCAGCTTCGGTGCGCTGTTGCTTGGAATCAATAAACAAATGAATCCCTCCATACAGAAAATTTGGTGTCAAAGAGAAAAGCTCTAACTGGAGCACAGGGAGGGAGGTTTTAAATGGAAGTGTGTTTAGTCATTTGATCCCCTACCTGGAGTCTGATGTGATACAGCTCACACAGGGATTTATTATCTCAGTGAGGACTAGGCCTTAGTTAACTTTCAAAAGCAGGTGATCTGACATTGATCTCTTGCTATATCTTGGAGATGTAGCCATAAGTCTTTACAAGCCAATGATTGCAAGAGCTGATTTCTCATTTCTTAGTTATCCTGCTAAAACAGCTCTACACTGAATCAAGTCTTCTAGGAATGTAGATAAGTTTTAAATTCTGTTTTGTGTGTGTGTTGTTGTGTAGTACTTTTGAAAACTATGAGTGAAGTAACAGTTGATAAAAGCCAGAGTAATGACCTTGACAAATGACATCCATACCAATCCCCCCCACCCCGCCAAACCTAAAGCCTGCCAAGTGTACCTGAGCAGCAGTAATTGTAGTTCTCAACCTTTTATCACCTAAATGTGGAACAGAAGGAAACCAATGTGAGCCAGAAAGTGTAATCTGGCGCTGGAAACATGAGAAAAGTTGGGAGACAGGCACTCAGGAAACGAGAAATCGGAGCTTTGCTTGGCATGAGTTTTATTCAGCATGAAACATCATTCTGTAGTTTAAATTTCCATTTCTATATCCAAATGTGCCATGTAGAATTTGACCTTGCAGTTATAAAAATTATGTGAAGCTCAGTGTTCTAAGAATTGGGTTCTACCTTGCTTGAGAGAACGAAGAGGTGTAGTGAAGGAAACCTAAAATTCTTCACATCTAATATCAATAAATGAGTAAATAAACAAATAAACAAATATTGCTGACCAACACCCATGCTCACCTGTCTTGAATTCTCTACATACCTGTTACAAGCCTTTTGTGCAACATCCCATTTGCAAGTGATGCTCCGTCTGGTCTAAAAGCAACTGTTTGGCATATGTCTTTGGTGAAAACAGCAATATCTTAGTACATCAGGATCCAATTTTTGTTGTATCAAGGTATAATATGGCCCAGATGAAATGTTGTGGAATAGTGCATATTAAAAGAAAACCATCAAACAGTACTTTCAAACCTGTTTTATTCAATATAATTTCATGAGTTGATGTACATTGTCCAAAAGAGCCTACCTGAATTTAATCTTCCCTCACTTTAAATGCCTTTATTGCTGTAAAGTACAATCAATTTTCTTCTCCTCCCCTCCTACACAGTGGTTAACGGTAACCTTTTATGGCATCATGCTGAAAAAGGTTTTGATCAGAATTTGGTAAGTGCATCCCAGAGTAGAAATGGGACCATATGCTGTTCCTTTTAAATGTTTTCACAGATGCATCAAATGTACACGAGACAGAAATCATGTTTAGAGTAGTGAGGTGCCTGAAGCATGTTTTTGTATTGTCATATTGACCAATGCTAAATTCGTATGTGTGAATTAATGATTAAAAGGATGCATAAATAAATAAATCAAGAAGGTAAAAGTTCTCCAACTGCTCTACTTGTTATTTTCGTTCTATAACGGACCCAGTGGCTGCAGGGCAAGAGGAACCGGAATGCTGGTGGTTCTCTGGTTGAAAGCAAAATAAACAAAGTTCAGTTCCTTTCCTCAGGTGCATAACTGCAGTCATAAATTCAAACAACAATTTATTGTATATAGCCAAAGGCCTTCACAATAAACAACACAGGGCAAAAAGTAAGATATTCGATTAGAATCACACAACATAAATTTAAAATTACACAGCATAAAATTTTGAAATTACAATGCATTAACATAACTGGAGCACAGCTGCTTAGGTGCCAGAGCAAATTTGGCTACCAGATATGTAATTTGTAGGTATTTATCAGCTAAGAGTTCAGCTATCCATTCCTGGGGGATCGCTCTGAGAACTAAATCAATAAATAGTGCATGATATTCTCAACCTGGTTACATCCATAAATGCATTCCAAAGTATGTTCCCTCTAAGGATGCTGAGGGCATCTGTTGAAAGCTAAGTTCAACAAAGACCCTATGTAATTGTGGAAAGGCCAGTGTCTCAAGGTAATGGAACCTTGAGTGGTTGTCCTTGCTTTGAGGGCACTAAATAGAGTAATGGGCAGTAATAATGGATTTTCTACCTTGGTTGGTGTCATGGTCAAAGATCCACTTTCTAAGATCACACAAGCTAAGGGACAAATATTTATCCTTTTGGAGATTGTAAGCCTTAAGCTTGTCTTGACACTTTTGTGCCCGACCTTCTGTTCTTAGTTGCTCCAACCAGCAGAGCTTGGTGATGATATGATCCTCAAAGGCATTTAGTCTACGCCAGTATATTAAAGTAGGCTAGTTTAATTCTGGCTGCTATCGAAAGGAGACTCAACTCAGCTCTAAGGTGAGCCAACAGAGTCCTAGGAGAAACCCCCAGTATCTGCCTCATAAATTTAACTCTCGTGTGAAGATCAGAGTACACATGGATTTATGGAGTGAAATAATTTTGAGAAATGGTCCTTGTAACATAAAATGATTTTGTAACTAACGGAAATGACACAGAAATAATAACAGTAATTTATTATTTATATAGGTAAAATGGTAGAATAAAAGACCGAGGGAGCCGGTATTTTCCACAGACAGCTTGTGGCAAGCATGTGGCAAGCATGACTAAACCGCTTCTGGTGCAACAGAACATCGTGACAGAAGCCAGAGCGCACAGAAATGCCATTTACCTTCCCACCACAGTGGTATCTATTTATCTACTTGCAGTGGTGTGCTTTTGAACTGCTAGGTTGGCAGAAGCTGGGGCAGAGCAATAGAAGCTCACCCTGTTGCGGGGATTCGAACCACCAACCTTCTGATTGGCAGGCCCAAGAGGCTCAGTGGTTTAGACCACAGCGCCACCTGCATCCTGTATCATTCATTCATACATTTGTTTGCTTGCTTGCTACCCATCTGACTGGGTTACTCCAGCCACTCAGGGCTGTATTTCACAGGCTGGGAACAATCTATTTTTCAAATGCGTTTCACATTTAATTGATCATAATGAGAACCAATACAATGTTTGGAAGTCTGCATTGATTACAGATTTTGACGTCGCTCTGCCGAAAGAGAACCAATACTGTAGTAGTGTTAGCACATCAGTGCTGCACTTACTGCAAGCTGTAAAGTGCCAAAGGCTTTGCTTTGGCATAATTAAGAGCTCCAGAAATCTCAATACAAAAACACATAGTTAAAATGAATAAATAATAAAAATTTGTAAAGGGCACCCCACCAAATACCATAAACTAAATGGGGAAAGTGTAATTTAGGTTGAAAATGTCTCTGGAATGTTTCTGCTTTATATGCAAAATGGGTCTGGGTCTGTGCTAAAGAAAGAAATGGATTTCCCCCCTTTATTGCCAATAAGAGCAGTGTTGTTAAAGAGAAGGTTCAATATCAAAATTCAGTTTTAAAAGCATACTGTTACCTGTGCATATTCCTTTATAAGCTTTCAAGTTTCTTCTATTGAGTTGCTAATAGACTTTTTAAAAATTACGATCTTGTAATTCAGTTGCAGGGATATCTGGTATTCTGCCGACGTTGCTATATAAAAATAGTCATTTTTCTTTAAAAAGGGGGGGGGACCCCTCTTATTTTTAGTTTCCCATAATGTTTTAATATTCAATTCTGGAGGTGGATATGTAAAGGAATTCATGTTTAAACTTGAAAAGGCACCATAAAAATAAAAATAGCTTGTATGAAATGTTTGCATTTCAAGACTATAGAAACTGCCACTGTTCTGGTGTTTTTATTTTAATGTAATTAAAATAGCAATGCTGTCCTTCAGCTTTGGATGTTTCCCGTTCTTCTTAGCAAGTACTGCTTGTAGGCTTAACCCAAATAATAGTTGCTGTTTATTTTTGTTTTTAAAGAATATATTATTATTATTATTATTATTATTATTATTATTAATAATAATTTAAAAGGAAGGGTAGAGCAGAGAGGAGCATTGCTGGATCTGATCCCAGGCCAATCTAGTTGACAATTTGGTTATCAACCCCACATCCCACTTAACATTTTTTTCCCTTTTACTTGCATGAATCCAACCCCTGACCCCATGATGTACCAGTGGTACCCCCAACTACTCAACCCTTTGGGCCTCTTCTCTGAGAAGTTATCTGGAGGGTCTTCCATCATTCAGAAGTTCAAGGCAGAGGAATTCTGCCACCAGATGGACAGAGTGCAAAAGCCTCTTTGAAATAAGAGAAAAAAACACCTGCTACTTTGTGTCCAAACCATTAATTTATTGTATTTGTAGATAAGTCTTCATTTAATCACATCCTGTCAATGGCATAGGTACATCCCTGCTGAACACTTCTTCACCCCTAACTCTTTAATTCCTAGTACTGTGAAATGTTATTTCACATACACATGAAATAAACTTTTTTTATATATTTAGGAATTTGAAAGTTGTTATTTGAATGTCACTAACCATTTTTAAAGACTTGGATTTTGTTATGATGGACAGGATCCATAAACTCTACCATACAGTTGAACACTTCTAGTGAAGCTGTTTTGTGCTGAGTCACATTATTGGCCCATCTCGCCCAGCATTGTCTACCATGAGTGGAAGTGGTTCCCTGGGGTCTCAGAAAGTGCTGTTCCACACAGGGGCACACCTAGGAGCTGCCCAGGTTGGCCCCCAGCCAGGGAGCAGGCCCATGGGGGCGCCAAAATCGTGCCTGGTTTGGAGGGGCAGAGCGCCCAGGGGCGGGGGGCTTTGGTGGTGCTGATACAGCTCCTTGACAAGGGCTCAAGGGAGCCTAGGTACACTTCTAGGTAAAGGTAAAGGGACCCCTGACCATTAGGTCCAGTCGTGACTGACTCTGGGGTTGCGGCGCTCATCTCGCTTTATTGGCCGAAGGAGCCGGAGTACAGCTTCCGGGTCATGTGGCCAGCATGACTAAGCCACTTCTGGCGAACCAGAGCAGCGCACGGAAACACCGTTTACCTTCCCACCGGAGTGGTACCTATTTATCTACTTGCACTTTGACGTGCTTTTGAACTGCTAGGTTGGCAGGAGCAGGGACCGAGCAACAGGAGCTCACCCCATCACGGGGATTTGAACTGCCGACCTTCTGATCGGCAAGTCCTAGTCTCTGTGGTTTAACCCACAGCGCCACCCGCTGTGGTACACTTCTAGTACCACAGTAATAACTGAGGTTCCAGGGATTAAACCTTGGAGCTTTTGCTTGCAAGACATGCACTCTACCCATAAGCTACAGCCCCACCCCATCAGTCAGCCATCAGTGCTTGCCTCTCAGTGGATGTCATCTTCTGTTCCCATGGTAGCGCTTGGATAAGGCTCCATGATTCTTACCTTTTATTGTTCAGCTTGGGAAACTTTCCTGGAATGCTGCTCTTGACTGCAGACTGCAGGAAGAATTGGACTATGGCAGATGCAATCACCATAAACTCTCCCAGTGTCACGGCGTTTAGGTTATAGGGTTTAAGGTTATTGTCACAAAATTATAAAAACTTAAATACACCTGGCAATCACACTCCGTATATGTGAGCAGTTGTCTGCTCACTCGTAAAACTTCCCAAAGAGTTCCTGCTTTTATACATTCCATTTCAGCGCAGACCTGGAATTGTACACTTCTCTTCAAATGAATGTGGCATTTCAAACAGAGAAAACATCTGTAGCTGGCTTTCCTCCTGAGTGGATTTTTTCAGCCATGCATAATCCCGTTTCCTGGCATTTGAGGACGATTAGTTGGATTAACAAGATGCTATCTGCTGTCACTAGCTATGGAAAGTAACCTCCTTGCAAAGATCGTAATGGCACTTGATATATCACACAGCTTTTATAGCCATCACGAGGTGTAACTGCAAGAGCCAGATCCAAAGCAGGTTGTGTTTCAAGTCCCACAAGGCCCCTTCTTGACTTGTAAGGATTGCTGGTGGTCGAGGCCAACCATTCAGATGTCTTTGACAGTGTCCCACTGGTGACCAGAAGTCACTTTGTCAAAATGACAGATGAGCTGTGCATGTAGCTTTTTCACTCTGCCACTTTTGTGTGTGATGTCAGCTCTGCTCACTTGTCAAAAGTAGGTATTTTTGTTATATCCAGCAGAGCCGGTGGGGGAGGAAAAGGGAGCAAAGAAAGCACAATCTGGTTGAATAGCTCCTAGTCAACTATTATTGAGGATAATAAACTCTGCTCTTTCCCCTAATCTGTTTTATGTGCTGGAGTGCAGAAGTAGGAATAGGAGCTGGGTTTTTTTGAAAGTCATTCTGGCCCTGCTGGGTTAAGATTTTTCAAAAGCTTATTATTATCTTCTCGGACATAATGCAATATGTTTATTCCAATAAGTAAACCCATTACGGGGAACAAAACTGTTTATGTGACTTACTACTCAGTAGCAATGAATGTGGTCTATGAACTGCTGGAAGCAACCTTGTATGTTCTGGTTCTAGCACATTGCTACAAAAATAACTCTTCAAAAGGTTTTTATATGATAATAATTATAACCATAGGAATTGGGTAATTCTCAAACTGGAGCTCACTGTATGAGCAACTAGGACTCGGAGGAACCACCATCCTGATTTCTTGATGAGGGCACTGGAGTTAAAGGCTGTGGAGGAGGAAGCCAAGGCTGCCCCATTACATTTTGGTGCCCGAGACAGAGCAGCAGATCTCTGCTCCCCAAAGTCAAGATGCTTAGCACCCAACGCTGGTCAAATTATTGTATCACCTGAGCCAGAACACCCCACAAGTGACTCTGGCTTCATACGCACCAACCCGTATGTAGCACAAAAATGTAAGGTTCCCCCCCAATCCAGAATCATTCATGTTCATCCTTAGCATGTTGTTTTCCATCTAGATTATTCTACATCCTGCTGTCCACAAGGGAGGGTGTGGTTACATGATATATGTTTGAAAACCCTGCCCTTAATTACTTCTTTTCCTCCCTGCACATTCCCCAGGTGAATGCAGAAGGAAGTGGTGCTTGCAAATTTGGCATATGCACATCCACAATGTCACTGGGTAGGTGTGGAAACACCCTCTGTTGCTGGGACTGCCTGCATCTGTTGTCAAATGGACACGGTGCAATGGATTTTATTTTCAGAATGAAGTCAGTTTCTCAAGAGGCAGTAGCAATTGCAGCTGTATTTTACTCTTACTGGGGTAACTGGATTAATTAAAGGCACTCGTATTTGATATAAACCATCAGCATGACTTGAAGCTGCCAGCTGGGAGCATTGGTATGCGTGGGAACTTTTGCACAGGCAGTGCCCCTCAGTATTGGCGCTACTCTGTAATCCACAGCTACATAATGAAAGTGAACTGATTCATATGTATATGCGCCATGGCCGTGAAATAGGGCCAGAGCCGTCTTTCCCATTGGGCTTACTGGCACAGTGTGCCAGGGCGCCGGTCTCTCAGGGGCGCCCCAGCGAGTGGGGGAGCTGCACGGTTTTCCCAGCGGCCTCCCCTTTCCCTCCTGCACACCTGCCAGCTGCGCCCCGTCAACCATATGACTGGTGGACATGCAGCTTCCTTCCCAAGCCCCTGCGGGAGGAGAGCGATCCCCACAGAGGCTTGGGAAAAGGTCAATAACTCTGGGAAGCGGGGTGGGGGCGCCAGAGGAATCTTTGCACCACGGCGCCGGGCATGCTTAAGACGGCCCTGAATAGGGCTAGGACTGCAGTGTAGTTGCTGGAGAGTGGGAAATAAGTACCATCTGAAAATCCCAAAAGTAAGACAAATAAAATTCAACCATGTATTAAGGAGTCTTCTGGTTGCCTTTTCTGAAGGCTGTAGAAAAGATTTATGTTTAAATATGTTAATAATGTTAGAGGATTATCATGTTTATCATAATTGCCACCAACATTCATTGGTCTTCATTAGTGAAGAAAGGGTGTGATGCCACTTATTTGAATGGCAGTGCAATATAGAAGTGATAGATTTGACCCAGTGGCTTTAGGAAATTAGGTCAGCCTTAAAGCTGTAGTATATTGCCTAAAAAGGTAGCTTTTTGGCAGACCTGCATGGATCTTGTTTTGTTTTATCCCCAGGAAAACTGACATACCACTTTTACAACTTTGTTTACACAGGTCTGCCTAAGCTGTTTTCTCTCCTTTGTAATATTTGCTAATACGTAGCACAGGCAAGATCACAGAAAGAAAATAAAGCCAGGGTCAGCTCTTATTCTAGCTGCAAGTACTTTAAGGCAGCAGTGTCTGGAGGCCTCCTTGTTTAGATAATTTTGTAATAGAAAACAGATTGCTGCTACTTTCGTTGGGCTACTATTTTTATTTTGCTGTTGCTTTTCAAGCTCTTTGGGCAGAGCTTCACAATTTTATGCAAAGGCAACAAAGAACCTCCTTGACATGTTTTTCCTTGTGTTTAAATCTGCGGTATAATTTATAACTCACTAAAACGTTTCAGAATTTCAAGGTCAGAACAGGGAGGAAAAAAGTACTGAAGAAAATAATGCCCTGGACCCAAAAAAGACACTGTAACACATACCTGCCCTTCGCATTTTAAAACTGTGGATAACACACACACACATACACACACTGATGGAAAGAAAAGCATTCCCTGTTGCTTCCTCTGTCATCTGTCATATTTTTAAGAATAGAGTATCATGAGAACACTGGAGTTTGGTGATGTATTAGGGTCATATATCTCTAAAAGATCATTTCTTTAAAGGATATGAGCGGTGGAAGACATGATTCTGGCCAGACAGATCAGCAGGGGATTTTTCTTTCTTTCTTCCTTCTTCTTTAATCTAACTCTGTTTTTGTGTTATACAGAAGTGAATTTCTTCATGGGATATGACTTGTTGCAAAATAAGCTGGGAGGCCCAGTGGGCTTTGTAAACTCTTTTGAAACTGAACGGCTTCAAGGGCCGCTTTGTTCAGAGTTTTTAGTACAGGCTCTGGCCACAAGGAAGCCCAACAAGGTAATATTTGTCATGGCCCAAATCTCCAGTGTAAAGACCGTCTAAGCAGACCTTTGATATGTAGGAGAGATGGAGAAAGAGAGAGAGAGAAGAAAATCACAAGGCAGCTGCAGTGGAAGCAGTGACGGAATGAAAAAGGCTGTGAAAAAGGTTATCATTCGGTGAAGCACAATACTGGTAGGGTAAAACTTTGGGGAACTATTCAAAGAACTCAACAGTTTTCTTTTGTTGAGAAAACATGGGCATCCTAGAGAAATTCAGTTGTTGTATTTAGGAGAACATCTTGTTACTTTTCGCTGTAGGACTGCAAACACTTTTTCTTTGCACTCAGTATCAGTGGTACAGAGCCCTGGGATTTTTCAGCTGCCTTGATCCTACCCAGTACCCATATATAGTGCATGGTTGCTTGTCCCACAGTGACATCAGGGAAAATGTATAGCTCCCAACAGAGAAAGTGAGAAGGTACTATCTGGGCACAGGACCAGTGACAGCGCAAGAACAACTCAAATGCAACATGAATGATAAGAAAATGGACACTTTGAATGTGACATATGCTCAGGAGTGATATGAGTTTTGTGTCTATGAAGATGTGCTTAATTTTGAACACTCCTAGCTATGTAGAGAGAGGGCTCATTATCATAATTTCAGAGGGCTCACTACAGGCATTGGTAGGTTTGTTTTATTTTGAAAGGGAGCTCCTGATTGTTTCCACACAAAGCTGCTTCAGCAACCATTCCCTCTTTCTGTGGAACAGTAGATACTGTTGTTTTGCAGTGGATATTAGGGACCAGAAAAGTCTCAACATACTCACCAAACAACATTTTTTCAATATTCTTTGGGGGAAACCATTGCTGTCAGTGTAATATATAGTGGACGCTTGGGTTGCGAGCGTGATCCGTGCGGGATGCACTTTCACAACCCACAGTGTCCGCAACCCGCAATGGCATGTCTGCGCATGTGCGGGTTGCGATTTGGTGCGTCTGCGCATGCGCAAAGCGCAATTTAGCGCTTGTGCGCATGCACGACTGCCAAAACCCAGAAGTAATCCATTTTGGTACTTCCAGGTTTTGGCAGTCCGCAACCTGAAAAAACGCAACCTGAAGCGTCTGTAACCTGAGGTATGACTGTAAAAACAATCCAACTTTTGCAGTATGTGTACAGTACCTTGACCTCAGAACATCCTGGTCTATGGGCAGACTGTTTTAACAGGTTTCAAATAAAATACTCAAATCAATACTATTTTTTTTAGACAAGACCAATAAGTTCAATTAAATTTACTAGAGGGCAATTGATAATAGCAAAAGATCTTAATTTGTAATATGCAGCAAAGCACTGCATAAAAATTCCTCTGTCCCAGTGGGAGCCTAGCAAGGCAACAAGAGTACTGCTCCACTCCTTTAACATTTGGTTGATGCATGGAGACATGTAAATCAGAGGGTCAGAGACTTATTCACGCATATTTTTCTGAGTTATTAGCTATATTCTCTGCTGGGCTATGTACTAATCTCTGCCCGCCTAGGAACTCACATGGGCAGATAGTTATCCTTTATACAGAACATGTTATGGTAGAGGTGAGATTGCAAATTAAAACTAAAGGTCCATTTAATCCAGTGCGGCATCTAGATCCAGTACTACTTTTGAAACAACTCTCAGCAGAATCAATTTCAGCAGCCATAAAGGAGTGTTTTGATATAAATATAACCCCAAGAATGAGCTTCACCACAATCTGGGATGCTATAAAAGCAACAGTGAGGGGCAAAGGCATTGTAGAATCTGCTACGTATAAAAGGCGGACTGATCCAATTAGGCAAGGTCTCTTACAAGAGATTGAATCCGTGGAAATAAAACACAAATGCGCTGGCTCCTCAAAGTTTTTAAGACTTTTAGATAATAAACGTAAGGAACTAGAAGCACTGGGCTCATATAAGATTGCCAAATCTCTGTTGTGTGTTAAACAGAAGTACCACGAGGCAAGCAATAAGCACTCCAAACTCTTCCACATGAATTAAAAGAGAAATAGACAGTTAATAAAATTCATTACGTGACAGAAAAGGATGTGACTATCGCATATGATTAGTCCAAGATTAATGCTATGTTTCCAGATTTGTACAGCTCAGTAAAGCCCAACAGGAATCATATAGAAATGTATTTAACTGAAGCTGATATAAATCCTATCAATGAGACACCAAAAAATAAGTTAAATAAAAACATTTCAGAAGAAGAGATTCAATAGGCTATGAGAAGGTTAAAACACACCAAGGCACTAGGTTCAGATGGATTACTAGCCCATTTAAAAATAAAATAAAATCTGAAACCATCGAGTCCCACATTTGGCCACAGTATTAAACTCAATGACCAGAATTACAGTATTTCCTAAATGAACATAGGCAACAAGCTGGGACACACAGACCCATTACTCTGTTAAACCACTATCAATTTTTTCCCTTTTAAATTAGCTTATTTTCTAAATACAATGATAACTGATAATATGCATCCTGACTATGCATATGCCATCCTACAGCGACATATTGCAGACTCTATTATTCATTATTCATTTACAGTGGTACCTCAGGTTAAGTACTTAATTCGTTCCGGAGGTCTGTTCTTAACCTGAATCTGTTCTTAACCTGAGGTACCACTTTAGCTAATGGGGCCTCCTGCTGCCGGCGCGCCGCCGGAGCACGATTTCTGTTCTCATCCTGAAGCAAAGTTTTTAGCCTGAAGCACTATTTCTGGGTTAGCGGAGTCTGTAACCTGAAGCGTATGTAACCTGAGGTACCACTGTATTAAATTTCTAGACCACCCTTAATCCAAGGATCACAGGGCAGTTTACAATATAAAAACACAAAAATACATTCCGTAGTAACAAACCAGTTTAAAAGGTCCTAGATCATTTAATTAGCCAAAGGCCTGGGGGGAAATGAATGTTTTTGCCTGGTACCTAGAGATATCTAATGAAGGCGCCAGACAAGCCTCCCTGGGCTACCCACTCCCTGGGTAGCCCTGGGTTACACAAATGGAACCACCCACTCTTGTGTTGCCACGTTCTGGGCCTCTCATGGAGAAGACACATGAAGAAGGGCCTCCAATGATGATCACAGGGTCCAAGTCGGTTCTATGGGGAGAAGCAGTCCTTGAGGTTTTGGTGTTCTGAGCTGTTTAAGACATCATAAGTGAAAACCAGCACTTTGAATTGGACCTGGAAACTAATTGGCAGTCGGTGCATTAGGAGGCTTTGAATATTACATGAGATACTACATGTAAGAAATGAACATGCTATTGATGCCCAGTATTTTAAAAACTGTAATGCTGCTGTCAATTAGGCCATTGTCTTACAACAGCAGTCTCCCACCTAAACAATAAAAATTTGGCTCTAGTGCCCACCAATGCTATGGAGGCAGAGGTGCAAAGATTCTGGCTAACTGTTCACCAGGAACTTAAAAAAATAAATACAAGAGAGACTATTATTTTTGTCAGCAGAGCTTTGGTCATTATATTTATTTATGGGACCAAATAATAAATTTAAATTTAAAGACTTGATAAACTTTCTTCTGGTAGCAGCTGGGCATTGAATAATATAAAGATGGAAATGGTTTGGATACTGTTGCCTAGCTAAGGAATGTTTGCTTGATTTCAATTTCTGAAAAGATTAAGCACAGTATCAGACTCCTGCAGGGAAAAGAGAAACTTTCTATGCTACCTGACTTTAAAAAATAAATTAAAAAAATCACATATATAATGTCTTCAGCAGCAGCAGAAATTTGGACAACATGAGTCTACGGCTGGTGGCAATGATAACTATATTTTATTTCTTCTCTCCACGCCCCCCCAAATGTATCTACTTACCCTTGGTGCCTTGAATAGATGGGGTTTGTTCTTTGTTTTGTTGTTGTTCTATTTGCTATATTTAATAAAATAGTTTCCATGGTCTTTCAAGCTGTACTCTGGTAGAGGCAAAAGTAGCCTGATGGAGGTGTGGCTCCAGATGTGTACATTTTGGTGTGAATTCCACAAGTATCTACTGGATGGTATCAGTGGTAACATACTTTCACCTTGGTGCTCAAACGATTTATTGTTGACATTTGTTTGCTGCCCCCATAACATAACATTGTCTGGATGCCTTACAATCAAAGCAAAACAGAAAGTCATTTTTTAAAATGGAGGAACTCTGTTAAGTATAACAAAACAGAAGCTGTGCTACATCCCAAAATTTGTTTTAAAAACAAAACAAAACTGAGGCTCACATTATGAAAAGCCTGGGCAGAATGGCCTTCACTTGGCATCAGAACATGCATATATCTACATATATATCTCAAGGACCGCCTCTTTCCATATGAACCCAGCCAGACCCTGAAATCATCTTCTGAGGCCCTGCTTCGTGTGCCTCCTCCATTAGAGGTCTGGAGGGTGGCAAGACGAGAACAGGGCCTTTTCTGCAGTGGCTTCCCATTTGTGGAATGCTCTCCCTAGGGCAGTTCAGCTGGTGCCTTCATTATACACCTTTAGGCGACAGGCAAAAACTTTCCTCTTCATCCAGGCCTTTGGCTGATTGACTTCCAATGCGATTTTAAACTGTGTTGGGGGGCGTTATTGGGTTGTTTTTGTTTTTATTACATATTTGGTGTTTTTGCATTGTGATTTTATGTTGTAACCACCCTGAGACCTGAGGGGAATTGGGTGGTATACAAATTTAATACTAAAAATAAAATAAGTATACCTGTGCTTATTAATTTATTTTTTAAAAGTTTTTTTAACCAACCCTAAGTTTTTATTGTGAGTGAAACTGCTTAAACCATAAGCAGCTTTGATCCATTGAGGTGAATGAGGGGAAAGCAGTGGCAATTAGGGAAACAGAGCAAAACATATGTTTAATATAATGGACTCCCATCCCATCAAACTATTGTATTTAAATGGGGATATAGTGCCCCCCCTTCTCTCTCTGTCATTTTTACACCAGTACAAGCACACACACATTTATTTCTTTAGTACAAGGGCCATATCCTACAGACTGAAAGACTCAGGTGTGCAGCTGAGTGCAGGATAAAATTTGTTTAAGCATCAGGCACACCACAGGAAGTGATTGTTTGGCCTTTAGGGAGCGGTGTGAGCTGCTTATATAACTTGGTGGCAGGATGAAAATTTGCAGTGTAAATTATGTAGGGTCTTTGTGCAAGCTCAAACCTTTGCTTTGATTAATATCTCCTTTGGGTCAGGGTGGAATGCCAAAGGGAGTAATAGATGTTGGCAGAGACCCCTCGTAGCCGATCTGTAACACCATCCATACTTAGTATCAACAATGCCCTGCTGCTCTGGGCACTGTGGTCCTTTCAGCCTGCAAGATTCAGGGCCAGTTTTGGCATGGGTGCAGCAGTGCTTTTGGAATGGTTCCAGCTGAGATGCGCACATAGCAAATGCAATGTCGGAACCGAGAATTCACTGAATTTACTTTAAAGGAAAGATTCGTTGGCACGATTCAGCATGGGGCTGGTACCGTGGCAAAGTTGACTTCACTATGCAAGGAGTTTCACAAGAAGAGCACCGTTACGGAAAAGTGACGCTTTTCTTCACCACTTGACATGCCTTCAGGTGGTTACAACAACATGAAGCAGGACCTTGTGGATAGCTTGGGCAGGTCCTGAGGCAAAGATGTTTAGGCTGAACAGAGATTTATCCACCCACCCATTCATATTTGTAACTCAGGAAAAATGTAGACATCTAACATGCTGTAAATTGCTTAGAGACCTTTGGGTAGCAAGCAACTAGCAAGTCTAAATAATAGTAGATTAGCAAATGCAATAAATGATATAAGCCTAGGCTTGTACAAAATGCTTCATGTGCAGTGTGTGAGCATGATGATTCCTCTTGTGCTCTTTAGAATACATACCCATGTGAAATGACCCAATGAGATCTTCAACGCTATCCAGAATTTTGAGCATATATAACAAAGGGTAGATTATGTATTTTCCAGATTTATTGAAGTGGCACAGGAGAAATATTTTGAAAAGCTGCATGACACTGAAAATACAATACAAGGCTGTTGAAAACATCTTTTCAAAACAAGAAGAATAAGAAAACACAGCTGGAATGTAACACTGGAAGTGAAATTAGCATCTTGAGAATTAGCATCTGTGCTCGTTGTACAGGCTGTTTTCCCTCTGCACCTTATAATCAAACCTTAGGCTCAGAACACAGCAAGTCAAGTTATTCTAGAGTGCTCCCCACATTCCCAAAAGAAAGCACAGCTCCTGTTCCAAGCCACATGCCTGTTGAAGAAAGCAATTCTTAAGAGTGGTTGATAGTTTCTTTTTTCTTTCTTTTAGCTGAGACGCAATAGGGAATCCTGTTGGAATTTTGGCAGCTGACCTAAAACTGTGGTTTGGAACAGATCCTGTTCCAGGTCTTTGCCAAACATTTTCGATTAAAAAAAAACTTTTCATGTTGGCATTTTATTTTACTATACCATATGACTTAAGATTTTTTTTTTTCATTCCTGATATGATTTGTCATTATAATGGGCCTTTTATACACAGAGCTCTTTGATGGTAGGTAAAATATAGGCCATGCTTTGGGGATGAATAAATTATTGGTGAGGCAAGATTGCAGAACAGGCAACATTGAAGTCAGCCTCTGTTAGGTTTGTCTGCCTTGTGAATGACTTGACGCAAACTTTGATTACCACAGAAAATGAAATTTCAGTCCAGTAATTCATGATAAGTAAAAGAAACTGGCTTCTAACGAAGTGATCAGATCTCTCTTGTTCATTATGTATGTCAAAGTTTGTTGCTGGGTTGCATCTCTCACCTCCTAGAGCTGCACTCTAGCATAACCAAGAAATTAAGCAAAGAAGGAAGCTCTGTGGAAAGAAATGAGCTTATATCTCAGGGCCTCCTGTGTAACAAAGTGAATGGGGTACAAATTGGCAGAGATTTAAAAACCTGCTTTCTTGTAAGAAAGGGGTGTCAGCAGAACTAAGGGGGTATGTGTAACCTTCACCCCAATAAGTATTCATGAATAAACTTATTTACTTGCGTAGGGTATTCTTCTTCTTCTTCTTCCGTCTTCTTTGGCGATCACTCGTAGCCGAGTAAGATTGTCTTCCATAAACACGGTTTTAACAATGAGTCCGTAAGTGACTATGGAGGCCAATTCTGGATCCACACATACTTCCACAGTGGGGACATTGGTTTCTGGGCGGGAGTTGATCACGATGTGGCTTTGCCAAGCATACCTTCCTCTTAGCACATTTCTCCTTTGCATCCTGAGTTCGAGTGTCTTCAAAGCCTATGACACCTTTGGTAAAGGCTGTTCTCCAGTTGGAGCAGTCATAGGCAAGTGTTTATACTACATTTTTTTTAGATTTGCCTTGAGAGAGTCTTTAAACCTCTTTTGTTGACCACCAGCATTATGCTTTCCATTTTTAAGTTCGGAATAGAGTAGTTGTTTTGGAAGACGATAATCAGGCATCCGCACAACATGACCAGTCCCAACGAAGTTGATGTTGAAGAATCATTGCTTCAAAACTGGTGATCTTTGCTTCTTCCACTACACTGGTATTAGTTTGCCTGTCTTCCCGAGTGATGTGTAAAATTTTTCAGAGACACCGTTGATGGAATCTTTCGAGGAGCTGGAGTTTATTCACTGATATGGACCTGGTTGGGGAAGGAATGTATATTTGTGAACAAAGCACAGATGTGCATTTTGTTCCCTAGCTGTCTATGGGAGCTCCTTCACACTCCTTATCTCTGAAAATGGTAGTTCTTTTGCTAATGTTACGGAATAAATTGTTCTGATCCTCTCAGCCATTGGCTGGGCTGCTGCGAGACTATGGAATGTTCTTAAACATTTTAATTGCTGAGAGGGAGAGCTTAGTGATAGGTAGTTGACGAAACAATGCAGCTTCTGTGGACAAATTGGAAGATTAATTTGGTTGACTGAAACCTTGCACAGGGCTTCAGGATAGGTGTGTCTGCTAGGTGGAATATGTAAGGGGAGGGACTGACAACAGCAAGAATGCTGGAGTAGTTGAGAAACTATGTGAAATAAGGCCAGGAATGAGGGCAACTCAAGAGAAATGAAGTTCCTAATACCTGAGAGAAGTGGCAGAAAGTATTTGCAGTATTCTCAGAAGTGGGGGCTTTAAGGGAAAGATAAGTAGAAGGGTTGGATGAGAAAACAAGTTGGAGAAACAGGAGGACTCTAAGAAAGCAGAGAGGAAGAAACTAAAGAGGTAATTTACAGAGATAAGAGTGGGAAACAATCAGGACGGTGGGATGGGGTGAGGTGGGAGCTGTATGTATTGATTTGAAAATCTCTAGGTGTAGGCCTTTAGTAGATAGAATTATCCAATTGACTCTTCCGAGTAACCCCAAATTCCTTATTTTCAGGCAAGTCTGAGATTCTAGGATAAGCCCTGAATGTCTGGCTAAGTAATCATAGTGTAATTGCATCAATTGTCACTCTGCATTGGTTTTAGAAACACTATCTTACTCTCCCACCCACCACTTCCCACCTCATCCTGACTGTACCCTGCAGAATTATCAGGGAAGTTCTCTTGCACAAGCCACAATGAAGTGAGCGGGAGCTTCTCAGGAACCCACTACTATACCATGCACAGCAACTGTTAACTTCAGAGGGAGATCTTCCTCCCAGTCCTCAGGTTTCTTTTTTAAAAAAACCATCCATGGTCTAATATTTATGATCTCTCCCGGTGTTTATGCATGAAAACTAAATTTAAAAAACACCCAGATGTGAATCTGTAAACCATCTGTTTAAAATAACTGTTGTGCATGACTGTAATTACATATTATTTATTATGAATCTTGGGATCCTATTATGGATTTTGCCTGACTCCTAGCTTTATGATTTATAAAATGGTTTATATATTTATGAGCAATATGTCTCTTCTGTACTCACGGATGCCAAAACTACACTGCTGTCCTTTATTTTTTTTTATGACAAAAGAGGAAGAAAATCCTCTCCTCCTTGCCTTATAAAAAAGTTGGCTTCCGAAAGTTGCAGTCAGGCGGGGTCCCCCCGCCTCCTTTGAAGGAGCATTATCGACAGATCTGTGAGCTTTCAACAGCTTCTGAAGCACACTGTAGACAATGTATAAAGAGTTTTGGCTGTATTGGCTTTTCTTTATTTTTGTCCCTTTTTTGCTTCGAGTTAATGGCTGGAAGAAAGTATTGAAATGATGCACTTTATGGTTAAAGAAACAACTGGAAGCAACAGATTTCCCAGTTAAGGCTTATTTGACCAGGTTACTCTACTCCCCCTCTCGTCCCCTACAAAGAGCAAGACGGATTTCACTAGACTAGTGGCACCACTTAAGAGTGAAATTTTGGGAGGCGGATTAAAACAAAAAGCAACAGAATTGTTCCTTGTTTGATGAGGTTTTATCTTCTTTCCTTACAATCCATACAGGGCCTCGGAGACCTGCCTTTTACAACAGTAGACTACAATAGACCAAACAATGATTTACCAACTCTGCTTAATCTGAGGGGCAAGATAAAAAAAGGGGAGGGGGTGGAATGATTATACAGAGAAATGTCCTTTTCCTCCACATCAAGTTTTACTATTCATGACATTTCTGAAGATATAGGCTACATGGTATGAATCATGTTAGACCATAACACTTTTCAAAGGAATATTCTGGAATGGTTTAAGGGTCATATCTAGCTGGAGCAGAAAGCAGGCACAACTCCAAAGGTTTCAGTGGAATTACACATGCTTGTTTTAAGAGATGAATATTCAGCAGATCTTTTGAAGTATAGAATAGGTAATGCAATATCTTCCTTGAGCCAACTGTGTGCTGGCAGAGACTCATGCAGGTTTTCGACCTGTATAGACCTCTTCATCAGGCAGACAGCTTTTTGTTTTGCTTTTTACCTCTATTATAAAACAATGCTCCATTACGTCTGGAACTTTGACAAATCCTTTTGGCCAGAAAGGAATGGTAAAATAGTACATTGGTTAAGACCACAATGTTGCATGTAAACTTTTGAGCTACACAGGACATTTCCTTGTGCTGGATGTTTCAGTTCATTTGAAGCGACTGAAAAATTCACTTGTAACCTGGAGGGAGGGAGTGTGAGTTGGCCATGGGGTGAGGTGGGGTGACAGCCAGGTAGCAGCGGATGCATAATTAGGGCTTAGGCTGGACTGGGAATTGATTTGCAAAAGAAGTGGGTGGTGAGAAGAGACTTGAAAGAGGAGGGGAGGGAACAGAACAATTGCATGGATATTAAAGTGGGAGAATGAGACAAAGGAGAAGGCTTGGGGTTTCCCCCCATATGAGTTTTTAATACAGCAATTCTAAGTGAACAGTTGTGGGAGCATCCTGTGTTTTCATGGTAGTGCCTCTATTTCAGGGTACAGAAGGGAATTGCTAAATGATTCAGGTCAGGCGAAAGCAAATACAGTACCTCTTCACACAATGCATGGTTAAACTATGGAATTTGCTCCCACAATACAGGATTAGAAAAATATGTGGAGGATAAGGCTATCAGTGGATACTAGACATGATGGGTATGCTCTGTCTGGACGAGATAACTGTTAGGTGGCTTTGTAGCTGGTTGACTCATTCATCGACATCCTAGGAGAAAAGTGGCAAGTGGGTTCTGTCCTGGGCTAATTGTTCTTCAACATATCTTTATAAAGGACTTGGATGAAGGTTTTGAAGGGATACTCATCAAATTTGCAGATGGCACCAAAATGGAGGGGTAGACAATGCTGCTGAAGACAGAATTTGGATTCAGTATGACAAAAAGATTGGAGAACTGGGCCAAAACGAGCAAAATGAATTTCAGTAGGGATAAATGCCAGGTTCTGTACTTAGGCAAGAATAACCAGCTGCACCAATATAAGATGGGGGGCACCTGACTTGCCAGTAATAGATGTAAAAAAGCTTTAGAGGTCTTAGTAGACTACAAGCTTAACACGAGTCAACTGTGATGCAGCAGAAAAAATAGCAAATGCCATTCTAGCCTGGATCAATAGAAGTCTAGTGTCCCACTGTATTCTGCATTGGTCAGACCACTCCTGGAGTACTGTACAGTGGTACCTCGGGTTAAGTACTTAATTCATTCTGGAGGTCCGTTCTTAACCTGAAACTGTTCTTAACCTGAAGCACCACTTTAGCTAATGGGGCCTCCTGCTGCTGCCACACTGCCGGAGCACAATTTCTGTTCTCATCCTGAAGCAAAGTTCTTAACCCGAGGTACTATTTCTGGGTTAGTGGAGTCTGTAACCTGAAGCGTATGTAGCCTGAAGCATATGTAACCTGAGGTACCACTGTATTCAGTTCTGGGCACCACAATGTAGGAAGGATATGGACAAGCTGGAACTTGTGCAGAGGAGGATGACCAGGATGATCAGGGGTCTGGAAACTGAGCCTTATGAGTAATGGTTGAGGGAATTGGGTATGTTTAGCCTAGAAAAGAGGAGGCTGAGAGGAGTTATGATAGCCATCTTCAAATATCTAAAGGGCTGTCACATGGAGGATGGAGCAAGCTTGTTTTCTCCTGTTCCAGATGCTAGGATCTGAACCAATGGCTTCAAGTTCCAAGAAAAGAGATTCAAACTAAACATCAGGAAGAACCCCAAACTAGCTAGTTGTTGATAAATAAGCAAATGGGCATGCGCTTGAAATCCCTGTGATTTGAGGAAGGGCAGTATAGAAATGTAATAATAATAATAATAATAATAATAGTGACTCTTAAATGTGTGTTGATAACTTGGTTAGGTTTTTTAAAAATAAAACTGAACACATCTCTTAACATAGGCAGCTTTTCTGCATTTTAAGTTTGAATATATTACTTGAAGCTTGCTATGAATCTTTACTTACATGGAAAAATCTCTCTGCCCCTCTTTCTTAAATGGTGCCCCGTTAAAAGACAAATTTTGGCCCTGACATTACTTAGCCAGTTTCCTAAATGTACACTGTGCTTGCACTGAGCCGATTCGGAAGTGCAGGGGAGCTGTATTGGTGAGCTGGAGTCCACGTAACCCAGATTTATGACTAAGTGTTTGCAATTGTATACTTGTGCAAAAGAGCCAGAATAACACAGGACTGAATCATTCTGACAATAGACAGTATTCTTACAGCAGCTATTCCTCCGCTTGAGAACTCAAATTCTTCCTGCTCATACTTTATAGTCACTGCAGTTGAAATAATTGCAGATTTGGCTTGGTGAGGGAATAATGAATCATAGCTTATAACGAAACATTGTCTGCACTTACTGCAGAAGGAATAAGATGGTGTAGGATAGTTGGGAAGATACACCCCCGCCTTTTAAAAGCCCAAATCTCCTCACTTTGAGCTAACCTTTAAACGTACCTTGGCTTGGGCCTTAGGAAACAATGAAGCTCAGAGCCTCTTCATGACTTCATTTTATGATTGACATTCTTCCTTCCCCTTTGATTTCCCCCTCCTTTTGGGGGTCTCTAATTATGCCATATGATCTGCTAAGTGGACGGTGGCATCTGGCAAATGAGCTTCTGTGTCATGTAATGGACCAAACCAGTAATTATAGGTGGGGCTTTACGCAGAGGGGGCCCTCCCCCCACTTTGCTGTGTTTAAGGAAGGAATTTCCAGTAGTAAAATGTTATTTCTAAAAAAATAAATGGTGCAAGGCTAGGGTGGGGCCGAGTGGTAGGAGATGCTTGAAGATCAGAAGATTGTCACCCATCAGTTTTGTTATTTATTACCAGTATTACTGCCTTCACTCAGTTTTCCTCGCTGGAAGCAAACTGAATCACAGGAGGAAGTTCTCTCACACTGCTGCAGCCATGTAGCCTTGAATCAGGTCTTGTACTGACAGTTTGAGATCAGTTATTAGATTTATTTATTTATTTATTGTAATGTAAGGGGCACAATTCAGGCGAAATTAAAGCACAAAATTAAAAATAAAAAACTCCTTTCTGTTTCTGTAGCGCCCTGACCTGCTTGCAGTGGTTGTTTGCAAGAGGAAGGAGAAGCCAGTTCATCAGGGGGTTTAGGGTATCTTACTTCCCATCACCTTCTTTCCTAGCCCAGTGCTGTGATGAGTAGAAAATTAACGCTCTCTTCTCTTCCAATCCCTGAAGATCAGAGAGAGCCATGTCTCTGCCACCGTGGTGCTAGGCTGTAGAGAATGTGCAGAGTGATCACACAAGCTAGATTGGCTCCTGCTTTCACTTGTCCATTGCTGTTTCTAGCATGTGGCCCTGGGAGGTTTGGCCAACAGCAAATGTGGCCCCCAGTCTGAAAAAGCTTAGTCACTCCTAATTTAAACCAATGAGACTTGAAAGGGCATAATGTTTATTTGACCATGCATTTATTTAAAGAACTTTTCCTTTCAGCATTACTGCTGCTTGTGTTCCCTGAATTGTGTCTTTGGTTTGCAGTTTTATTGTTTGTTAGAAAGAAAGAAGTTCATTGAAGCCATCTTTGTCTTTATTTGGTTTGGAAATTCAGACTTTCATTTTTTTAAAAAAACTAACTCTACTATGCAAACCTGTTGAATAGTCGTGGCTAAATATTTTTGTTCGCACAAGGAAGTCCAATGCCAGGTATTCTGAAGTCCCAGCTATAGTTTACACAAATATTATCACTTCTACAGTATACCAAAAAGTAACATTAGTATGAAACGAGTCACATGTTTCCTTTGGCATACCTTTATCTAGGTTCAGTATCCTTTTTAAAGTTGCCACCACTCCCCCTTTCTCCCCAGTTTTTCAACTCCCTGCTGATGCATTTGTGTCGCAAGAGGGAAAGCATCTCTGTATGAAGAAGGGGTATAATGTCCTCTCTGTATCCCAAAGATTCCTTGTGGAGCAGAGGGAAATTTTTCTGAATCTGACTTCATGGTGTGCTACCTTATTGGGAGAAAATGGAGACTGATGCTGTTATTTTGCTCTCCTCTTTTCCTCCCCACAGAACAAGGAAGTGACATGCAAACGAGAGAAGTGCCCAGTGCTTTCTAAGGAGTGTGCTCTGGTCATAAAGCAGAGAGGGATGTGCTGCGAGCGATGTAAAGGTGCAGTGGACTTCATGCTTATCTCTCAGTTGTTTTTTTTTTTTTAAGTTATTGCATATATATTTGACAGAATAAAGCCCAAAGCTCTACAGAATTTGCCCACACTGTTAAGTTGTGGGTGAACATATCAGACGACACAGCGATTCTTCAAACAGCTCTTGTTTATTCACAGGCCAGGACAGAACTGAACTGAAGGGTTCAGTCAGCCTGCTTATATAGAGCTCCAGTACAATGTAACTGTAACAATTTTCTAAAACTATCCAATCACTGAATGTCACTTTCGATCCCTTATTTGCATAACTATCTACAGTATCCCCCTGCTGGCCCAGGGTGAGAACTTCAGTACATAACACACAGAGAAACACATCCAGCAGTAGAGAGAAAGGTGGAACTGTGTCATTCACCCAGCCCTTGTCCAGCTGAGTCACTACAGCAACCCAGGGTGGCAATGATTTATTTTTTTTATAAGATATTTATTAAGCTTTTTAAAAGTATTACAATAAAAATGAAAAAAATGAAAAAAATACAAAATAAAAATAGTTAAAAACACACAGATTTTCCATTGCTTGTTTTCCTTTAGCTTGTTTCCCGGACCTCCTCATACCTCCCTTTTTTGTATTCCAGTTCAATTTGTTGGTTCAGCAAATCCTTACCCTCTTTATTTATCCTAATCTTTAGTCTTAAAATAGTAACGTTAAATTTTTACCTATTAACAACCCATTTTTCATAATCCCTTAAAGCATTACAGCTGGAAACCACTTAATTTCTATCCAACATCATTCTAACATTCATTAATTTTACAATAATTCTGTAGATAGTCTTTGAATTTCTTCCAATCTTCTTCCACCGACTCTTCTCCCTGGTCTCGGATTCTGCCAGTCATTTCTGCCAGTTCCATATAGTCCATCAGCTTCATCTGCCATTCTTCCAGGGTGGGTAGATCTTGTGTCTTCCAATACTTTGCAATGAGTATTCTTGCTGCTGTTGTGGCATACATAAAAAAAGTTCTATCCTTCTTTGGCACCAATTGGCCGACTATGCCCAGGAGAAAGGCCTCTGGTTTCTTCAAGAAGGTATATTTAAATACCTTTTTCAGTTCATTATATATCATTTCCCAGAAAGCCTTAATCCTTGGGCACGTCCACCAAAGGTGAAAGAATGTACCTTCAGTTTCTTTACATTTCCAACGTTTGTTATCTGGCAAATGATAAATTTTTGCAAGCTTGACTGGGGTCATGTACCACCTGTATATCATTTTCATAATATTCTCTCTTAAAGCATTACATGCCGTAAACTTCATACCTGTGGTCCACAACTGTTCCCAGTCAGCAAACATAATGTTATGTCCAAAATCTTGTGCCCATTTAATCATAGCAGATTTCACCGTTTCATCCTGAGTATTCCATTTCAACAGCAAGTTATACATCTTTGACAAAATCTTAGGTTTGGGTTCTAACAGTTCTGTTTCTAATTTTGATTTTTCCACCTGGAAGCCAATTTTCTTGTCCAAATTATATGCCTCCATTATCTGATAATAGTGAATCCAGTCTCGCACTTTATTTTTTAGTTTCTTAAAACTCTGCACCAGGGTGGCAAGGATTGGTGGTGGCGCAGCAGCAGTGGCAAGGTCAGCATGGTGCAAACCTGCTGGCAAAGCCAATCCGGTGCTCCTTGCCACCATACCCCTTCTCCTCTCCTTCCTGGTACGCTGCAGAAATTGGACTGGATGGAGATCAGGGTGCGCCGCAGCCCCAACCTTGCTGCGCACTGTGGCACAACCACTGCAAACGAGTTTGTTCATTTACCTGCCTTTTAACTAACAGGAGGCATGAAAATGATAAATCAATACCTTCCCACTAATTGTTAAAGTGGTGCCAACCATGCCCTCAGTCCACACCTGTCTATTATTGGTGGCATTACTGTTGCTGGTGTTATTGCAGCATGCATTGTCTCTTTGAGCTGGTTCTTACAACATTGGTAAGCCAAACTATGGCTTAGTGAGACCTTCCTCATTTTATCAATAGGTTTGATGCTTCTGTAATAACAATTACTGGTCATTGACCATAATAAAGCGGTAAGATACAGAAACAGTTCATTTTGTTGGCCAATCAATTAAATTATCTTTGAAAGTTCTAATGAATCACTACAACTTTTAAAAGCGCTAGGTAAGATTTCCAGAAATGTGAATGATTCACTGAACATTTTTCACTGTGTATTTGAAGGATTGCATTTAAAACAAAAAGGCACATTTTAAATAGAAAAGCAGTGAGAGTAATGTAGAATAAATCTGTTTTAAATAGAAAAACAACAAAAAGTTTTCTGACAAGTGCTCCTGACATGCATGGAGTAACTTAAAGGGGGGTATGTTGATGGGGAGCTCTGAACCCCACAACCAACACAAACATAATATCAATATACAGGGGGGAAACACAAGAGAAAGAAAACAGAATATGCTATAATTCTGACAAAACAGATGTGGTGGATATGGATGTGTATTTTTCCTTGATGAATAAAAGCATTTGATGGCTGTTATGTTTATGCACTTTTTCTGGCACGCAGCCTTGTTTTTCTGAGTGTGTGCCCTGCTAGACCAACCTGAATCCACCAATTTATATAAAATGCTGGCTTTAAAACAAACAATCAAACCTACAGTTTGCAGCAGCACCTTTTAAGAAATATGTAAACTGAAATTGCATACATTTAAAATTTACTAATGGGTCTCACCCTGGCTGTTAATATAGTCTGTATTCATGTACCTTTAATATCTCTGGGTATTGGTTGCTCCCGTTTATTAATTGGGCCCTAAGCATCACACCCCATTGAAATTATGTCCAGCTAATCAGATGCTTCATACGTTCAACTTACTATATATCTCCTTTTTTTATTGAAAGCATTTATATCTTGCTTGTATTATGCAACCCAAAAGAGGTTGGTATAATCCATCAGTGACTCAATTATATTATGGATTCTGCCAGTTCTGGGTGTTTCCATGCAGAAACATGTAGCTATCTGTTCCCATTCTTCAGTGTAGTCGCGTGTTTACAAGAGGGGTGGCCTTCTGGATGTTGCTGAACAACAACTCCCACCATCCTTGGTCATTGGGCACACTGACTGAGGCCGCTGGGAATTGTAGTAAGCAACATCTGGAGAGCCTTAGATTAGCCACCCTTGGTCTAGGGTTAGATTTCATTCTTTGCCTTTGGGGTAACTGATTAAAACTGCCAAGGATGTCTCATAATTACAGCCAGAGTATCAAGGCTGGGAAGGGAATTTAGCTACAAGACAGAGGAATTCATGTGGTTTTGGAGCACCTCACATACCTAGAGCAATTACAGTGTGGCAGGCTTTGTGTATGTAGTCGTTCATCCAGCCAGTCACTAAGGAAGACAGCTACTTTTACAAAATAATCTAAATCAGCTATGTTCTAGATGCTGAACTACAGACAGTGCTATTGTCAGTAGAAGGGATTTGACATATCTGTAGATTTTTTCACTATGGCTGGCGAAAGCAAAAGTTGCAGCTTTGTTAGTGGCCTTAGACATCACCTGGTCTTCTTTAGATTCCTCTTTGAATACCTTCTTTAGCATGACTTTGAAAACATGGGTAGATGCACAGACGCCCATTAGGCAATGCATTCTGTTGTCATACTGTATTGTAGCAAGGACTCACTTAACCAAGATTACCCCTGAAACCTGTTTTCAATACAAGGCTTATCCCTTGTGCAAGAGTATGTGAAGTAACCATTCTGAAAGAGTTGCTTAAGCATGTGGAGAGTGAAATGTTCTTGGTGGTGGAGCAACCACAACCAGCCCAGACAGATTGAGATGTCTGGAAAAGGCTTCTAGTTGCGGCACATGATTTCCAGGGAGTCATAGGTCATACCAGACCTCCTTTTTAGAAATACGGGCCTCATGGGGTTGGATCCAGACTAAACTGCTGTTAGGCCCCATTGAAATCAATGTGAAAAGTTAGTACAGTAATGACTGATATTAAGTCCCAAAGGTTTCAGCAGGAACTGAGTGCAACTAACTAAGCCCTTAGTATTGAATTGCTTTCCTAACAGGAAAACAATATTTGTGCAGACCTTTATGTAATTCTATAGAAAGAGTTAAATCATGAATTTTTGCCTCGTTTCTCCTACAGTTGTAGCAGTAGGGCAAAACATGCCTTTTCCCTTCTCTCATTTATTCAATATATTTAATCAAAACATATGAGATCACGGATTGTTATAGAAATGGATTTGGCAGTCTTTCCTTATTTAGTTGGACGGAGATATGTCATTTTAATTTGGGTCTGTCTCCATCTATAACAATATGTATTTGCTTTCTGAATAAGTGTTTGTTATTAGTGGATTGGAGATGGATAAGGTACGTTTATGATAACTGTGAGCCATACTCTGTTCTTGTTCCCAATGCACACCTCCCATTGATGTCAATATGAGTGCAGGGCAAAGATCACACCCTAGATCTGTAGAAGGATGACTTTGGAAGTGGTCTCTGGTTATCTAATCCAATGCCTTCTTTGGCAGGATCACCACAGATAAGAATGCCTAGTCTTTGTCCAAGGGCAACCACCATGGTGTCAAGTGATAGTTTAGGATCACAACCATTTCCTTTCACTCACTGCGCGATAGCATTTTACTAGTTGTTTCTCTTCCCAGAGGTGGCCCAGGGACTTCCCACAGGGGAGTGTTGGCAAATTCACTAAACTACAATCTCCAGGATTCTTTAGCAACAGCTAAACTGATATAAAAGGGACGCGGGTGGCGCTGTGGGTTAAACCACAGAGCCTAGGACTTGCCGATCAGAAGGTCGGCGGTTCGAATCCCCATGATGGAGTGAGCTCCCTTTGCTTGGTCCCTGCTCCTGCCAGCCTAGCAGTTCAAAAGCATGTCAAAGTGCAAGTAGATAAATAGGGACCGCTCCGGCGGGGAGGTAAACGGCGTTTCCGTGTGCTGCTCTGGTTTTGCCAGAAGCGGCTTAGTCATGCTGGCCACATGACCCGGAAGCTGTACGCCGGCTCCCTTGGCCAATAAAGCGAGATGAGCGCCGCAACCCCAGAGTCGGCCACGACTGGACCTAATGGTCAGGGGTCCCTTTACCTTTACCTTTAAACTGATATAAAATCAGCATGCTTATCGTGCGAATATACCTTCACAATGTCTGTGGCATGCCCCTAAAAAACAACAACTCCTAAGTTTTGATTAATGTGACATTTGCCTTTGAATGGAATTTTATAATTTCTAAAGACACACTTTCTCTACATGGTGAAAGTTAGGGTAAATTCACATTGCCTTTCTGCATTTCAAGCCACATTTGCACAGAGCTGTTTGCATCAGAGAGAGGGCAGTGATGTTTTCACTGGATGCACATGAATTTATTGGGCCCCCTCTTTGGCAACCCCCATGGAATGCCTACTCATTAAACTGTCATCTGCATTTGCGTTCTCACCTGCACCTGCTGATGACTGTTAGTCTATGTTCACATTACGACTTATTCTGCTTCCAGTTGTCTATGATCAGATCAAAGCTGGTTTGAGAAAAACCCCCGCATCCAACAGCAGTTTTTTGTCAAGAAACTGCAGGATCGATATGGATTGTGACTAATGCCATGGGAGCGCAATGCCAAAAATTAGCAGTGGGAACACACTGGATGCTGTATAAGCTGTAATGTGAACAACTCCCGCCCGGAAACCTATGTCCCCAACTATAGAAGGACGTGTGGATCCAGAATTGGCCTCCACAGTCACGGACTCATTGTTAAGACCGTGTTCATGGAAGGTGTGTTGTCCTGCAGGTGTGGCTTACACCAGTATTCAGTCACTGCTTTAGTGAGAGCAAGTGAGCAGAATGAGCAGGTCATGTGGCAACGCAGGAGGTGGGTTCTGGTAAGGGCAGGTGAATCTTCCTCTTTTAATAGTTAACTGCTGTAAGAGAAGCTGGCATTTAACTTTAATTCAGAAAGAGGTGTGTTAAGTCGTGGGTGAACATATCAGACGACACAGCGATTCTTCAAACAGCTCTTGTTTATTCACAGGCCAGGACAGAACTGAACTGAAGGGTTCAGTCAGCCTGCTTATATAGAGCTCCAGTACCACGTAACTGTATCAACTTTCTAAAACTATCCAATCACTGAACGTCACTTTCGATCCCTTATTTGCATAACTATCTACAGTATCCCCCTGCTGGCCCAGGGTGAGAACTTCAGTACATAACAAGGTGTATCTCGTCTATAAGAAGTTTGGGTAACTTTCCACAGTTCTGCATAGCCGTGTACTCCTCCTTCTTTTCAAATGCCATTAGTTCTCTAGTTCTGTCATGCACATATATTGTTGTTGGTTTTTTGCTGCTGGTGGTGATTTACCATCCATTCAATGCATGCACAGTTGAAATATACCCATTTCCCCCCCTCCAATGAGCATGCTTGAGTACCAATTCCAAGTGCCATGGGAGGGGTAGCGTATTAAGACATGCAACCTCAATATATGCCAACTCCATCTAAAAGATGGAGGGGGGCTTTTAAAGCACCTTGTACCCCAATTCTCCGCACCCCCATCTCCCAGCTTTGAGAACTAACTGAGACTAGTACTAGATTGCTAGCTGAGATAATCAGAGAAGCCAACTTGAAAGATTATTCCTTGAGCACAGTTGCTTTTATCTTTACAAGTTAATAAATCATGTTGTTCCTTAAAAAAAAAATAAAAAAAAATCAGAAGTTTGCTTTTTTTATAGAGGAAGCAGCACAGCAGTATCTACTTCCCCTTTCACTAAAGTTTTCGTCCGGCATGGAACTTTAAGGCTGCTTCAGCGTGGTGTGGTTGACTAGTAAGCAGTCCTTGAATGGTGAGGCATTCACTCACAGACTTAACTCACAAAGCAAATGTCTAGGGAGTCCAGTTTTTGTTCAGGTAGTGCAAATATTGCAGTGCTCCTGTGCTCCCAGTTTGGCTGAGTATAGAAACACACACACACACACACTTCTATCCTGCGCTTTTGCACAAGTCAGGGATGGGAGATCTCTGGTCCTCCAGATATTGCTGGACTGCAACACAGACCGCAGCCTTAATGTGTGCAGCTTCCTCTTGACCAATGCTGAAATGTAAAGATTTCTTCATGATCCGTCCTTAACCATGATTTTCCAGTGCTGGCCACAGAGGACTGCTACCCTGCAATTTGTAACCAGCTTCAAATTCTGGTTGGTTTATGTGGGAATCTTAGTTAATATCAATGCGGACATTATGATGAACATGTTAAACAGTACGGTGGGAGGTTGGGGGTAATCTCCTTGCAGTCTGTTAAGGGTTATGTCTGTGCTAGTCCTATTAATGTTAGGTTATTACAAGTTTTGCATCAGTAAAATAATTTAAGAACATTTTGGGGCTTGGCCAGGCAGTGCCTTTGATTTTAATATGCAACAATGCATTTACAGTGGTACCTCGGGTTAAGAACGTAATTTGTTCTGGAGGTCTGTTCTTAACCTGAAACTGTTCTTAACCTGAGGTACCACTTTAGCTAATGGGGCCTCCCGCTGCTGCCGCGCTGCCAGAGCACGATTTCTGTCCTCATCCGGGTTCTTAACCCGAGGTACTATTTCTGGGTTAGTGGAGTCTGTAACCTGAAGCGTCTATAACCTGAGGTATCCCTGTACTATCCTCCGTGTATAGAATTTGCAGCTCTTTTAACATGGTCTACATATTAATGTTTATGAAATACAGATGCTTTTTTTAAAGGGGCATTGTTGGGCTGTTTTTATATTTCTGCACTAGTTTGTCTGGACTTTCCTCTGAGGAACAATTTATCAAGAATTAAATATAACATGTCCTTGAATGTTTTTCTCCCTCCTGATGTTTATTTTTCATGCCAAGAGAAACTTTAAAAAAGGAGTAAGGAGTAAAAGAAAAAGAATTAGAAAAATCCACCATAGGAAAAGGGGATTATGGGGCCAATATACAGTATGTTACCATAATTTTTCCCTCTTGGGAGTATAGGAAACGACCTGCTTATAAAATTCCTGCTAACTTAAAATAAGCAAAAATGCCTGGCGAATTCTTAGTTTTGAAACGACTGTTTTGAATGAAGTCTTTTGGGAAAGAGTGAGCAGCTTATGTAGCAACCTGGTGCATCAATGTGTTTCATAGGCCAAAGTGGGCAAGTCTCATTAATTTATATTGCAATATTAGAAACATGGCAGATTCCACACTACAAGGAGTAATGGGCATCTTTCACTGTTTCTTCAGTATCATTATTTAGAGACATCTGTGCTAAAATGTAATAATAGTTGCCTTTGGAAGACGCTTATATAGGAGCCCTGGCCTTTACTTTCTGATAGTAAGGATTGTTGAATGGACTTCCTCAGAAGTTGCTGGACTCTCCTTTTTTTAATGATGAAAGGAGGTGGCAATACGAGGCAGGAAAATGTTTCTCCCTATGGAATCTGATTTTTTAAAAAAAGAATCAATGGTGTTTTTTAAAATGCCCAAGTGTAAGCTGTTCAGAGAACTTTATGTATTGAGGTGGCATACACACATATCATAGGGATGTGGGTGGCACTGTGGGTTAAACCACAGAGCCTAGGACTTGCCGATCAGAAGGTCGGCAGTTCGAATCCCCGTGACGGGGTGAGCTCCTGTTGCTCGGTCCCTGCTCCTGCCCACCTAGCAGTTCGAAAGCACGTCAAAGTGCAAGTAGATAAATAGGTACCACTCCAGCGGGAAGGTAAACGGCATTTCCGTGCGCTGCTCTGGTTCGCCAGAAGCGGCTTAGTCATGCTGGCCACATGACCCAGAAGCTGTACGCCGGCTCCCTCGGCCAATAAAGCGAGATGAGCGCCGCAACCCCAGAGTCGGCCACAACTTGACCGAATGGTCAGGGGTCCCTTTACCCTTTACCTATACACACATATCATAAATAAAATAAATGAAATGAATTAATGTGAATTTACTGTCTCACTAAAAACAAAAGAAATGTTTGAACTTCATGCTTCTTCTTTTTCCTTAATAAAGTACAATGCAGTAGTCTGAAGGTTAGAAGTAAACGCATAGCCGGTACAAATTGACAAAGTGCACTTGAAATGAAAGTGGTTTGGCCTTCTGTGCTGAGCTTTAGGAGTACGTTGGAATGAAGCCCGTGTTTCCTCCTCCCCTTTGATTTAATCCAGAAGGTTTCTTCTCCATCTGGAAGATAAATAGTATGAATGGTCTTAATGCTTGATTATGGTGTAATGAGCAGGATGGAAAGCAAGGCCTTCGCAGATATCTCTGAATGTGAGGAATTCAGTAATTGCTACTTTCCGTGCCAAATATACTCTGTGCTCAGTCATGTAGCAGGTGGAATTCTACCTGGCTGAATAAACTTGCCAAAGTGGAAGACATTTACCATTCAGGCGGTTTTCTGAAGGCGGTTTAAGACAGTACTTCTCTGCGATTGCAACTCTCTTGAACAGAGAACACGACCGAGAGCCACAATACGAGGCTTGGAAAAATGCACAAGAACGTTCTTGCTGTTTTCATGGGCAATGCCTTTTATTTTAGTAATGGCACGTTACAAAAATACTTCTCCACTTCCCCCTTTAGTCTCCTCATTATCTAATACCGAAAAAGAGGTAATTACTATAGCTCATCCAAACCACCATTGGCTCACACCTCTTTCTTTTTCTCTGTCTTTGTGTTAGGGTTAGATATCAGCCAGCCTGCATGTTTTCAGTTGTATTTTCTGAACCATGACGATGAGAAACTTGCTTTATTTTGTAAGTGGTAACATTTTTGTAGAATGCAAATTGTGCCTCCGATAACAGAATTTCCGTGGAATGCTATACCTCCAGAACTGTAGAAATTAGACAAATTAGAAGGAATGTTGTGGTTTTTAGTGGGTGGGTGTGGATTAGTAAAATAAAAAGAACTGCTCTACTCATTTAATTTTTCATTTTCCTTCTAGGTTGCAGTTTTGAAGGAAAATCATATAACAGCTCACAGTCATGGCAGGTCTCAGACAAACCATGTATCATGAATCAGTGTCAGGTAAGGAATAGAACTCAAGGATTTTGTTTTTTAAATCTCAATTTAAAAAATCTAAGTCTCAAGAAAGGGAAAGATTGTGTTGATTCATAAAGTGAAATTATCATGGGTTGGGAATTAAATGAAGACTCTGGAGGTAAGTAAAGAATGGAAGGCACCATTGGTATATGGGCATTGCTGTATATAGTCGATTGCTCGGACATTTGCCTATGAAAATAGCAAGAAAATGAAGATCTCCCCAAGGAAAGATTCAGGGCCTTCTGTGAAAGCACTTTTAGACAGAGCAATGGATTCAAGATGTTAAAGGAGTGGGGTTCTGAAAGTCTGAAATGTTTATATTAAATATGAAACTAGCCGTAGGCTTCTCTACCCCCAAATTGTAACATGGTATGTATAAATGTTACTTGTCCCAAATTCCGTCTATGTCGTGTCTAGCAGAAGCCAAACAGTATATCTTTAGTACTTGGGCTTTGTTTGAGTGTACATTTGGTGGATACAGAACAGTGAAATGCATGCCAGGCTCCCAGGCTTCATTAGATTTAGGTAGGATCCAAAGTGCGTATCGGAGGCCAACATACTGCAGCTCAGTCTGGACAAGGCAGAGGGTGGGGTTGCGTGTCTGTCCTGGATGGTGGGTCGTTCAGCCTGTTCTAGGTGGGGTTGCATTTGCCCTAAAGGATCAGTTTTGCAGTCTGGAGGGAGACGTGTCTTCTTGGAACTGGTCTTGTCTTTGGAGGTCCAAGTGCCATTGTGGCATGAAGCATGCTTCTCCAGCTAAGGCTAGTGTGCCAGCTGTGACTGCTTCTGGATAGAGAATGTGTGTGAATGAGTTGTGTGGCTATCCGTGCTCAGGCAGCATCCTGCTTTCATTACAGGAACGCACTGTATGCGGAGCAGGTTTGGACTCAGGGACTGCATTCTTTCATGTGAGCCTGCCCATGCATTAAGTTCCACTACTATCGGAAAATGGCGACTGGGGATATATGCCTTTTCTGTGGTGGTTCCTTGGGCTCCCTTTCACCAGGGACAAGCACTGAATCTCCTGTTTCGTCAATTGAAGAAGGGTTGAGCCCTCACCCTTTTTATTCTCCCAGGCCTTTTATTTCTTTAATTTTAAACTCTGCCTTTTTCTGGCCATGTTCCTGCTCTTTTGTTTGGTTAAAAAATGTGTTTAACTCTGTTGTTGTTGATTTGATTTCATACTGGGAGCCGCTCTGAGAATTTTTATATTGGAGAACAAGATATCAAATATCCATTTTTAAACCTTTTTTTAACAGGGGGCTAGATCTTGAGGTCAGGAGCTCATGTCACATGAGATGTGTGGCCGTGGCCACAAAAGACAACTGTGCATTTCATCCCCTGTCTGCCATGCCTGTGGTAACATGCCCATATCCTGATCGCACTGAGTTGGGCCTTTCCCTGTCTCCCCATGTAATCATAGGCTGCCACTTGTGGACAAGAAAACCCGCAACACCGTGACATCGGGATATGAATAAGTTGTCCCAGGCATTCTATGGGGAGAGGGAGGAATTAAATGCACACTTGTGGTTTACATGAAATGCAAGGTTGCTCTTGGGGTGTGTAGTTCTTGCCTGAGTATACTTGTCATTTTCAGGGCCCAAATGCAGAAATGGGTCATTCTGCTTCCATTTAAAGCACTCAGATTTGGAATTTGTTTTTAAAAAGTGCCTCTCTTTCTCTGTGCTTAGGAATGCAGATAGAGCCATCAGAAAAGAGCAACCTGTGCACAGAGATCCTGTCATTTTATTTACTAGGATTTTGACTTCTGGAGCAAGGAGTGCAGGAAGTGATCATTTACTAGACCCCTGTCAGCAGAAGCATCAGAGATAAGAGGCTTCCATTCCACAGGAGGAGAACCTTTTATCTCTTTTCATAAGCCCCTTTCCTCCAAGGAAGTAGGGTGGGAGGAATGTCTTTATCAGGTCTGTTGCAATCAAAGCGTTATTTTAACGTTTCCTGTGTCTTAAAGGCTTTTGAGAAGAGTGGCATCGTTTTTTCCTCTCAAGAAGGTTTCTTGGTTTCCTACCTCATAGTTGAATCTAGCAAGTGGAGTTAGGCAGACTCAAGTACTATTTTACTTTTGGATTAATCTCAGTTTGGACCATTGTACAGGGAGACAACGACAACCACAGCAACTGTTTTTTTGCAAGGTTTCCCTGAGCACACTCTGAATATCAGATGTGATCTGTAACTCATCCCGATTCCAGTCCTTGCCCAGTGGTCCACATTTAATGAACTCTGTAAATAAAAACAAAAACAAAAACACATCATTGAATGCCTTCCATCTCGATCATAGGTCTACCCCTTTGTCATCAAACAACAGTGCTATTTTTTGAAAATGCAAAAATCCAGCATAAATTGATGTGACAAAGTGTCACCTCAGGTTGGCTAGGCCACTGTGCACTTTAGTGATGTTAAAGAGCACCTCTCGTCTATTTATGAGTATGTATGAATGTTGTCATATAGAAAAGTAATTTTTAAGTGTAGCTACATTACTGAGATGTGAAGTACAAAATCTGATTTAAATTCTGTATGTTAAAAAATACCTTAAGATTCTGATCATTCTATTAATTTTTTATCACTATGTCCATTGTGCAGATTGCTTATATAATATGTTATTTATTTCTGTACCTCCCTTCCATGTGTACTCTGTGCTTTACTTTAATTTTTGGATTGTAAATAATTGTTGGTTTGTTGTGCTCTTGACAGGAAGGAGTGATAACAGAATCTGAGATTCACTGCATTGTTCATTGCAAAAACCCTTTGAAGCAGCCAGGAATGTGCTGCCCCACATGTCCAGGTAAGGTTTCAAAGAGACCGTGGTATACAAATCTAAAATGCATTACGTTCCGTGGGTCAGTTTTTAAGGTGGAATATGAGGCTCAGAATCCAGAGCCCTGGTCCATCTAGCTAAGGGCTGTGGTCTCTGACTGCCTGTGAGAAGCCTTCCAGGGCCTCAGTTAGCTCCGAGGGTTGGCATTGTTGGGCGTCTGCCACAGCCCACAACCCTGCAGTTGGCTCACTGTGGTGGACTGCTGCTAATTTATGCAGTTACTGTTTTATGACTATAGAAAAACTAAACCAACTGCAATAAACAGAATCTACCCCTCTCCTCACATCTGTACAAATAAAAGATACATCAACAGATCTTGCCTCACTGAAAAGAGATCACAAATGCTTGAAAACCCTCTAAAGAGCCAAAAACCTCAGGAAAAAAGGAAACATTTTGCCTCGTGCTTAAATATAGATAAAGATGGGGCCAGGTGAGCTTTCTTGGGGAGAACATTCTATAAGTTTGGAGCCATCCTCTGGACCTCTCATGCAGGGGTCACATGGATGGTGATTGCAGGGTCCAGGTCAGTTCACGTGGGGAGAGGCGGTCCTTGAGGTGTTGTGGTCCTGAGCTGCATAAGACTCTGTGGGTCAGAACTAGCACTTTGAACTGAGCCCAGAAACCTAACTGGTCGTCAATGCAGTTGTGCCATAATTGATGTTCTCAGTGAGGCCTCCCCTCCATAGCTGCCAATTCATACCCTCCTCCTCTTGCCTTGAGGGTGGTTTTATGGGTTGCACTCATAGAAAGAGCAGAAGTGAATAGACAGCTGACACTGGCAATGAGGAGGGAAGGCCACTCATGGAAGGAAGGGTCCACTCAGAACATTGTTCCCAAGCCCCCCACGAAACATGGAGCTGGCACTGGCTATCTCTGTGTTTGCCCCTTTCCTGGCACCACACTTTCCCCCATCCTTGTTGCTGTTAAAACAATAGTTTATATGGAAAGCAGAAGCAAAGCAGGCATTAATAAAAAAAATTCTTGTCCATGAACAATCTCTACCTCACTTCCTCATCTCTAGGGCATCACATTGATTTCTTCTTCAGTGTTCGGTTTCCGCATGATATAATCAATACCTAATTGTGGCAGTCAGTTAGGATTACAGAGTTCAATTTTTCTTTTCATGTTTGTTAAAATCTGAATTCCTAAGATGTACAACACATTACTATGAACTTAATGCATTTTAATTAAGTTCCTCGACCTTTGTGGTTATGAAGATAAGATTTAAAATGATAATGTGGTGTGCCCTAAAGGCTTGTAAATGAAGAGGCAATTAAGAGGAATTCCCATACGTGCTCCTGTTATTTTAGATAATGATTTTATCCGAAACTACTATTTGCAAACAGTTTGGGCTACTAGTACTTTTCACACATTGCATTTATATTGCCGCTCAACTGCAAGAGAGATCTTATGCAGATATGAGCCAGACTTATTTTCTCTTTTTTTCCACCCAGGTTGTACATTTGAAGGTAGACATTACCGTGAAGGTGAGGAATTTCAGCCTGAAGGGAACAAATGCGTCACGTGTGCTTGTGTTGTAAGTTTTTAACTTTGTATCAATGCACATGATAATATAACAGCATTATATTAAATGAAGTGGAACTCAGATTCTGGTAGCAAAAGCATTACTTGAACATTTGTGGCATAATCGTGAGTTTTCTGTTTAGAGCAGACATCACTTGGTAGATAAAGAACTGAATTAGGTGGTTCAAATTATTGGTTGGTTTAGGAATTCAGGCTTGGCTTTTCCTGGCATAAACGGTATTTGAATATTTGCCAGTTGGCATGTCGCCTCTCCTTTCCTCTTCCTGCCCCCACCCCATCAGTCAGTTGGTGCTCCATGGAATTGTGTACAACAGCAAAAGTTTGTCAAGTCCCATACATGTCAATAGTTGCTTATGATGGTAAAACATTTGTTTTTTTAAAAAAAAATACAGAGTATATTGGAATCATTTGCTTTCTAGAAAGCAGAACCATCTTAACAGTTGACCAACCCTCATATAGTACTTGCTAATTTGAGATTTGGTTCTACACAAGCCTCTGTGTTAGGGATGATTCAGTTCCCCAAGGAGTGTGCGTTGCTATACAAACTGGCGTGCTTCCAAGTGGTCAGGCGCCATAAAAAAAATTGGAAGCATCCAGCAGAAAGAACTGGCATAGCTGTGCATGATGTGTGTACCAAATTACGCACATGTTAACATATGAAACCCAAAAGAGAGATACTGTGTAGCATTACAGGGTGGAATGTATTCATGTCTTATAACATGAAAACAGTTTTTCTCTTCCTTATGAGTGAAACTGTGAGTGAATTTGTTACAAAACCTAGATTAAAATTTGGTAGGGCCAAATTCCTTTTGTTGGCAAGTTGTTTCAAGTCTGCTATGCACGTTAGTTGAGGTGGTGTGTGAAATACCTCTCCACGTGATTGAGGACAGGTCGCCTGGTTATACACCATAGTTGAGATCCTTACTTATATCAAACATACATTTAAAATTTGCTTTACAAATGCAGAAAGTGCAAAAAGTGTGTATAATTGCTTGGGTGATAAAACGCCATTAAAGTCAAGAAAATGACAAGCACAAACAGGATGTAGATTTCAGTCCTATTCCTTACCAGGGAACAACCTCTTGTTGAACTCAACAACACGTACTTTTGAGTAGATGCAGATAGGATTGCACTGTTAAGGTAATAACTGACCAAGCTCAGACTTGGTTATATGACCCATGTATGATGATCTTAAACTTAGATGAACATGCTGTGCACTAATATTTTACTAGGAAGCAGTGGGTCTGGAAGTGATGCACACTTTCAGTCATTAAGTGTGCCTAACTCAGTGCTTTGCAGGTTCAGGATCTGAAAACCCCCAGTGAAAAGAACTGAGGAAGTAGTTCCATGGCAAAAGACCTTGGTGAACTCACGTTAATGGGAGTAGATGGACTAAGTCAATACAAGGCAGCTAGTTTTATATTCCGTATTCTACAGTGGTCTGAGATTTCTTGAAATCTGATTTGTTTCAGATTATTCCAATTGGTTTGACTTAAGTGCCTTTAGGAGGGTTATCCCTGGGTGATAGCTGGCACAGGCTAAAGAAGAAGCACCCTATAACCCCTTTTTTAATTGGCAGCTTTGCACATGGCACAGACATGTTGTGCAACCTGCAGGATCTGGGCCCCAATGGCTTCAATTAATCATTCATCACGTTCGGCATAGCTGAAGTCAGATTGGCTGTGCATGCTTGCCTTTGCCTTGGGGTGCAGTTGGCTGTTTCTCTTCTCCAGCGCCTCCTTAACTTCATCAAACAGAAGTTGCACATTGATTAAAATACAATTAATAGGCTGCCAGTTTGTCACTGTTTCCTTCACCACCCCTTCCGTTCCTACCCAGAGGACTAGGACTAGGTGTGGGTTAGTGGAAAGAAATCTCTCAGCAAACTGAAGAGCAGTGCAGCCCTCTTCCTCCAAGCCTTCTTCATTCCTGTTTTCTTTACTCCTCCTCATCTGTCTCACCTGCTTATTTGCCTTTGAATAAGGGTCATACCTGTGCAAACTGAACATGAGCTGTGCAGCCATCACGAAGAATTCTTGCAGAAGTTTGCTGCCTGTGCTCTGGAGTGTCCTCCCCACCCAACCCCTTAAAAAAGAGAAGAAGATTGCGGCAGCAAATCTCTTATCGGAGAAGTAGGGCGGATGTCTGTTTTCAGATACCTATCTAGTCATGCGATAGTATGGGAACTGGCTTGTGAGTGATATGCTGCAACATGTGAGGACTTTATTAGATGAAAGGTATTTTTCCCCACCCCTAATTAGATTTCCACTGTGATTTCAGATTGTAGTCATTCGGCATGACTCCTGTAAGGGAGGAAGAACCAAAGTGCGGAGGAGGAGGGAGACCAAAGATACATCTCTGCAAGGGTTCCCCTCCCCTTCGGTTTTGGCAATAGGAAGATAGGTGGAAAAACACAAGGCTGTTTAATGTAACTATAAATTCCCATTCCCAGGAATGTCTCTGACAGTCAGAGCTTGGAATAGTGCAGCAGCTTAATTAGAATACAGGAGGAAAAATGTTTCTGAAAGCTAAATTGATTTTAATACAGCTGTGCCACCTGTTTGCTCACTTGGGGCAAGAAGCTATATGTTCCAGGGGAACAGTGTAAGTGCAAACCGCTCCCTGCCCACCTGTGATTTCACCGCATTATTTCAGGCATCTTCCATGCTAGGATTAACAGCTAGTTCCACCCTACGCTCTTGTTCCCTTATACAGATTCAGACCACCCGTCCATGTTGCTTGGTATTGATTGCAATGGCTGCAGTGACCCTTCGGATTTTCAGACATGAGTCTTTCCCAGCTGGGATGTTTTGTATGCAAAACGCATGCTCCTTAGCCTCCCCTTTCTTTCTGTCTTTTGGCCTTTGTGGGTCAGTAGCTTGGGGGCTAGAAAACAGAGAGGAACCAAGGCACACAGGCATTGCTGTTCTGCCACTCCCAACATTAAAAGGTTAGAGCAGGATCCAGGGTGTAGCTAAGCCTAGACTGCAGCTAAGCCTACGCTCCAACAGCAGTTGATACATTGGCCCGATATGTCACCCATAAAATGAGAAGCCTTCTGCAGTCATTACCCTCTGAAGAGGGAAGCATGGGTAGAGGGGGGCTGTGGGGACTTGTGTCTTGCGCCACTGATGAAGCCACACAGCTCCTCCTGCCCCTACAACGTATCTGCGGAGGCTCTCTGCCCAAATGGAAACCCTGATCGAAATGGCCTGAGGAGAAATTTAGTGCTATGGCAGCCAAGCAAGTGATAACCAGACTTTGGAAAACGACCTCTTACAGAGCTTACGGAGTCTGGTATGTTTCGGTGATGAGAAAACCTGCACACCAAGTTAAGGAGAGCAAAGGTCACAGTACAGAGACGGCTACAGTGGTACCTCTGGTTAAGAACTTAATTCGTTCTGGAGGTCTGTTCTTAACCTGAAACTATTCTTAACCTGAGGTACCACTTTAGCTAATGGGGCCTCCTGCTGCCACCGCGCCACCGGAGCACGATTTCTGTTCTCATCCTGAAGCAAAGTTTTTAACCGAGGTAATATTTCTGGGTTAGCAGAGTCTGTAACCTGCAGCATCTGTAACCTGAAGCATCTGTAACCTGAGGTACCACTGTACTGGCTTTGTAGCCATTTGATGCAATTACCTGGGTGTCTGTCCATGGCAAGTCACCTGTGAATTGTATCTCTGCTCCAGAGTAAATTTTGCACCTCACCATGCTAATCATCCTGAGTGAATGAGAATCCTAGTTAACAAGGTTCTTGGGCTTATTAACATGATCCTTAACATGATCCAGTGATCCTTCTTTTCCCTGATCCTAGCTGTACTTGCATTCTCTGCCCCTCAACCCCATATTGTTCCATTTTCACATGCCTGCAGTATGCCTTCTGCAGAGCCCACAGCTTTGGTGGCTTCCCCTTTGCTCAGCAGAAGCCGGACTAAAATGCTTTGACTTTACTGCGCCAAGGTTTAGTGTCCATATGTTGGATACAAGTTGCTGGCTGTTACTGATCCAGATGGCATCCATTCTTAAGTCAGAGACTTGAAACACACTCTGTTCCATTAACACGTCCACGAGCAATCTCATCCTTTGGGTGACTTAAGGGTTTCCTGGTAAACATGAAAATGTATGGGCCAGTTCTGGACATAATTGTCTTTCAGTCAGCGAGCAGCCTTTAAATGGCTGGAACTCTCTGGGGAAGTACATTTATGTGTGAAAGAAGGGCAGGGTTATGGGGATCACTTACTGAAGCCCAGCTGTCCTGCTATAATTTATCCATCTAGCATTAATGTGGTAGCGCTTGCTCTAGTGGAGCCAATTTTGCAGAAGCCTTGGCTCTCCCTTCCCCCACCCCCTTCACCTTGAAGCGTTCACTCCATTGATGGACTGGTCACATTAATCAGGTGTATTTTTCAGTAGCCACACTTGCAAGCGCTTGAGAAGGAGGCTGCCTGCCTGTACAGGGAGGAGGGTTGCTGGAACTTTTGGCTTTCACATGTGCTTCGTTGTTGTTGTTGTTGTTTAGTCATTTAGTCGTGTCCGACTCTTCGTGACCCCATGGGCCAGAGCACGCCAGGCACTCCTGTCTTTCACTGCCTCCCGCAGTTTGGTCAAACTTATACTGGTAGCTTCAAGAACACTGTCCAACCATCTCTTCCTCTGTCGTCCCCTTCTCCTTGTGCCCTCCATCTTTCCCAAAATCAGGGTCTTTTCCAGGGAGTCTTCTCTTCTCATGAGGTGGCCAAAGTATTGGAGCCTCAGCTTGAGGATCTGTCTTTGCTTGTAGCCTATATTAAATAGTCAGGTTCCAATTATCTCATTACTTATTTCCCATTTTGATGTACTGTAACTGTTTAGAAATAATAAAAAGGGGGCAGGCTTGGCAAGAAAGCAGCTCTCATGGAAGGATGGTAACCATGGCAAAGTTTTTTCTTTAACGAGAATATGCCAAGCCCACAACGGAGCCCTTTTAATTGCAGAGTCTCCCACATACCCATGTTACCGAGACTATAATCTGTATGAGTTCTGGCATGTGAGGTATTTGGAGATAAGAGGTACTGCCATGCTGGGAGAGGAGGCAGAGCTATTGAGTGGCTTCAGAGGAGGACTATTCTAGTTTTAGTCTCCAACCAGGAGTGTGGAAGCAAGGCAAGCAATCAGCTGGCCTATTAAGTGGTGAGGGGGGGGATATACTTGGTTACTGCTATAAAACAGACTAGGCAAGAGGGGAAAGACAGGTCACCTTTCATCTCTGCAGGAAATATGCAGATGAATATCAGGCAGGTGTCCTGCGAAACAACTGTCTGCCCCATTTCCCATTGGTTTAGCTATCACATAGCTAATTATCATACAGTGGTACCTCGGGTTAAGAACTTAAATCGTTCTGGAGGTCCGTTCTTAACCTGAAACTGTTCTTAACCCAAGGTACCACTTTAGCTAATGGGGCCTCCCGCTACCACCGCACCACCACCGTGCAATTTCTGTTCTCATCCTGAAGCAAAGTTATTAACCTGAGGTACTATTTCTGGGTTAGCGGAGTCTGTAACCTGAAGCATCTGTAACCCGAGGTACCACTGTATTTGCATCCCATTCCTCCTCCAGCAACATATGCCGATGTGGTGTAGTGGTTAAGAGCGGTGGACTCGTAATCTGGTGAACTGGGTTCGCTTCCCCGCTCCTCCACATGCAGCTGCTGGGTGACCTTGAGCTAGTCACACTTTTCTGAAGTATCTCAGCCTCACTCACCTCACACAGTGTTCGTTGTGGGGGATTGTTAGCCGCTTTGAGACTCCTTAGGGTAGTGATAAAGCGGGGTATCAAATCCAAACTCTTCTTCTTCCTCAGTCTCACTTGTGATAGGGATAGGGAACCTGTACTCCCCACCCCACCCCGGATACACTTCCCACCATCCTGGACCATTAATCATGCTGGCTCCCATTGAGGGGCGTGAGCGTCCAACAACATGTCTTTGCAGTTCCATCTGAGGTGTCCAAGGCACTGCCTTCCTATGCTTCCCATTTCAATTTACGCGGCCTGATGATGCGGATAAGACTCTTGCAATTCCTTCTGCCCTTAAACTGGTGGTCATGTGTCCGTGCCTCCTGAAGAAGCTTGTCTTGGATTCTGTGGTTTATAACAACTCCCAGCTGGTTGCAAACGTCTCATTCTTGGGTAAGGTGGAGTTTGAGGATGCACCTGGGTCCAGCTTTGTTCTTGGAGGCTCAGGTAGGCTTAATGCCTATCAGTGCCTTTGACCAGGTATGGCTGGTACGCCAACTATGACCATTCTTGGACATGGATATGTATTAATTTGGATAAGTTCATTTATTATTTTTAAGGTCCTTAACATCTTTGGTCCAGGACACCACTCCAAACCTGTTTTTTCTTTCTTTCCAGGGGGAGTGCAGCCCCACCCAGAACATCTTAACCTGGTTCTGTGGATTGCTGCATCCTGTCTAATAGGCTGTCTATAATCCTTTCTTCCTTAAGTATCTCTGCTCAATTTTGAACCCAGTTATTCTGTTTCAGTAGCAGAGGGTATCCCAAATCAGTGAAGAAATCAAGGCATTAATGCCATTTCACTACAAACAGTCAGGCATTGCTGCTGTTACCTTTCACTCAGCTCCAGTTAGATGGAAATAATTTCAGATGCCCTTCACTTCCTTTGTTGAGGTGATGTGTATTTATATGTATATTGATTTTTCCATAAGGCAGTCTGAAAAAGTTGAATTTCATAAGGTGGGAGGTTGAGCCTAAGGCTTGGGTGAGAACAGGAAACCTAAAAGAATTCCATTCTGGCTTTTGGCAACAACATTATTTTTATCTCCAATTATTCACAAATTTAAATGAGGTGTTTTTTTTTAATCTTCAGTCATCCAAAAAATATTTTTAGCATTCTCCTCCTTAATAGCAAACTCAGGTGGTGAGTGCTGACAGAAATGGAGCCAAAATGGCACCAATGAAAGGAATCGGCATGTTTGAGGAGAATGCAAAGATTTTTAGAAGTATACAAAATGCCATTAAAAAAACCTTTAATGAGGTAAAACTCCCTAGTGAGGACTGAGCATGCTCAGTAGCCACAGGAATCCATGTCATATGGAAAAGAAAACCAGGAGGGATGTGACTGAGTGGGGTGGGGTGGAATGCCCTGCTTAGAGTTTAATTAGAGATGTTAGAAGTGAGAATACACTGCATCAATTTATTGTAGGTTTCGCTTTTATCAGAAATGTTTGTGGGGTAAAGGTTATTTTTTAACATGCCCATTCATATGTATAGGAATCATCTGGCTCTCAGCAACGATTAATTTAGGAGTAAAATCCGGGGGGGGGGGGGGGAAGCTCCAAAAGATCTCAGTGAAAATAAATGTGTCCAATGGCCACAGTATGCTGAACATCTTTAGTGGGGGAGGGGGAGGAGGGGAAAACCAAGGAGAAGTGGAATGGAGTATCCTGGAATAGGACATGGACGGCTGGCTGGTTGAAACCGTGAACAGGAGTGCTCCACATTGCAGCAAAACAATGACCCGCTCCCTATAAAAGCAAACCTTGATGGTCAAATACTGATAAGCAAACCTAGATGGTCAAATACTGATAAGGAGAATGGGGCTCCCCAAAATAAGGAAGTGATTTCTGTAAACTTGAGGGCTTTGCAGGTACGTAGAAGTAGGGAAGTCTCTAAATTAAATTATTTCCACTAAGTAAGCGTTGAGTAAAAGACAACAGTAGCAGTGCCAGGCAATTCATAGTGAATAGCCAATGGGAAGACAACTAGCCTATAGGCATGTTTGCTCACATTCATCCTCTTCATGGAAAAGGATATTACACCATAACAAGGTGACCAAGGTCTGTCTTTTTCTTTTTCTTTCCAGATTTTCCTATTTCCTAGTTTATCCTCTTCAGGTTCTTTGCCTTTTCTTCCAACATGCTCTGAAACCCCCTCTGTCTGCTTCCTGGCTGCTTATTCATCCCACCGTCATTCCTGGAGCTCTTCAGATAGAGTCTGCAGGGGGTCTTGGTCCCAAATCTGATATGATTGTTGAGCATCTGGTCTGAGTCCCTCAGAGCCTGATCTGTTTTTCGTTCATCTCCTGGGGCCAATTCTGACACCTGGAACTCTTGACATAAACATGGAAAGATTTCTTGTCTGAGGCTGCAGTCCTTTTCAACATCGAAACTGCTTGGTGAAATCAAGATCTGGTCTGAGATGTCACCATCTCCATTTCTCATTTTCACCAAATCCCGCTGAAAACCTGAACTGTTGTCGTTATAGCAGTGAGGGACCAGGTGCAGGAGAACAAAATGGAATTTCATCCAGTTGGTTACGAGATTTGGGTGATCTAGTTTTGAGTGTTCAGTTCAGGTTGGGCTGAACTCTCTCATAATATAGGTTTACAGTTTGGGGGCTATTTATTTCGGTTTTTGGGTGCCCAGGTTGTGGCAGTAACTAGGTGGGTTGTTGTTTTTTTACTAGCTCCAGTTAACGTGTGCTGTTCTGCTGGAAAAGACAGACATTGCTATGATCATTCATGCTTTAGTAGCTTCTAGATTGGATTACTGTAATGTTCTTTGCATGGGCAGCCTTGAAGAAATTGATCCAAAAGCTGCTGCCAGATTTTTTTGCCACGGACTGACCAGATGGAAAATATTATTCTGGTTGTGTACAATTTTATTTGGCTTCCTATTTGCTTCTAGGCTTAACTTTGAGCTGGTTCTTACCTTTTAATAATACAGGTACAAACCTTTCACAGATTTTTGTTGTTGTCATTCATGGGATACAGGGTGCAAACTGAACGGGCCTACTGAAAGACGCAGGGAGGAGAGGTTATGAAGAACTTGAACGGGTTTTTTTGGTTTTCACAGGGTGTGCACGCATAAATATTTGGCACAGTTGGTTTGGGAGAAAGTCTTCATAGTGCCCCCAAACTCTTCGTTGCTTCAAGCAAGGAGATTCTGCTCTCATGCATGCAAAGACTTCTTACCTTGATTTTAAATTATCCTTTTTGGATAGATGAACCAATCTTTCCACATCCTTAAGAACTCAATCCAGTTTTTATTATTACTTCTCAGTATCAATGTCGTTATAGCACTGGGGAAAATTCCTTTGTCTACGCCGTGAGCCTGTAAATAAAGTTAAAATGTTGTTTTATTTTTTATTCTGGGTTGCATTCTACCTTAAACAGACTACTAAAATAGAATTATATGTAGTATTAAGGGATTAACATGAAAGGAGTGATGAATTTATTCATTAAGAATGTGATCAACTCATACTGTATTTCAATCTCATAAAAGATATATCTCTCACCTTCTAAGCTCAAGGCATCTCTGCCGGCACCTTAGTTAGATAAAACAAGGATCTTTCTTACAAAGCATGCATTTCTGGTAATAAACCATAGCTTTCTTATTTCCCCCTAAACTGAGAATCTCACTGTGATCATATCCAGCATCCTGTGGGCTTTTTCAATAGGGATTCAGTATTAAGTTCAACTTCCTTTGAGTATTTTAGCTCCAAATGCCAACACTTCTCTGAATTGGATTTCTCTCTTATTCCTAATGATAATTAGCATAAGTGAATGGGCCATCAAAGATCAAATGTCACAGGCAATATTTTCATATTCACCATGTGGCAATACCAAGCCCCTTAGAAAGTACATGGCCAAGAATGGAAATGGTGTCCTGTGTTAAAGGTAAAGAGACCCCTGACCGTTAGGTCCAGTCGCGGATGACTCTGAGGTTGCGGCGCTCATCTCGCTTTATTGGCTGAGGGAGTCATGTGGCCAGCATGACTAAGCCGATTCCGGCGAACCAGAGCAGCGCATGGAAATGCCATTTACCTTCCCGCTGGAGTGGTACCTATTTATCTACTTGCACTTTGATGTGCTTTTGAACTGCTAGGTGGGCAGGAGCAGGGACTGAGCAACGGGAGCTCACCCCGACATGGGGATTCGAACCGCCGACCTTCTGATCAGCAAGTCCTAGGCTCTGTGGTTTAACCCACAGCACCACCTGCGTCCTATGTTACCTGTTGACTAATATGGTTAGCCAAATTGGAAGTGGTTTAATGTTTTTTTCTATATAGGTTAATGCTGTTTTGTCTGTTCCCATGTATTAAAATTAGCTAAACAAATAACCGCTTTCACCATTCTGCCATTAGGAACAATAGTGGTAACTGTGGAACTTTCTTAAAAACAACCTGGGAAGATGTGGCTTTGGGCTTGTATCCTAATTCTCTAAGCATGAGTATAGATAATAGACCCCAGTATCAATATTATACATCTTCGTGTCCCCATCACCTTTGTCTGTGCTCTGATGGGGAATACTTAGTTGAGGTAAATGGGTCACTGGTCTGACCCATTGGAGTCTGTTCTTATGTTTCTTTTACAACATTTGCTGGACAGGGTCCTTTTGTATTCCCCCACCAACCCCCAGCATGTATACAAACTGGGGTGGGTGCGGGTGCGTGTTATTGAACACACATAATGATGTTAAAGGTTGACAAGTCCCAGTTCATAAAGCCTTCCTAATTAACAAGCCAGGATTGATTGCTTCCACTGACAAGCAAAGACTTAAGTTTACACAGTTCAGGCCATAAATGTGGGCCATTAACAGGCTGCCCCTGATGAGAACCTACATTTTTTATTGGCTTGGGGCTTCACTGGAGTTCATAAATATATTTGTTTGAATGGACACCTCAGAAAATGTGTTAGGGTGGGGGGGGGGAGTCCGTTTCCCAGGGAAGAGGTGCAAAAGACTGAGGAGAAAAACAAAGCCTCTGGAAGCCCCTTGAAAATAAATGAACAATAACCCCTGATGACCGTAAGGGAACGAAACTATTGCACATTACTGCAGACATGTCCAGAGAGTGCAGTGGATTTATGTTCAGCTGCTGAGGCACTTTTTATAAATTGCTTTCAAATGGAATGTGTGTGGTATCTCATGGGGCCACTTGTTTGAAAAATTGATTTAGGTCTAGAAGATTCCCACAACTTGTAGTAGGAAGCAGTAAAAGCAACAGCTTGTCAATGATTAGAGCCTTTGTTTGTGAAACGTTTTATGATGAGTCTAGGATCCTTCTGGCTTGCAGACTGCAGCTTTGGATGCATTTTTTCCACAAGGGACAGGTCACTTGCGGAAAAATGCAGAGTGCACAGCGAAATTTACGCCGTCCCAGCTGTATTGCAGTGCATCTTACCACATAGTCACTACTACCATTATATTTATTACACAGTGAGATAAAACACATTTAGCACGTAAATGTCATTGCTTGGAGAGAGGTGGTGGGGGAAGGCATATCCCAGCATGATGAGCCCCCCAATATGAAAAGCAAGTGCAGAGGTGCCTGGGAAAGCTACACAGCGAATGCTACAGCTGGGATGGCAGATGTTGTGGCGATCACACAGGGTCCCGGGACATTTCAGCGTCTATTGATCCCTGTGCCACCACTTTATTTCCCGCTGCCACCACCCAGGCCCTACCTGGTACAATCCTGAGTCCAGTCAGGGTTAAATTGGAACATAAACTTTTGTTTATTTATTGCAGTTTAACAAGCGTGTGGTTTCATAAACAGTATTGGTCAATTTCATTCATGGGGTGCCTATCCAGACCTATAACGTCCGCTACCTGCTCTCACTCACTAAACCACCTCTCAGATATTTACTTGTCTTCCCAGCCTCTGTTTTTGACTCAGCTTATTTCGCTACACTTAACTCAACCTACCCACAAACTCTATCCCAATTCACTCCCACTCCAACCAACCACCCAACTCCTCATGAACACCCCTTTTTGCCCCTCCCAGAGCTGGTTTTATAGTCACTGTGACTCCACCCCCTGGGTTCTGATAGGGTAACCTGATTAACTATTTCACCTCCAGCACTCTCATACGTTAACGTCACAGATGTTTTGTGTGACAGCCACACAGGCAAATGCTCTGCCATGTCTTCTGACCCTCTGCAACACTCGCAAGTGCGGTGTTCATTCTAACAAGGAATCTGCCAGGCAGGTATTACGGTGGCAGAAAACCATACTTCCTAGATAGAAAGCCTGGGGACAGCCTTTGTTGGTGTAAGTCAATGCATACAGAAAGCTGCATTTAGAAACTTGCAAGTTAAGGAAGAGACGCCTAACAACAGTACAGGGCTCCAATAGTGCATAATTAAGTTACGTTACTTTTCTATTATTTCCAGTTGTGCTTTAAATTTATCCACCTTTGAAAAACACAAGAGCAAGGACATTAAGGACATACAGACTGGAAGGTCACTCTACAATTTTTGCCCCACTGTTAAATTTCAGCTCCTTAGTTGTAGTGTTAACTGCTTAGTGGTTTTGTTACACTCAAGCAGTATATAAATTTAGTTAAATAAAACAAATTCCTGAACTCTGTGACTGCGAGATCATTCTGGCTACTAGCTACCTGGTGTAATATATGCACTGTGTATACCAGGTAGCTAGTATGATAGCATCTACCGGTACTTTATTCAGGGAGAAGGAGTGGCCCTTTCAGTTTTCTTGTTTCTTTGTTTTAGCTTTTGCTCCAGGTGAGTCCTTTTTATCATGGAATGAAGTAGTTCCTAATTGGTGGTCCGTGGCGTAACCCATCCAGGGGGTCTGTGGCACATGCCCTTCAACTGTCCAGGACCTCCTGTTTTTGGGTGCTGTGCTCTCATGTGGGTCATGTGACTTGCACGGGAACACATCCTGGTTTTGCACTGGAACATATTGGAGGGTACGGTGGCACCATTCACATAACAAAAACTACCGCAGAGATATCAACATTTTCAAAAGTGGGGGGTCCGTGGCTTGGCTTTTGAAAAACAGGGGGTCCACAGTACTAGACGTAGCGTATTGCAGTTATTTTCCAGCCTTGGAATGCCATTTGCCTGCTCTGCTTTTTAAAATGAATCATCTCTGTCTTCCTTCTTGTTTTCAGTTCATACCCATTTTCACAGGGTGTATTTTTTTGTAACACTTCTATGGATATTTTATTGACAGAACTTTACACTTCAAAGTATACATTGCACAGTGGAACTATGTCCCACATGTAATTAGTCTGGATCTTTTAATCACAGACTTAATGCAAATTCCACAGAAGAAGTGTTGAGTAGTTCTTCAAAGTAGCCATTAACCATTGTATGTTTCTTTTAATATATATATAATTGGGGGAAAACAAAAGGATCCGATTATTGAAAACCACAATTAACTCTGAATTGTGACTGTTTTCACAGCCTTGATCTGCCTCTCGTACCATTATCACATTCTCCCCAACTTTCAGTCATATTTTGTGATGATTTATTTCCGTACCTGTGCACTGATGGTGCAGCTTTAGGATCAAGCTTACAGGCATATGTTGATCTGTCTGCTGTCAAACAGCTGTTGAGGATGTACATAGATTACACTGAGCATATGCAGCTGCAGACTCAGCTCAGCAAGGTAATGTAGTGCAAGATAAATTTTGGAGATCACAAGATGAACATATATATTAGTAAATTGAGGGGTTAACTATGTGTTACACCCAGATGTATGCATTAAAGCACCCTGGAGCAACTTTGGAAGAGAATAATTTGGACTGGAGAACCAACAAGCAAGTATGTCTAATCCACTTCCTGCTTCTCCATCCCAGATCACATCCCCATATGCTTCAGAATCACCATCACTGATGAGGTTTCAAATGCTGTTTGCCCTTGATTTGAACCCTGATGGAAGAAAAGTGGTTTGGAGACTCCGGGAGAGGATTAGACAGACATACCTGTTAGTTTTCTGTTCCAATTACCCTCTTCCAAAGTTGGGCACCCCTCGCTGCTTCTACAGATTTCCTCCTCCTGAAGCCTCCTTTTTCTTGTGCTCATTTGTGCTTACAGCATAGCTAGCCCCTGATCATACTCTAGTTCCCACCATGATCCTGCTCATACATGAGTTCAGTCCTGATGACGATATCCTCTAATAATAATAATAATAATAATAATAATATATTATTTCTACCCCGCCCATCTGGCTGGGCTTCCGCAGCCACTCTCGGCAGCTTCCAAAAAAATACTAAAACACTGCAATACATCAAACATTAAAAGCTTCCCTAAACAGGGCTGCCTTCAGATGTCTTCTAAAAGTCTGGTAGTTGTTCTCTTTGACATCTGGTGGGAGGGTGTTCCACAGGGAGGGCGCCACTACTGAGAAGGCCCTCTGCCTGGTTCCCTGTAACTTGGCTTCTCGCAGTGAGGGAACAGCCAGAAGGTCCTCGGTGCTGGACCTCAGTGTCCGGGTAGAACGATGGGGGTGGAGACGCTCCTTCAGATATACAGGACCAAAGCCGTTTAGGGCTTTAAAGGTCAGCACCAACACTTTGAATTGTGCTAGGAAACGTACTGCTCTGATTCTTGTGTTTTGCTTCTTTTGACAACTTGGCATGCACCCATTTCATAGTACAGTGGTGCCCCGCAAGACGAATGCCTCGCAAGACGGAAAACCCGCTAGACGAAAGGGTTTTCCGTTTTCAATGCGCTTCGCAGGACGAATTTCCCTATGGGCTTGCTTCGCAAGACGAAAATGTCTTGCGAGTCTTGAGCCCCCTTTTTCTAAGCCGCTAAGCCTTTAATAGCCTTTTAGCAGCTAATCCGCTAAGCCGATAAGCCTTTAATAGCCGCTAAACCGCTAATAGCGCTAATCCGCTAAGCCGCTAATAGGGTTGTTTCGCAAGACGAAAAAACCGCTAGACGAAGATACTCGCGGAACGGATTAATTTCGTCTTGCGAGGCACCACTGTAGAGTTATGCTCTTGCCCACACCCCCATTTAAAATTTTTAGGAACTAGTATTCATATGGAGAGCAAAGGCAGACTGGTATTCATTAAGAAGCTTTTTAAAAAAACAAAACAGCTTGTGAAGTACTCTGGCAGCAGCTCTCCAGGATGGAGGGGAGTCTCAGCATAACTGGAGATACTGGGGATTGAACCAGAGATCTTCTATATGCAAAGCGGATGCTTTGCTACTGAACTATGGGCCTTCCTTGAGCACCAGGGAAGCTCCTCTAGAACCAACAATGGGAAAATCTCCGCTGTGTACATCTCCTCTTGCTAGATGATAGCCAGGGTGCATTATTAAGATAGCTTTGGTTTTGCATAATCAAATACCACCAGTCAAACTGTTTGTGAGTTTACTTTTCCAAGTTATTTTTGTGATTTTTGTGTGTGTAATGAATACATTTTTGACAGATGAGTCATCTGCTTTAACCCTTATTATAAGGCTGAAAGAAATATTGCTGTAACTGCTAAGACAGTACACATCATCAAAACATAACATCCACCTCTGACCTCTGCATTTTAGGACTGGAAAATTACCATTTTATTCTGTAATAAAGAAAGACACGTCAGTCCCCTTAAAATATCCACATTACAACACTGTGGGGTGGTGAAACAGATACTTGATTTGTGATTTTCTTTGGGTGCTGGTAAATACATGGAATAAATGTAATAAACATTAAATTAAAATTAAAAAATACTTCCAAAGCAAGTCAGTTGGGGCACGTGTAAAAGTAGAGGGCGGAATAAAAAAATATTCATTCAGGAATCTAGTATGGGAATTTTAGTTCCACTGAATCAATGGAACTGCTTAACAGCTGGAGGAGAACTCCTTCAGGAGGTGATAGGCTGTAAGTATTTAAGGAAAGGCTGGACAGCCACCTATCAGGGCTGCTGTAGTTGCATCCTGCATTGCAGATCCTGCATTAAGCATGGAGTTTGGTCAGATGACCTTCACAGTCCCATTCAGCTCTGTGGTTTTGTGGCAAGCATGTTCAGGGTGCAGGGATTCTGCCCATAGCTGTCAACCGTCCCTTATTTGGCGGGAAAGTCCGTTATCCCAGCACTGTGTCCCGCTGCTGTCCCTTATTGATGATGTCCCTTAAATTTCCCGGGTTTCAAAGGAAGCAGCTCCTCTCCCTCCCTCCCTGCCGGCCAGGGAGGAGGGAGGCTCCAACTGTGTTGCTTGGCTGCGTTGCTCACCCAATAAGGAGTCTAAGAACGACTGGGGGGTGCAGCTTCCATGCCTTGTGCCGATCAAATCGGCTGCGTTGCCTGGGGACTCGCCTTTGCTCAGCGCTTCCCAGCGGAGAAGTGACGGTGGTTTTCCTTGCTGCATCCCCTTTGCTGGGTTGCTGCGCTGTGGGAACCACCGCTTGAGGCTTCGTTTGGCTGCTGGCTGGGATTTCTGCCTTTGGCTCGGAGGGGCTCAGAAGTTGAACCTACCTGTGCTCGGAAAATCCCTTATTTTGGCTGCTGATCCCTTATTTTCGAGGCTGCTGGTCCCTTATTTTCAAATCTGTAAGTTGACAGCTATGATTCTGCCTGGAACAGCAAGCAATATTGCTTCCCGGGGATCCAAAGTCCATGAAATATATGCTAGAAATCCAAAACACTGATAGAACCACCAAACCTTCTAGTTCACGTTCTTTTTGGGGGGCAATCAAGTAAATTGTGTGATCATGCAATGTGATCAACATCTAGCACTGGTAGAATGGGCCGCAGTGAGGTGCCACTTACGTAATCAGCCTGGTTTTTGAAAGCATAGTAGCTGCAGAGTGACCTGAACTGACCACTGACAGAAGTCTCTGTGTGTTTTGAAGGCATTTGGTCCAGAGTCATCCTCTCTACATTTCTCCCCGCTGCCTTATGGCTGATTAGCCAGTGAGCTGAATACCTGCATGACTGCCTTTGCTCAGTGAAAAAGGAATATGGCCTGTAATACGGAATTCAACAGCTTGAACATTAATACAATCCTGAGGATTTTACAGGTTTTTTTTTTTTAAAAAAACGCCCTTCTAATCTCCGCAAGAGGTGGAAGAATTGGTCATTATTGCCCGTTTGCTTCATGACCTCCTGCTGGCTGTGCCCCTCTCTCAACAGGATTTGCATTAGACCCACAGTAGCTCAGTGTTAAATGACTGCTGGAAATCACAGCAGCAATTTCCTAACGTTTCCCCTGGGATGCTTGAAAAAGCCAGTACCAACATTTCTCGAGTGCGGCGTATCTGCTTTTTGTCCTGCTGGGCAGAAATAGTTAGCTGGAGTGCTCTTATCAAAGGTAGCATCCTCCAGATCTGCCCTTACACAATACCAAGTCATGTGGGGGGCCCGTTTCAAGGCAATAATTCTTTTGCACAGTAAGTGTTCAGTTGTTACAGATTTGTTGCAGCGGGATCCAGATGTCTGTCCTCAAGTTAGCATTTCTGTTCCTTTTCCATACTGTGTTTTCCCTCTTCTTTTGATCACCCATTTGCCAGCTGACAGAATGAAAGACAGTCGTTTTCATTAAATGCCACATCTGAGCTAGCTTTTAAAAACTTTAAATCAGTGGAACTACAACTGGTGTAGTTCTTTTATATTTTTGAGCGTGTGTTTCCCTGATCAATGGCTTATTACTTACTTGTTCAGTGGCACTTTAAAAACAAAAGCTATAAAGTGATGCTTAAAGAGTCATTAGTTGAAAAATAGTTGCAGTTGGTTTTACATTAAAAAAGGGAGAGGTCCTATGCTGTGTTGTGTTGTGCTGTGTTGTGCTGTGCTGTGGCAGCACGACATGAAGCTGAGCAAAGCTTTGGAGCCATTGCAAAATAATGCTTTCCTGGTTTCAGCTCTGAGAGACACATTGGGTAGAGTCACTAGTATGGCAACAGTTATCCCTGGGTTTGGAATGAGGAAAGCATTGCTCCATTGCTGTTGGATTGTAAACAAATAATGACCTTTGCCGTCTTAAAGGTAGTTATCATTTAATGTCCCATAAACCTAGCTACCAGTTGAATGAACTCACACTAATTTGTTCCTATATACAGTGGTACCTTGGTTTACGAACTTAATCCGTTCCGGAAGTCTGTTCTTAAACCAAAGCGTTCTTAAAGCAAGGAGTGCTGTCCCATAGCAGTGGGGGACTCAAATTTACAAATGGAACGCACTCAACAGGAAGCGGAACATGTTCTGCTTCCAAGTCAAAGTTCACAAACTAAAACACCTACTTCCGGGTTTGCAGCGTTCTTAATCCAAGTTGTTCATAAACAAGCTGTTCTTAAACCAAGGTACCACTATATATTCTTGCTGTTGCCTAGATGTAAGGCTCTGTGCAGCTCAGGACGAAATTACTTGGGAGTGTTAATGCCTTGCATACCCAGTACATCACTAATAATAATAATAAATTTTTTTATTTATATCCCGCCCTCCCCAGCCGAAGCCGGGCTCAGGGCGGCTAACAACACTAAAATAGTGCAACATTGTACATTGCAGTCTTGAGGAGAGTTCCCAATGGTCTCAGATACCTTCTCCACAGAAACCCAGAGCAGGGCTTTCAGTGTGGCTGCCCCTGTTCTCTGGAACAGTATCTCTGTTGAGATAAGACAGGCACACACTATCTGCACTTTTTGGAAACAGCGACAGGCTCTCCCAGCTGGATAAATGGATCTTTGCCAGGAGCATCCATTTTGTATTGCTTTAGTTTTGTTTTAAATGTACCTGATTTTTTAAAATGTTTCTAACTGTTTTTATTGTACATTGCCTTGAGACAATTAATAAACGGATGGTGGCGGTAATAGTGATGATTCAAACCTGATATCGTGTTAACCAAATAGTTATATGTAGAGGATATGCTGCCTAGAGGATATAGGTATATTAAGAGGATAGATTCCTACCCCCCCCCCCCGCAAATTGTTTTACCTATCTGTTTCCTGTTTGCAAAAAGCATACAATATCCGTACTGTATAAGAATCAAGGCTAATAAACAGGCATAGTCTATATATAACCATGTTTTTTGGCACCACCTAGTGGCTTTCATGTGAAACTACCTGGTTCTCAAGGGAATAGAGGGCATTATTTTAACTGTGGCAAAATGATGTTACTGGGAAATAGCTAAGGAATGAAATGAGAATGAAACAAAGACCCTTCCAAGCTAAAAAATTGTAAAAACTGGTAGCCCAATATGCTGCCGTGGGGTGTCCTGAAAACCACTAACCAGCCCAGTAAAAGCTGATCTATCTAACTTATTGCTATTTCATTCCAAATATTTTGCATCATTTGAAGAATGTGAAGCTTTAATGTATGCATGTCATCCTTCTGATGCTGAGCAAAAATTAGTACAAATTTTATCGCCAATGCAAGTGAGTGATTAGCCTTTGAATCATCTGTTGTTCCTTGCTTAAATTCAGCGCGAGTTCAGAAGAAAACAGAAAAAGGAGGGGGATTTTGCATTTTATTGCCGTAAAAGGATCCCAGTGCACCTATATTAAATAGCCAGACACTTTCTCCTGTTACACTATTGTTTTGTAATCGTTGTGCATGAGTCCCAAATTCGGCCCTTTCCCTTTTTGTTGTTGTCGTTGTTGCTGTTCATGCTTAACAATTTCATTACTCGTGTAATGAAAAAAATATACCCGAAAGGATTTTATGGGCTTTGTCCTTATTTCTTTCCAGGGCCTTGTTAAAGGCAAAACAAAAGGAGCTTAGATGCTGCTGGAATGTTAGTGAGCTGCTTTCCCCTCCGTCACTCGCAGGGCTGCGAGTTTTTACTGCTGCTGCATTTCAGCGATGGTTTGAAAAACACAAACTTTAAAGGAGCGAGCGAATCTCACTTTGCCATTTAACAGCTGAGGAGGAAAGACTAGGCTGCTGACTAATGTCACGTGCACTCACTGCAACTTATAACGGTGTGTTTCCAGCTCTCCTGGGATAACTGCAGATGTATGCTTGTGACATCACCTCCAGCATGGTGTCCATATACTTGCATGTCATTGAGCTTTGTTCATGCCTTGCGGGCGCAGTTCATTCCCTCTTGGAGGTTTACTTCTGTCACTTTTTTTATCCTGCCGGTTTTCCAAGAGCTCAGCTAGACGTACGCACACAATTCCCTCCCACCACCACTTCCTGGCTGCAAAACCCTTATGAAGTAGGGCTAGTTTGAGAGAGAGTGGCTGGCCCAAGGTGACCCCGTGAGTGTTATGGCTAACCAGAGATTTCCACCCCCATCTACCTCACCCAAGCCCTTCGCTCTATTAACAGCACCGTGCTGGCTCTCAAAAACTGCAGAGGTGCCAGGACTACCTCATCCTAAGCATGATGGAAAGTAGTGCAGGAATGCAAACACACACACACACACGCACATGAACGGGACTCCGAGGCCAGCCCCATGACATCATGCTGAAACTATACCAGGAAAGATGCAGTGATGGGAAGAAGGTCACCTCTTAAAAGCATAATGTTTCTGTAAAAATGTGACAAGGGTAAGACATGCTGTGCTAGCAAAGGTTGTACCACCCATATACTAGCATGGCATTATAAAACGTGGTGTTAGTCCAGTGTTGCAAGCTTCATTGCGACACTGTGGACAAATATTTCGGGCTTGATTTTTAATTGACAGGTCGTTGTGGGTTCTCTAATTTTCCCTCACAAATTAATGTCACTTCACATTCCTTTAAAATTTCTTACCTGTGTTCTCTAATTTGTTCCTCATTTTCTTCTACCTACTCATAACTTTATCCTAACCTGGTTCCTCTTATTTCATATTTTCAATTTTGGAATGACAGTCTTAAAATGCTCCCTCATTGAGAATAAGATAGCACTCATAAAAATAAAATAGCCCATGTTTGAAGTTGCCACTCTTTCGACTTTTCTGTTTCTGACATCCCATGAGAACAAAATTAATAGGATCAATAAAACAATAGACCAACAAATGTTCAGTGCATGACATTTTGCAGAGTTGCACAGAGTTTTTGTTTGGGCTAGATATTCAGCTTTTTAAAAAGCAAAAAAGTAGATTTTTCTGAGTGAAGGCCCAGGACTAAGAGTCACTTATCTTTGGCTGTAGATTCAGCCTTTAATGAACGGAGAAAGTCCTTTAAGACTTAATTTATTTACATTAAACACCAGCCTCTCTTCCTGTCCTTCTATCAATATCCTTGTTCCACTTCTGCTCCAAATATTCCACCCCTGGACAATTTAGCGATTTCAACAGTGCATGTAGTTTTGCATGTCTGGGAAAACCTGGTTGGAACTTCTCCTGATACTGAATTGCATGGGTCATATTGCACTTTTGCTTTTCAGATCTTCAGCTTTTAGGAAACACCTTCATGCCAGGAATCCCAGAGCACTGCAGAAGGTTCTGGAGTATGTTCTAAGGAGCATGGCCACTTGATATGGTCAGACTTAGCCAGGCCTAATTTTGTTGCTGTGTTGCCCTGCATAAACTCAGTGCATCTTCATGAAGTTGTGCACCACAAGGGAAGGCTGAGAGGAAAGTTTGTCTTTCAGGGATGCTTGTCTACCATGATGCCTGATAACCTTCCAGGGTTCTCTAGAACATAGTTGAGAAGCCACTGAAATTCAGGGCAGTCAACCTGGATACAAGTTGCCTGCTGCATATATCTTCCTATTTCAGGTAAAATTGACAAGCTATTTATATATTGGTTCTTCTGACATGCCTAGAACAGAGTCTTTGGAGAGTGCCTCCACATGTTTGCTCCTCAAGTCTCAGCACAAAGAATTGGCAAGTCACTGACCTGGCATGCAGAAACTTTAAATGACGTCCGCTGGCATTCAGTATCTATAAATTAAATGGTGGCGAAAGTGGTGCGTTCTCTAAATAGCGTGAAGGATGGCTTTGACGTGTGCCCATAATTAAAACCTTTTCCTACGAATATGATAATCCACCTTGGAATAAAGAACAAAGAAAAATAAAGATAAGGAATCTTCAAACCGGAAGCCTCCGAGGTATTTTTCTGTGGATGAAGCGAGAGAAAGAAGAAGAAGAAATATACATTTGCAGGTTTCCTAAATCTCAGTCCTAACGAAGAAGAGCCAAGTGATTTAAACTCTTGTTTTGTCCCTGGACCTTTGATAAAATGGGAATATGGCCAGCTCACCTTCAGTGGGGACTGTTTTCAAGCTCTTCCAAAATCATCCATTTAGCATCTGTTCCATGGGTCCCTTAGTTCTTTCCTGCCATGTTTTAGGGAATGAGAGAACTCCCTCCCTGATGTTTCACACCTTATCCTTCTCTCCTCTTTTGAAGACCTTGTGAAATTGGGCAAAGAGCCAGCATGAGAATGGAAAAGTACGTTTAATACTGGAATAGCTAATGTCTTAAAATTTCCCATGGAACATCATTTCCTGTGCTGGGCTTTTTTTAAAAGTATAGTCCTCGTCAACATAATAACCTGAAACTATTTCATTTGAAACCTCCATTTAAAATGGTAGATTTATGCTGTACAGAAATCTTTATTTGCAATAATGCAGATGCAGTCATTTGCAGTAGCTCATTGTACTCAGAAACAAGTGAGCAAATTCATTTGGTATAGCTGCTTCTTTTACTAGCCAAACAGACGGAAAATACATTACCTTGTAATATAACATGTAATTTTTGTACAGTGAGCAGAAGGCACTATTTGATTGCAAAATCATTTGCACATTCTCATTCAATAGAAGCTTTCGGGGAGAGTGTGGTGGAGAATCTGCTCTGGAGTTAAAATAGTCCGGGAGCAGGTAACGTGAACAACCTGAAACCACTGAGAGTCAAATGAGACAACACAGGACTACAAGAACAAATAGTCTTCCTTGGAATAGGGTAAAAGGTAAAAGGACCCCTGACTGTTAAGTCCAGTCATGAACAACTCTGGGGTTGCGGCACTCATCTCGCTTTACTGGCCAAGGGAGCTGGCGTTTGTACGCAGACAGCTTCCGGGTCATGTGGCCAGCATGACTAAGCCGCTTCTGGCGAACCAGAGCAGCGCACGGAAACGCCGTTTACCTTCCCACCGGAGTGGTACCTATTTATCTACTTGCACTTTGACGTGCTTTTGAACCGCTAGGTTGGCAGGAGCAGGGACCGGGCAATGGGAGCTCACCCCATTGCAGGGATTTGAACCGTCGGCCTTCTGATCGGCAAGCCCTGGGCTCTGTGGTTTAGACCACAGCGCCACCCGTGTCCCTCCTTTCATAAGCTACTGTCCCACTTTGTTTAGTTCCGAGAGATACCTTTGCTACTTTAGAAATGCAGTGTTTGAAAGGGCAGGCCAGATGATTTGAGAAAGGAACTGATCTGAAGTGCTGAAATTGCAAGGTTATAAATCTGGTTCACAGGTGTATGTTACTCATGTGATAACTAGTTTCAAGCTGATCATATAGCGCTATGCTGCTGGTAGAGTTTCTCTAGGTCTACTGAAAGCCTCAGTGGCGCATCCTTCTGCACTCACCACAGGCTCTCATGGGCCCCCATTGGTTAAATGTATAATCCTTTTAATAGTCAGTGGAGCTTGTTGGCAGGTGTCTTAGTAATTTCAGACATTGTCATTCAGACTGTACTGTTTCTCTGAGCTTAAAAATAGCTAGACATCTGCTGCTTCATTATGTATAATTTAAGGGATTTGCTTTCAGGAAAAGATTTCTTTCTAAGAGTCGGAAATCCAGTGCACGCAGGATACAGTATATGGAGGGTGTCACTGTCTACCTGAAGGCTGAGCACTTTGTTGGCATCTTAAGGTATGAGAGCATTTTCTCTCCACCTCTCATTCTCCCTCATTCATCTAATTGGCTTTGCGGAGAAGTGGGGAGTAGCTATAGTTTCAAAACTGATTTCATTGGAGTAGCACCTGTTTACACCAGGTCTCAATTTAGCCTTAACATGCCTGTGGAATACATTGGAAACAACTCAAGACTCTTCAAGAGAACTCTCTGCATTACAAAATTTCCTGTTAGAGGTTTTACTTTAACAAAGTTTCATTGTACCTATCTAGTGGCTTTTTGTGTTTAGCGTCTTCTTTTTTTTAATGAATCAAACTTCATGAGCTTTGCACTACAGCTTGGAGGAAGGAAGAGAAAGAGCTACTCACAAGAACACTTAAGAACTTTCTTGAGCTAATGAGAATATTATGGTGTGGAACAGTTTCAGCAAGACTTGCCAAAGTAAAATACAAACATCATGCTGGGCAGGGATATACGAAACTCCAGTGAGAAATTCTGCTAGCTTGATTTTAAACTCTTCATCCTCCATTCAGAATCCTTCAGGTGGTTTACCAGAGATTTTCCTTATATGCAAAATCTGATGGCAATCAAAGAGTGCGTGGAACCCCTTTGGAAATTTTTTATAGTCTTATTGAAACTCTTTGGACTTTCATTGAAATTCCTCAAATGTGTTTTCCAGAAGAGGACCTTCAGCTTCACTTCAAAATTCACTTTGGCGGTGCAATTCTCAACTTATCCCTGGTGGATGGATGCAAGGTGGTATATGCAGTGTAGTGAAACCCACTTCCTACTAACTATGCGTTGGGCAGGGAGAAGGCGATGCATATTTCGATTGAGTCCATTGTCCAAGTATGAGCAAATAACATGGAAGCATTTAGATTTGCAGGGTATAAAAAACAGGAGGTCCCGATGGATGAACAAGGTAAATTGAAACTCTGCATAAATGGAACTCTCTCCTAAGTACAGTTAATGGCTAGCAGCTTAGTCTTACTCCTCTTCATCTGTGCAAATTCTGTTGCAGATATGGAGGCTTGACAGAATGGCTGCTTCAAAGATTATGCTATAAAATGGGGATGATTAATTATGGATGTTGGCTAAGTTAAAATGTTTCCCATACAGGCTTACTAATATGAACAAGCAGGTAGAGACCTCACAGGGGGTGGGGGGAATTCACATGGCCCCCACGTAGGCTAGAATTGACCTGATGAAACCCACCCATATTTGCACATTGGCCCAGATCTCTAAGCGGAATAGCTCAGTGGCATTATAATAAAACTGTCAGGCATCAGTATCTAATTTACACCAATATTTTTAGATTCTCTGTAGGAAAAATGTGTCTCTCCTTGCTGCTGAAAAATGAGGTGCGATTCTGTAAGGCTTGGCTGAAAAAGAACAGATGCCGACATCTCTAGAGTTAATATTTTTTCCTTAAAAACACATCTGTCATCAGCCTCCACTTAGAAGAGCAGTGAAGCACATATCTAAATAAACATGGCACTTGGCTCCAACACTGAACCTGCTTTTTGCATAGCAGCAGCTATTATTTTGTCATTGTGGGTGGAAGGTATTTGGGGCTGTTAACCAGCGGGCTTTGGTTACTATTTGGCCACATCGCTGCTCTTCACTTTTAAAAGTAATTTCGGATTACACCTTCTCATATTGTTTAAAAGATTGGCTGGCACTGCAGGATTAGAATTAGCGTAAAGCTAACTGATAAACTCAGCTAGTTTATACAGCTGAGAACATTGTGGCCTGGAATGTACGCTGAAGAGCAAAAGAGGGAAATTAGTTTATCTTGGGTGAGTGTTCACCATTTTGAGGAAATGAACATCTCCTCCGCTCCAACCTTCTGACCCTTCCTTGAGAGATGTATTTGCTGCACTCACCCACGTCTCCAGCTGAAGAAAAGAAATAGAAGGTAGGTTTTACAACTTCCATTCCATCCCATAGCTAGCATTTCCCCAGCTCTAAACTACAACAAACACATCTGCTGCCCCAAGAGGTTGACCATCTCAGAGCAAGGATAACCAAGGGAGGGAAGGAAGAGGGAATGGTAACTTGCAAGAGGGAGAAGAACGGGATCTGCAGGGGTAACAATAAGAGCCACTGCTACAGACACGGCATTTGGATATGGAACTTGAAATTCATTTTTGGAGCTTGGAAATTTGTCCAGAATTGTTGGGCAAAATTCTCAACCTTCATTACTGAGCTGGGCTCTCTGCCATACAGTAGTTATCAATCAAATCTGTGAGAAGACCTGCCAGATTCCTTTCTGGATGCCTGTTTTTGAAGTGGTCTCAGACTGACAATAGTAGAAAAGAAGCTGCTTTGCCACAGTTATTGTGGTGGCAAAAATCTATATTAGCTGAACTTCTGTTAGCCATGCAGCCATGAAAGGCAGTGGAGCCTTGCCTAAGGTGGCAGAATTAAGTGAGCTGGGTGAGGAATGATACTTCATTCCTGGTTTGTGGAAGGGGACCCTGGATGTGCTGCTCTTGTAATTAACTTCTACCTTCCTTCATTCAATTGTATTCAAAGCAACTTACAACGGTAAAATAAGAATATAACATTACAAAAGTAATGCTCTAAAAGCAACTCTGTCAAATTTTGGAAGACAAAACCACAGTATAATATGGTGTAGACTCCTTTTTTCTGTAGTGGCTCCCCCCACGTCCACCCCACCCCCGCTGCACTCAGGCCTACCTGTGTGCCTACCTGGTGCCAAGAAAAGACATTTTTGTTTTCCTGGGTATTTGGGCAGCACCAGTTGTATTTTATGGTTAATCAGTTTTAAATGTATTTTTGTAATGTTGTTGCTGCATTTTTCACTTGCTAGTAAATTGCTTCAGGATTTTTTAGTGGGAAACAATATGCAAATTCAATAAACCTAATCCTAGTTTCAATTATTGCGTTGGAGATTCTTCACATTCAATCCTACGACCTCCAGGACAACACAGATACTTTGCTACAGATAAATTAGGTGTGAGCTTTTCACCGTGAACTTCAGCAGTCAAAAGTACTACTGTAAACAACTACATGTGAATTCTGTATAAATATTTGTCTCCCTTCCCATGACTCCTCCAAAACACGGTGTTGGCCAATAGGACAGGTTGTTTGATTGCGGTTAAGGTGAGCATTGGCTACGCTGATTGGAGATGATGAAAGCTGGACTACAACACTAGCTACCCTGACATATGAGACCCATAATACATTATGTGTAAATTACACACAGATCATCTGCACATTTGCCATGATATTGGGTGCATAGGAGATTATATAATACATGTGATGCATAATACTGTGTGCAGTTTAAAAAGGTCTGAGAAGACTCTGCAAATATGCTCTAGTTTTGCAAAGTTTCCTGCAGATGTTCTCAAACATTTACTGTGTAAGCATGTGTACTGCTTAACTAGGTATTATATTTCCAGTCTCCTATGCCTGTGTGTTTCGAAGAACAAGCAGGATTTCCTGTTGGGGCAACCCTTTGATAGCTATGCTGAAGGAAGTGGAATGTGTGAAATCCTGTATATCCGGAGATTGCATCAGCAATAAGTGTGGAATGCAAATAGTCTTTAACAGGAAGTATGTGTGTGTTGCATGTGTCTAGGCACACCAACAACATACTAGAGAAAATGCTTCAGAAAATTTGTAAGTAGAAGTGCTCCGTAATAAAGTAGCAGGCCGTATAATGGCAAAAGAAGAAAACTATACAAATAAAGGATTTATAATGGGGTGCATGAGGTAGGTGTGGGTGTTTGTCTGGAGTTCATAATAGGCTCCAGAGCTACATGTATTGGGAACTACCATGGATGCAGGACTTTCTGATGTTTCTACTGCAGCCATTCAGTTGGCTCAACAAACATGCTGCTTTTTCTGTTTAAAATTCCACATGAACAGCAACCATAAAGAGACTCAGACTTTCACAGTCCACTATGGAGGATGGGTGTACCATGGGGTCAGTCCTAACAATCTAATCTTTATTTTGGGAAGTGGTTTTTTGCTGTCTGCTTGTTTTCTGTATGTCCGGACATCTCTTGAGATATCACTGCCTGTGCTGGTCCAGGGGGGAGGTTACTGTGGGGCGAGGTCCAGGACCTGAGTCGAGGGTTGGCAGACAGTCCTCCACGGGCGAAGCGGGGTCCACAGCGAGGAGCCGGGCAAGGACAGGAACTCTGGGGGAACTGGACTGGGTGCTGGCCGAAACAGCTCTTCAACGACGTTGCTCCCGCAACCTGGGACCGGGCTGACTGGCCTTTATCTTCTCTGAGGCCAGGAGCGGTCCCGGCCCCCAGTAGACCCGCCTCTCCTGGCCTTAAGGCGAGCACTCCTCCTGGGAGAAACCAGTTCCCTTCGCCTCTCTGCCCTGAGCCTCTGCAGTTCAGGAGAGGCTGAAGGGTTACTGGACCCAGGGGGAGACTCACCTGTAGGCACTGAGTCCTCAACCACCTCTGGAGCCAGAGTGGATTCACCTGGTGCCTGCTCCTGAGGATCCGGCACAGGTGCAGGCACTTCAGAATCAAGGCCCTGCCCCAGTTCAGCCGGCCCTGGAGGCAGGGACTCCTGTGCAGGCTGGGATTCCTCCGATTCAGCCTCTGAATCGGATTTCCAGGCCATCACACTGCCAAACTTGGCACAAGGGATCCCAAGTTGGGGGGGGGGCACTTTTTGCCAATGCTTGGTTCCCAGTCGCCATTTTGAATCAAGATGGCTGACCAAAACGCAACATGGGTGTGATTTCACCCAAGTTTTGGTATAGGTTGAGCCTCCTCTCCAAATATTGTCGCCAGACTTGGCACAAGGGTTCCTAAGGTAGGGTGACAGCCTTTGTCATTGTTTGTGGACTGGGCACAGTTTTAAATCAAGTGGGTGGCCCAAAGCATCAGTTTGGCATGTTTCTGCTAATTTTTCGGCATAGGTTTGGTGGCCTTTCGAGATAATGTCACCATTCTTGGCACAGTGGTTCCCGAGGTGGGGGCAGTGGACTTTGTTGCCATTGGGTTGTTGGGCACCATTGTGAATCAAGATGGTGAAATGAAACATGACTTTGGTATGACTGCACCCAGTTTTTGGTTTGATGCATCCAAATTCGCATGTTACACTATTCATTCAAAAAACACAATATTCTCAGAATGTTAAAGTAAACTGTAGTATAATTTTAGACAGTCAACTGAGAAGGTGAACATACATACGGTGGGAATTTTGTATTACAGTGAGGTGGATTTCTTGGTGCCAGTAAGAATAAGTTTGTTCTAATTTAGGGCAAAAGTGCTTAGAAAAGCCAACAGTCTGGCATTCAAAATGCTGTTCTTCATCTAAAAGAAGCCCTGCTTTATTAATGATGAGTGATGGCCAAGGATTTCTAGATACTGATTTCTAGTAACTTTTCATGTTGAAGTAATATTTCAATGTGCACATTATACTCAGTATTTAACTAAGTCTTTGTGTAAGATAAATACCCTTGCGGGCTGAATTCAAAAGTGGGCAACGTTGGAGCCCAAGATGGGTAGGCGCAAACCTTTTCTCTCTATTTCTGCCATCTGTTTACCAGCACTCCTCCTTGCCACCAACATTAAATTAGGGCAAGAGCTACATGTGGCCCTAAAGTCTCAAGTTGCCCAGCGCTTCCCTAAACCATAGTTGCAACTTACCACAATTTGTCATGCCAGAGGAGGAGACAGGAGCTCATAGTCCTGAGGGTCATTCACATAGCACTGAACTGTGGTTTAGCATTACAGTTCAGTATGACATTCGGCTCTTGAAAACAATTAAATAGAAAGCTTTTGTGTATTTGGTAGTGGAACAGGTTTAGAGGCAATCAAGCTTTTTCAATTATTCCGAGTGTCCCTCTTTAATTTAATTCATGAAGGCTCTTCATTAGTAAGCATGAATTACAGTGTTATGAACAGGAAGTTATTCTCTGCACCCATGGGCAAACAAAACAAAACCCCCACCTATTTTATATAATTATGCAATTTGTATTGTCTTAACAATTACAAAAAAAGGAAACTAATTATTGGCGTCTTTTTTCACATGCTGAAATGAGCAAGGGCTCATGGGCTCAATTCTGACACCATACCACCATAAGACACTTTAACTATTATTTAAGTAATATCTGAATTGACAAGCCAGAAACCATGGTTTGAAGTCAAGTTTGCATTCCTGTGTTTATGCTAACTATGGATTGGCATGATGCCTGAATCAAGAAACCACAGTTATGGTTGTTGTTCTATGCCTTGAGGCTGTTGCTTCACAGAATGAATTCATGGAGCAAAGTGCAAAGAGGGTGAGTGATTTAAGCACACAAGGAAGTGACAATCATGGAGTCCATGATATATGTCTTGTTTTATCCTAAGCCACAGTTTGGTGTGATATCTGGTAAAACTATTGAATTCAATGAATTAAAAGAATAATAGATTATACATTGTGCAAAGTGTTACCAGTGGTGAATGGAATATATTAGATTCCTGTGTTGCAAGTTTAATTGAGCTTCTCTGCTAAGAGGAAATTCTTTGACATCATTACGATGTACTTTGGCTAAAAGCCTGACATGCTGAAGTGTATTTTTGTGATCTCAGGAAGCACAGCCCCTGGAAAGTAGAATAGATGACAAACAGCAGCATTGATTTGGCCCTTGGCACCACACACTTCAGCTTGTTTGCCGGTTGTTAAGAAGGAAGATGGCTGCAATTCAGTGGATTCCTTTCGATCCGAATTACTAGCTGATGGACAGTACAAAAATTCATTGCAGCTGGATGCACCTATAAAAGCTTAATTCCAAAAGAGGAACCAGTCCATAATTGCTTGGGGTTCTAAAGTCCCAAGAATTTTACATTACGCAGACAAGGAACCTTGTATGAAACCTGGCGGTGTGTCCTGTCACATGATTTTTTCATATGTTTAACTTTTATATTTATAACATCAAAACTTACAGAACATATTTTAACATTTTGGATGCTGCAATTTCCTATTTTTTAATGTGTCGTACATCATTTAGATTTAGCACACCCACACGAAATTGTGAGTTCCCGCTCCCAAATAAAATAGATGGTATTAGGCTAGCAAGGTACAGTGTAGTTAGTGAGGGTATCATTTTTTTAACTTAACCATTTCCAGGTAGTACAACAGCATAAATAACATTGCAAGTAATGGATAACACATGGAAAGGAGGATGAATCAAAATAATCTTGGCAAGCCCTGGTGCAAGAGTTTGTCCATTTGATTTCTGCTCTTCCCTTTGTGCCATATTCATGACATGCACACAAGGCTTCAATCCCACCAAAGAGACGCAAAAGCACTTTCTATTTCAGTGTGAAAAAGCTCTCAGCTCTACTATTAAGTTCAAATTCAGTATGCACCAACAAATAATAACATAGTTCAGATTTATAGCTACCGTGGCTGTATAAATGAATAACTAATATGTTTGGATTGGACTGGTGAGGAAAATTTCCCTTTTTTCACCATTTGGTAAATGCTGAGGTAAGAAACATTTGGTCCTCTTTTGGAATTAAACTTTTTATAGGTGCATCCTGTTTGCATCCAGCTTTTTAATTGCTTATTCTCTTGTAACATCGGGTTACCTTCATAATATTGCTTCAGTATTATTGGGGTAGGAGAAAGATGTTATAAGCAGAAAGGTTTGAAGTTGACATGCTCCCTGTTTTGCTAGCTGTTATCTTTCTTTAAAAAAACTTGCAACAGATAATTTCTCACTGGGGTCTGAGTGATCAATATGCACTAGATACTTAAAGTAGCATCATAGCACTTTAAACAGCCATGGCTTCCCCAAAGAATCTTGGGAAGTGTAGTTTGTGCAGGGTGCTGAGAGCTACAATTCCCAGAAGGGTTGATTGCCCCAACACCAGATGGAGGAGCACAGACTCACTGTTTCTGCCTTAAACCACTGAAGGTGTCTCTCGCTTGACCTACCTGCTCCTTTGGATAACCTCATCACTCATGCATCATGAAAAAACCTTTTGGGCATGGTGCCTGTTTCTAGACTTCTCCCGCGAGCAATTGGACCATTTTTCAAAAGTTGTAGGTTTAGTTCTCTGATAACCGCACCTGCACACTCTTGAAAAAGAAAAAAAAGGGGGGGGGGATCTGTTCTCTGAGCTGCCTAAGTGGAAAAAATCATTTCAGAGTTTCCTGACTGATTCATAATTCAGAGCAGCAGTTTCAGACCGCAATATACTTTGCATCCCTGGATGCTATGTTGAAAGGATTATGAGCGCAGGCCTAAAGCTGTGTGCATTCAGGATGTTTCAGCAGCCCCCCTTGGGGCAAGTTGGAGGGGGGAAGAAAGGCTGTGTTCTTTTCAGACAGTGCAGTGTCTGAAAATCTTATTAAAGTGTGCGTATGCAGTAAAGATAATGCTTTATTTTGGGTACTGTATTGGTATTAACATTAGAATTAAAACGTCTCAGTAAACTCATCACACACCACAGCTTCCTCCTCTGTGCTCTAGAGAGGTAGAGCATTTATATTACTTGTCTCTCAAGAGAGTTTAGAGAGAGATCCTGAATGCATGGGGCTGTGGACAACCCATAATTCTTTCATGCCTCTAGGAGCGCAGAGTTTATTGCTGGCTGCTTGTGCTGCTTTAAATTATAAACTATACAGGAAATTTAAATGAGACGATCTGGAGCAAAGATTTCTTTCTTTCTTTTTTTCAATATGAGTTGATTGCAGTCCTTTGTGGGAGACACAGAACAGGTTTTGCTGCAGCGGAGGTTGCTGCTGCCCATTCATTCATAGCCGCTGTCCATTTATTGTCTTCTGAAATGAGAAACAAAAGCCACACCGAAACAGAATACAGTGGACGCTCGGGTTGTGAACATGATCCGTGCGGGAGGCATGTTCACAACCCGCAGCGTTCACAACCTGCAGTGGCGCGTCTGCACACACGCAGGTTGCGATTCGACGCTTCTGTGCATGTGCGACTGCCGAAACCTGGAAGTATCCCGTTCCGGTACTTCGGGGTTTCAGCGCATCCGTAACCTGAAAAAACCCAACCTGAAGCATCTGTAACCCGAGGTATGATTGTATTGTTTAGGCTGATAGCTCTGTTTGGTAGTAGAGACAATCTTTTCTCTGTATGCGCAACGCCCAGCAGATGAACTGTGCTCCCTGACCAGGGCCTCTCTGTGCTTATATACATGTTGATAATATTTCATTTAAAGGGCTGGGTTGGCCAAAACAATATTTCTTTCACAGTTTGACCTTCACCCTCTCTATTTTATTCCCAAGACCTTTATTCTACGTTGTACCGTATAACTCCAAGGATAGCTCTTTATTCTTTTAAAAACAGTCTTTCTCAAAAATCCGGCCTCATGTTCCCGTATTATTTTCTCATTTTCTAGTGCCTGCTTATGGGGGATTTTTGCCTTCGTTTTTAGCTCTGTGTTTCCCCTCACAGTGGTAGTATTTAGAGCAGCAATTGTCTGGTGTGGAGGCAGCAGTCTGCCTCTCCTGTCTTTTGGATCCAACTTTCCCTCGGGAGAAGTCACAAGATTATAGAAAGACGACTTGAAATAAAATAAAGTAACAATTTCAAACCTGAAACCAAATTTAACTCCTTTTGTAACTCCATGAAAAAAGAAAAGAAAGATTTTAATGGATAACAAAGGTACATGTAACGTCTCTGTTTTCAATTAATAAGAGCAGGTCAGTTACATTCGGTATGAGATGCTGCCAGTGCTTTTTTTCTTTAAAAAAAAAAAGTTTAGGGGTACTCTCATTTTGACTCAAGAAAATCACCATTTTATAGTTCAAATTGGGGAAAATAAATATGGTAAATGGACAAAAGTACAAAGATTCACAAAATGTTTAGGCCATAGCTGTCAACCTTCCCTTTTTTTGCTGGAAATTCTCTTATTCTAGCGCCGTTTCCCACTGCTTCCCGCTGCTATCCTGGACTGTTAGATATCCCATAGACTGTCCCTGGGACAGGTGAGGCTGCTGATCCCTTATTTTCAAATCTGAAAGTTGACAGCTATGGTTTAGGGGTATACGTACCCCTGTGTCTCCCCCCCCCCCCAGAAAAAAGCACTGGATGCTGCTATCATAGGCATTGTGAGGTCAGGGCAGAGAGAAGGGGGGAGAAAGAAGTGGGGAATAACGATATTTCATTCTTTTGCATAGTGTATGTGCACAGTTTCTGTATCAGTGTCAGGTGGGCTCCCAGCACCCATAACAAACCAAATTCCCCAAGATTCTTTCTGGGAAACCATGTGCTTCATATGTTGTGGATGTTACAATATGCTGAAATGCATTGTATAAGATTTGGCCTATGAAGTGTTTGTATAGATGAGAATCTCAGCTTTCCTGCTGGATGTGTTTTCAATACGTTAGCATTTAATTAAAGTGTGTTTAGAGAAGTGTGGCTCAGGCTGCACATTCTTCAGCTGTGTGTTCTCTAACTGACCCTATTTTCTTTTAGGGTGGCAGGACACAGTGCGTACAGGAAGTGTGCCCCATTCTTTCATGTCCCCAGCATCTCAGTCATACTCCATCCGGACAGTGTTGCCCAAAATGTTTGGGTGAGTGGTTGTTTAAACAGGCATATTGCATGTACTCTGTACGTTTTCTTTCAGACAACTCACAGACACTTGAGGAAGCTTATGCATAGTTATATAGCACAGAAATTTTTTGAAAGAGAACAATTGCATCAAATAAATGGAATATAGTTAGAAAATGGTGTTATCATGATTATTTTCATTTCCCCCCTGTTTTTCTTTATCGGGAATTAGGCCAAATCTTGGCCACTTAAATTTGGTTTTGTATAGATGTCAGATGTACTATTTACTTTGGAGAATAAATGTGATCTTCGGAACTGGATCTGCAAGATTATTATGTACATCTGTTTTTGCTCTCCCCAAATGAGAGCAATTCTGTATGGTATTTTATTTATTTATTAAGACCATTTTAAAACCACCCTTCACCCAATGATCACAGGGTGGGTTAAAATAATATTTAAAAGAGGCTACAACTATCCAATGATTAGAGCAGATAAAACTGTAATGCACTTGAAAATGTTTTGCAGAAACAGACTGACATCCAGATGCAACATTAGCAAAGTTGTGGTTTGCTTGGTTGTTTTTTTTTACAGTCAGGTGGTATATAAATTGTATGAGATAAATAAATAAAACAGTCGTACTTCTGGGTGGGTTGGGGAAGATGTTCCATAACCAGTGTGTCACTACTCAGATGGCGCTGTCCCATATCACCACCCAGTGTATAGAAATATAGAAATTCTGGTGGTGAGAAAAGAAGGGCTTCCCTTCCAGACTGAAGAATCTGGTGAGGCTGCTGCAGGGAGGCATTTATTCACATCCCTGGTCCCATGTTGTTTAAGGTCAACACTGGCACCTTAAATCAGTGGTCGGCAACCCATGGACCGGATGCAGCCCACGAAGACCGTTTTACCAGCCCACGAGCCACCCGCAAACCGAGCCGCCCACTTGGCAAGTCCCCCACGCGCTGCGCTAAACCAGCCCAGTGCAGGGCAGGGACTCACTGAGTGGTGCCGGAAATGGCGTCTGCACATGCGCAGATACCAAAAATTGCATCTGTGCTGATAATCGCTTCTGCGCAGGAGCGATTTCCGGTGTCTGGGCATGCGCAGAAGCGATTTCCGGCGCCGTGGACATGCGCAGGTGCAATTTTTGGCATCACGCTGCGCCAGTCCAGCCCACAGATGATTTCTGTGGGAGTGATCCAGCCCATGGCTGGTAAACCTTGCCAACCCCTGCCTTAAATTCTGCCTGGAAGCAAATAGGGAGCCAATTAAGAACTTTAAAGATATGATCATTAATAGCTACTCCAGTGAATGTTTTAGTGGCAGGCTCCTGCACTAATGATCATTTCTGGACCATCTTTCAGTAAAGCCTCTTGCAGAGAGTACATCACAATAATATAAATAGGAGGCTGCCAGGGTGAGAGTAACTGTGGCTAGGCTACTGTATCCATGAATGACTGCAGCTGGAGAACGATCTGAGGCTAGAAAGATGCAATCTGTGCCACTGAGGCTCCCGGGATGGAGTGACAAAGTTGGATCAGGGATTATCCTCAGAGTACAAATCTGTTCACTTACAGTGGTGCCCCGCAAGACGAATGCCTCGCAAGACGGAAAACTCGCTAGACGAAAGAGTTTTCCGTTTTGGAGGTGCTTCGCAAAACGAATCTGCTATGGGCTTGCTTCGCAAGACGAAAATGTCTTGCGAGTTCCTGCGTTTTTTTCCCCTCCCCCCCCTTTTTCTAAGCCGCTAAGCCGCTTATCTGCTTATCCGATAAGCTGATAAGCCGCTAAAAGCCGCTAATAGCGCTAATAGCGCTAATCCGCTAATCCGTCAATGGGCTTGCTTCGCAAGACGAAAAAACCGCTAGACGAAGAGACTCCCAGAACGGATTCTTTTCGTCTTGCGAGGCACCACTGTATTTAGTTATTTAATTTATTAAACCACAAATGAGTACAAAACCATTCTTACAACAGTAACCAATGTACAAAACCAACTGGAGGTGACAAATTCTTTTCTTGCGTTCAAAAATGGTATATAGAGTGAGGGTTGGGGTCAGTTAAATAGTTCTGCTCGCAAGAGGCAGAGCAATGACTCTTGCTAGCGCAACAGGGCTTCCTCCCCTCTCCTCTGCTATGTGACCCCTGCCCCCCGAACAGCGTGTGGCAAGAGGAAGGGGAGGTTGTTCCATCAGAAAAGCAGATATGCTTGCACTGATAGAACATTTGTTTTAGTGTGATATTAAATTCTTCCCTGAATATGTGAAATCAGCTGGCTGCTGTGGAGACTAGAAGATCCATGGATCCCTTCCAACTCTGTGATTATATCATTATTCCAATAAGGATCTCCACAACTTGCATGGGGGGAAGCATATCAGCTCAGTTGGTTAGGGCACAGTGCTGATAACCCCAAGGTTGCAGATTTGGTCCCCATATGGGACAGTTGCATATTTGTGCATTGCATGGGGTTGTACTAGATAATCCTCAGGGTCCCTTCCAACTCTACAATTCTGTGATTCTACGTGCTAATGGTAATTTACACCCTGTGTGCTAGTTAGACTCTTCCAATATTGCGGCTTCCAGGAAAGTACAGCTAACCCCATTGAGAAAAGGCTGTCTACCCAGTTCCCTGACCCAAGAACTACCACCCCACAGCTCTTCCAACTTGTTGGGATCAGCCTCAGTTTATTGGCCCTTATCCAGACCACTACTGTCCCCATCCAACACCTGCAAGACATCCCTGTGGCTCCAGTGATAATGAGAAATAGAGTCCTTGACACCAGCATATGGCTGATGCCACTCCCCAAACTCAGCAGTAGTGTTCCAGCACTACTCCAGAGGAGCATCTCTCGAACTGGGCCAGGCATCGCCTACGTGGCATCTTCCAGGTGTTGTTGTAATACAGCTCCCATTATCTCCGACTATTGGCAGTGATTTGCTGGGGATGATGAAAGTTGTAGGCCTAGTTGTAGCATCTTGTTAGCTGCTGCTGAACTGAGCGGTGCATGTGCTCTAGGTGGCAAAATGGCTTGCTTCTACATGTACCTGCAGTATAAAAGGGAGATGGAATGATATAACTGGCTTTTGGGAGGATACGACAATGCAAGAGGCTTTGTTAGTGAACAAGCTAGATAACTCATTTATTGTTTCCAGCCTCGCCAGACCAATATAATGTGCTTTCATGCAATGCACGGCAATGCAAAGGATGTGTTGTCCCATATGGGATTTCTGAACATCTTGAACTGATTTTCATAGGACAGTCTTGGCGTTGACTGGGATTTTTCATATCCTGCAAGACTTGGCTGGCATGCCATAAAAGTTGTACTGAATTATCTTCTGGGCTGGTGCACATCATCACTTAGTGATTACTGCTTTCTAACTCAAAACATTACATCAAGGAGATTGTTCTGCAGGATGTACAGAGCCGATTTTAAAGACGTGTGCTTGTTGTAAGAATTGGCAATATCATTGCAGGTGGGGATTATTCAAACGTCTGTTCACAGTAGATGAGATTTGTTAAAGGCACACTGACTCCAAACCAAAATGTGACAAATATACTATAAACCAGACTCTGACAGGGCACTTGCCTTATACCAAGCACACAGACTCAAGTGCTGAAATATATTAGCTCCAGCATGAATATAAGTGCTGTAATATACATATAAGAACTTTGCACATCCAGGGTTGTCTCCATTCTCTTCAGTGTTGAAGAATGTTCCATGGCACCAAAAATGAGAGGGCCTCTTTTCCCAAGAAGCTCTCAGTGGTCTGTCAAAGCTCCATGGGATGTGTTGTTGATTCTAAAAGATGTAGTTTAAAGTGAGATGGTTCCCTAACCTTTAGTCCTTGATGGCCACCATCTTCTCTTCTCTTTGCTTCTCTTCTCATGTGGCCAAGAGAGGACCAACTGGGAGATGCCTGCCTACTCTGTAGCATCTGGGTTTCATCAGGAGTTGGCTCAGAGAACAGTCTGCAGTCAGGAAAAAGGAAGTACTTCTTCACACAGCACAGAGTTAATGGGATTTGCTGCCACAAGATGTGGTGACTGCCACCAGTTGAGATGGATTTGAAAGTGGATTAGAAAAAAATGGAGGATGAAGCTATCAGTGGGCACTAGTCATAATGGCTGGACACTGCCTCCAAATTCGGAGGCAGTGAGCCTCTGGATACCAATTGCTGGTTAACAACTGCGGAGAAGGACTAATGCCCTCAAGTTCTGCCTCTGGCCTTTCCAGAAACATCTGGTTGGCCACTGAGATGGGCTTTTGGTCTAATCCAACAGGAATCTTCTTCTTCTAGCTCATTGTGGAAGATCCTTTCCACCTTCCTCAGACTTTGCCTCCAGATTCTTAGAAGAGAGGCAAGTGTTCCTGTCCCCAGAGATTTTTCATACTGCAGCCAATTCTCTTTTCCATTCCAATGCAATAGAGCAGATGTGTTTGTGGGCTTGTGTGAGGCAGTAGGATGAGGATGAAATCTGGAAAACAGGTGTGAGGGAGAACAAGTTTTGAGGTGGCAAGCAAATGTGTCTCCTCTCAATTGTTTCCAGATATTACATACATAGTTATATCAAAATCCTCTCCAACACATCTGCTGTGTTGCGATGGTTCTGTTACAAGACAACCTGTAAAGGCTATTGGCCTGTTGTGTTAGGTTAGTACTGCTATCCAAACCCTTAACAATCTTTACAACAACCCCTCCAATAATTAGGTCCGAGTAATCATTCACCCAGGAATTATATGATTTTATTCATAATCGTAATAGAGGGTTGAATCCAGACTTTCCATCATGTGCAGAGTAGACTCATAGGTATAAATGGGGCTTAAGTCATGACCGATTTAAATCCTACTGGTATCAGTATGTCTGCTTTAAGCATGACAAAATCATAGAGTCCAGAGTGAGCTCTTAATTTTGAAATGAAACTTTTGAAAGCAAAAATACTTTTTTGCAAACAAAAACAAAAAGTACAGTATAGTTGTGCATGCTAATCATCTCTAGAAAGCCCAGGCATTTAAAAGTTTATTTCCAGGTACAGTACTGTAGTTTATTAGCACTGGTGTAGTCACTTTGCCTCCTTTCCTCAAACTGTAAAATGGGGATAAATCTACAATACAATGTTGTCTGTGTCTGTACTTCAATACTGAAATAGCAGTGCTTGTCCAAAATGGTGACAAGTATGAGGGCAATCAGATATAAGGGACTCAAGGGTTGTCTTGTATGACCTTAGAGTTTTACGTCTTTCTGAAACAAAACAAAATTCTTAGTAAAGAGCATAGAAGCACATTTTAAAGTTAGGCCAAGCCATAAAACATGGGCTTTGTGTGTATAAAACCCAGGTCCAGTTCTTGGCTTTTCCTAAACTAAGGCAACTCCATTGTTGCAATACATTTTTTTGTTTTGTTTTTATGGGATATTAATCGTACATTTGTAGAAATCGTTTTATTGCATTTAGTGTTTGTAGAGATGTTTTTAATTGTTTTTAGAACTTGTGGGGGGTTTGTACTTTATCTAATTTTTTATCTTGTTGTACACTGCTTCCTTTGGTTGCAGGCTGTGAAGCAGTCCATAAATGGGTTAGTTGGTCAATTACCGGTAATTAAAGTGAGACCTGCAGCTAAATGTTGCAGTGTATAGTGTTCCTGTCCTAGATATTCCATTCCACTAACCCTCCCTTCTGGTTTCTCATATTCATCTTCAAAAGTCAGTTTGGGTTCCCCACATTAGCTGCCCCCCCCAAAAAAATATAAATAAATTGTGGTTCTTTAAAACTTGGGGTTTCACCAAGCTTATTGATGTCTCTTTCTTGTGGGTGATGCCGTTTTGGCCACATGAGAACTGGTACCCAGATAATTGAGTTTACTATTATTTTGCAAACAGATCTCTGGCAGCAGGGCTAGGAAAACCCTCTACCTGACCCTCAGACGTGCCACTGGCCATGGGCTAGATGGATCAATAGTCTTATGTGATTATCATTTATCCATACATTTATTTATTTATTTATTTAAACTTATTAGTCGCTTGTCACCCGAAGGTCTCCAAGTGACCCAGCAAAGAAAAATATACAGTACATAATACCATAGGGAGGAAGAGGGGAATCATCTAATACATTAATTTTTGATATGACATCTGTGGAAAATACATACTAGCCATGTAAATAGTAGTAAACAATATTAACAATATTCAAATAATAAACAGAGCAATACTCTGACCTGCTTATTAGCAAATGAACAAAACTTCTGTTCCCTCTATTCCAAAAATCATTCACATCGACCCGACAATTTTTCCCATTGAACCTAGAAGTCTAGTGTCAAGGCAAGCTGTTACAAATAAGTAGTTTAGAATCCCTCCACTGCACACGTTTTATAGAGATTTGCCATCGTCCTATCTTTGCCTTAGGTAATCAGTAATTTCTTCAAAACAGTATAAAAAAGGTTAAAAAACAAGTCCTGTATAAATGGATTAAAACAGAACAATCCAGTCAATAATAGTTTGCAGATGAGCAATAGCTATCTTTGTTGATGATGCAGCTCCCTTTAAATCACATTCTTTTTCCTGTGTTTGTATTTCCCAGGGCAGAGGAAAGTGTTTGATCTCCCATTTGGAAGCTGCCTCTTTCACAGCGATGTTTATGACAATGGAGCCTCTTTTGCATACGACAATTGTACTAAGTGTACCTGCAGGGTGAGTTGGTAGTAAACCCTTCTTCATGCCATTTTCATGGTACAGCAGTGATACCTTTATAGTTTGGGGGCTACAGTGCTTGCTCCCGTTGACTTTCAGATGCATCTCTTAGTAAAGTAAGACCATCTGGGGCCCTTCTTCTTGTGTCTCCTCTGTGAGAGGCCCGGAAGGTGGCAACAGGAGAACGGGCTCCCCATTTGTGCAATGCTCTTCCCAAGGAGACTCACCTTTGTTATATATCTTTAGGCACCAGGCAAAAGTATTCCTCTTCTCCCAAGCCTTTGACTAATTAAACCATTTTGGCCATTTAAACTAGGTGTGGGGTACCGTTTTTGTTTGTTACTATGTTATGTATTTTTGTGTTCTTATGTAAATCACTCTGTGATCCTCAGATGAAGGGTGGTATAGAAATTGTGTGTGTGTGTGTGTGTACACCCTTGTGCAAATTAATTGAAACAAATAATGTAGTTTATTGTACAAAGCTCACATATGCGTACATTAGTAACGGATATGACCTCCGCTATTTTAAAGCAGCATTTGAACATGGTTTTGCATGGAGTCTACTAGTTTTGAACAGTCACTGTTGATTTTCGGATCCCTGTACCACACTTGAATCAGTTCCTGAATGAGCTTCTCCATAGTCGTACAGTCTACAGCACAGAGGCGACTTTTGCAAATACAGTGGTACCACTGGTTACAAACGCTTCTGGTTACGAACGCTTCAGGTTACGAGCTCTGCTAACCCGGAAGTAGCTACTCCAGGTTGCGAACTTTGCCCCAGGATGCGAATGGAAATTGTGTGCTGGAGGGGCGCTCACAGCAGGATGCTCCATTAGCGAAAGCGCGCCTCAGGATAAGAACGGTTTCAGCCTAAGAACGGACCTCTGGAATGAATTAAGTTCATAACCAGAGGTACCACTGTAGCCCACAAATTCTCAATGGGATTTACGCCCGGGGAATTCCCTGGCCGATCAAGTACCTGTATTTGCTGCTCTGCAATGAATTTCTTCACCACTTTCGATGTGTGACAGGGGGCTAGGTCCTGCTGCAATATCCCAGTACTGTCAGGATACCTCTTTTCCAGCTCTGGAATAACTCTCTTTTGTAGAACATCAGTATATTGTGGCGAGCGCATCATTCCTTCTATTGGTTGCAGACTTCCGACACCATAATGATCAACTGACTTTTTGTGTTTGTTTTGAGTACAGGATTACGAGTAAGATAGAAAACATGCTTTGTTTCAATTAATTTGCACAAGGTTGTGTGTGTGTGTGTGTGTGTGTGTGTGTATGGAGTAGGCACAGCCTGAAAGGTTCAGTGTTCCTAGCCATTTTTCTTGTGTCAGTCCCCATGCATATTACATCTGTGTAGATATTCTTACTGTGTTATTGTAGCTTCCATTGTCTCCATAGTGGCATCAGTTTAGCAACCACTTCATGTACCCAGTAGCCACTAATTGAGGAGGGAATGTTATCCTCTTCACCCTCTTATCTGCACCCTCTCTCCCTCCCTTCCTCTTTCCATGTAGGATTCCACTGTGGTGTGTAAGAAGAAATGCTCACCTCCTGGAGATTGCATTAAAGGCAAAGAGCAGTGCTGCAAGGAGTGTGTCTCATACATGTCCCCAGAGAAAACAAAAGTGTGCAAGTTTGGCAACAAGATCTTCCGGGTAAATGCCCTTTTTTAAAAAAGAAACTGCCCCACACGGGTATCATTGCAACACTTGAGTAATCATCAGGTTGCAATGAATCCAGAGCAGTGGTTTTATCTTTTAGTAGTGCAGAGAGGCTCCCACACAAGGAATTAAAATAAAACAGAAAAAAGAGTAGCTTTCTGCAGTCTGGTAAACTGACTCCTTTCTGCCTAGGCAGACAGCCGTGCTGCTTCCCTGTGCTATAAAATGCATTATAATGATGTGATTCAGTTTCCTTAGCACATCCCAATAGCTATAGTAAAGGTACCGCATTTTTCGCTCTATAAGACGCACCAGACCACAAGACGCACCTAGTTTTTTGGAGGAGGAAAACAAGGAAAAAAATATTCTGAATCTCAGAAGCCAGAACAGCAAGAGGGATCGCTGCACAGTGAAAGCAGCAATCCCTCTTGCTGTTCTGGCTTCTGTGATAGCTGCGCAGCCTGCATGCGCTCCATAAGACACACACACATTTCCCCTTACTTTTTAGGAGGAAAAAAGTGAGTCTTATAGAGCAAAAAATACGGTATTTCTCTGTGGCCTGTATAGAGCATGGCTGAATAGACAAAGGCAAAATGGAACCTCTCTTCCCACCCGCAGGTGAGCCAACAGGAGCTGAATTCACCTTTTTGGATATAAAGTACACAGCTATAGATACATGCAGTGCTTCATGAGTTGGGAAGGCATGCGGTATTAATCTACTCCTGCCCTCCTTCTACCCAGGGTCATTGGGGATTCCCTCCCAAAACACTTCCCATATTATTGGGTGCCTGCTTGTTTTTTCAAGCCATGCAGAATTTCTCTCCCCCCCCCCTTCTGTTGGAACTGATTTCTGACACTGTGTCGACCATCTGTGTGTTGAGAGATCCAGGGATCAGATGAAAAGTTAAATCCCTTATGCACATAGTATTTACTCAGCCACTGCTGCTTTTCATTAATTTGCACTCCCCACACACACATTGCACAAAGCTGCACTGTACGTAGGTCCTGGAAACCCAGTTTACAGTCAATTGAAAGGAACTACTCTTCATTCAATTGGTGCTTACACACAGAAAAACCATTGTGCCACCAGCCAATTGTCTCTTTCTTACATGCATTCTTTCTTACACACACACACACACACACACACAAATGCACGACTCCTTGTGATTATCATATTGACTTGTACTCAAAGGAGCTACTTCACGTGCATACAAAGGATTGACTTTTTTCTTTAAACCCAAGTGCCCAAGCCATACACTGCTTTTGAAACACACCTCAGTTTCGAAATAGGCATTTGAAGTCTGGGGTTTGGTAAGACTGCTGTTCCAAAAACTCATGTCTAAAAACCACTTCCAGGTGCAGAAAATTCAGATCTTGGGATCCAGACTAGTATTCCACAGAACAAAATATCAGAATTATAACAGCAGACAATGACTGTCCAGCCTCTTACAGTGGCATAGTCAATGTGTACAATCATTCTTATTTCCTAAGGTTGTATTCACTTTCTAGGGAGAGAGGCCCATGGAGCATAATGAGACTTATTTCTAAGTAAATATGTGTAGGGTTGAACTATTATACAGTTAGTTGTCTCTGTTTCTTGTAGTTCCATAGACATTGCGTTTTGTGGAAAATAGCCTTTATTTTGTTTTGCCTTTAATACTTGCTTTGGTCTGTTGAGATGTGTTAATAATTATTTTTTCCATATGTCCACTACTTCTTGGTTTATTGCCTCAGTTTTCAAAACTGGGATTATAAACTGAGCAATCTGAGGGGGATCACTTTAAAGCCAAGAAAGGCGTTGTAAAGTTCAGAAAAGTGTAAAATCAGATTATTTTCTGATCCACACATTAGTCTAAAGAGTGCGGATGAGGTCAGCTCACATTAGAATTCAGATAAATTGAATTCCTCAGGTGTCTCTCTTCTTCATTAATTAAAATATTATGTAGAGTAGCAGAGGGAGAAAAATGATTCATGGGAAATAGTTGACTGGGAAATGGTCTTCTGAAAGCCACAAATAAAGTGAATGAGTACTTTGCAAGAGAACTTGAGAAATCCCAGAGGACTGTGTCCTAGTCAGTCATTATCTTGAGACAGATTACCCACAGTGCACCCTGCTCTCACCTGTGACTCATAGAAGCTGCCGGCATTTGATAATAAATAAATAAATGGGTTCCTCTCACATTTTTATTATATTCTGCATCACACTGATCCACAGCACTCTGTTACTATCTGCCCCACCTTCATTTCCTTCCAATAAATCAAAGGTTTCTGTAAGTTGCATAGAAAAGGAACAGTGGCTGGACCTCTGATGGGTAAAATAATGCTTTAAGATCTGCATTTGGCCCAAGCAGTCCATAAGGAAGGAAGCCAGGGCATTTCTGAAGCAGCACTTTGGAGTCACAGAGCTCTGTACCTGCTAGAGTTCTTGGGTAATTTTTGTTCTCTATCTGTTATAAGCATTTTCAGATGTTTAGTGGATCAGATGTCTGCCTTTGCACTGTAAGTAATCCAAATCTGAATTCAGTATTAAGTACATTCCTGGGTTGAAGGAGAACGATGCCACATCTGGGAATAAATTTTCAGTGTCCTGACATCTTTATCAAATACTTTCACGCGCGGTAACTTAAACATGCCAATCACAGTGGCTGTGTTGAATCAAATTTTTATAATTATGTCATCCCAAATGAGATGTTCATGATACTGTGTGATCACAACTCGAATGTTTTTCAGGAGGAAAGGCAACTAATCAGGATGTTGCTAGAAAATTCTGACACGTCTTCATTAAGCGTGCAGTAAAACTCCTCTATCTGGAAGGATCAGAGTGAAAAACCATCCCTGATGAGCTTCCATCCTTAATCCAACTGGGTGGAGATGGACATCTCAGAAGTGATTTAGACTAAACAATGACATAACTCCCCAACAGGGAGAGAGTTGCTTTTTCCTTGTATAACAGGATGATGCATTACTGGAACTGCTTCCTTCTGCTGCCCCAGCTGATGGCTGTATCATGTTCTCCCTCCTGCAGGATGGAGAGATGTGGTCCTCCGTTAACTGCACCATCTGTGCTTGTGTGAAAGGCAAGACTGAGTGTCGCAAGAAGCAGTGCATTCCAGTCAGCAGCTGCCCTCATGTGAGTGTGTGTCCTTTTCCTCCTGTTTATAAATTGATAGAGCTTTTCAGTAGAAACTTTGGCAGGCTTGGTTTACGCAAACTTGGGAAAAGGAGAACCAGAATGAGACTCCAAGTCCTGGGGCAGAGTGAAATACTCAGAACAGGACAGCACGTTTCCCCCTGTTTCTTCTGCTCTGCTCCAGACATTTCTTTCTGATTCAGTGACTTCTAATCCCAGTTTTACATCAACTAGTGCTCTTTCCTTTCATGCTGGGTATATATATAGCTCTCTCGCTTTACTTGCCTTCATTGGGTGTCTTGTGCCATAGGCATGGTGATTTGCTTAATAAGTATCTGTTTAAAATGTTTGGAGCTGGCTAAATTTACTTACTTGGAAGTATGCCTTAGTATTTCAGTGGAATTTGCTGGCATGCAAGTGTGCTAAGGATTTCAGTGTACGTTGCTAAGCTGCTCCTACAGGTGGGTGTAGGTAAAGAAAGCAGTAAATACATTTGCATAGTCTTTATATAGGGTTAGTAGACAAATTTGGCATTGCTGTTGACTGTCTCACAGACTGATGTCCTCAGATTTGCATTCATCTGTGTTTGCAAGGAGAAAGTAGCACATTTGCCAACAGCAAAAACGTAATTCAGTGCTGCCTGCAATTGCTTCCTTCTTTTAAAGAGATTTCTTGAGAGATTTTAGAGAGTTTTAGAGATACCAGAGCTGCAGCAACTATCTGCAGATGTGTACGTGTGAGTTTCAGGGTACCTCTACTCTGTGAAGATGAGCAAGTGTGAGCTTAAGCACATTTGTACTTCGAGAATGTGGTACTTAACTATGGTCTTGCCATGTAGATGTTACTGAAGCAGGGTAATGAAATCCTGCTAGATTAGAATCACTTCAGAAACGTCTCAAAAGCACCTTATCTGGTACCCCTCCCAGAGGGAATTACAAAAGGGAAAGTATATTACTTTGTACCTCTAACACTCTTGGGAACTCTGTTATACTTCAGTGTCCACGGTTATCTGCTTGTGTCTCATGTATCTTATTCTGTGCTCAAGAAAGCGAGGCGTGGTCTTAGAAAAAATAATGGATAGGCTGTTTCACAGTATTTTCAGAGAGAGTTCTTTAGAGCCATGAATCATAAAAGCATCATGTCATCAGCCATAACGGACTTCATCATCTGAAGTAGCCTCATATTACTTCCCAACAAAAAAAATCACTTCCTGTTGATTTTGAGTTAAGGCTGATTAAGTAATCTAATACTAATCTTTGTGTTTTGAGAGATGGAGGATGAAGCTATAACATTACATTTGAATGCATTTCATGAATGGGGAAAAAATGAAAATGAGAGGCTAATTTTATGCAGAATCAGTTGGCGCTGTGGTTCATAATGAATGTGTTACTAGTAATTTCACAATGCACATGCCAATGATAATGTTCATTGTACAAGGCAGTTTGGGACACTGTGTTTTGCTGCCATGCTACCCTGGTCCTGTCGATTCACCAGAATTGTTAAAATCAAGTTGTTATTATTATTATTATTTATTAAATTTATAAAATTAAAAGTTGGCACGTCTTCATTATTCTAGACAGGTTTCCTAGGGGAAACTGAAATGGGTGTTTGGTGGATGTCAAGTTACCTGCTTGCCTGTTTGGTAGCAATGTGACTGTGTAGTGTTAACAATTGGGACCTGCAACAATAGAAAACATTGCAGTGTGGATTGCTCTTCTTCAAAGATCCAGCCAGCCAACCATACTCTCTTGCACGATACTCCATTCTATATCCCCTCCCCTCTGATTTTCTAGACTCTCCTGATGATGATCCCTTTTGTGCATGGATGGTGCTATTTTGGCTACATAAAGAGCACTGAAAATGATGATAGCTCCATTAACTTTGCTGAGATTTTTCTTTAAAAGTGTTGAGAAACAACAGATGTCTGTTAATATGTCTCCTAATTTTGGTGCAACCTGTAATTTTTCTGAGTACCCCATCCCCTTTTTCCTGGATTAATAATGTCTCAATTCCAAATTAAAGCAAGTAGGCCTTCTGTATCCCGATGATGGTTGTGGAGAAGGGCCTTGGTAGAGTGGCAGAGCAAATGCCTTGCATGTAGACAGTTTCAAGCTCAATACCTGGAATCTCCAATTAGAAATGGAACATCCTCTGTCTGAAACCCAGAGAACTGCTGTCAGTCTGTGTAGGAAATACTCACACGTTGTAAGGCAGCTTCCAATGTTCATTGGGCCATTGGATGCACTGGTGTCCAGAGGACTTTGAGCCCGTTGTCTGTATAGGGGCCCAACTCTGCTCTGTGCTAGTAGCTAGGGTCAGGAGTCATCCAGTGTACATGCCAGAGAGGGGGAGTGTGCGAGGAGCACTTGGAAACTCCCACTTGTGCAAGATGAACAGAAGTCCCCCCAGGCCTAGACTGCTGTGCTTCTTCCTTTTTGGACTCTGTGGAGAAGGCATGATCCATTTTAGGAGAGGTACAGCAAAAGTGGAAGCCCCTGGGATTATGGGCCCAGTGATTTGATATCTGAAGGGGCCCTGGGACCTGCTGGAGGGCTGAGCCATTTCAGCCTCTTTCTGGACCCACTGTGGATAACCAGGCTGGTAGCCAGATGTCTGATACGGACCTGAAAACAGGTTACCAAAATCCTATCCATCGTCCTTTGCATTCAGCGACAACTCAAGGCTTAGTTGGTGTTATATGACAATCTTTAGAGAGATTAATTCTGTGGATACATTTTGAGCCTACAAATTTGGGCTTCGGATTTACTCTGGGGCCTGTGTCCCATGCCTAACGTGGACAGTATTGAATTTTTTCGTACACATCTGCTATTCTTACAAACAGAAAGAAAAGTTGCTGGTCGTACTCCAGTGCCAAATGAGGTACAAAACAACAGCAGCTGCTGCTGTTGCACAATGGAACACCACCACCACCAAGAAAGAAAGAAAGAAACCCTAATTAGTTCTGTCTTTTCAAAAGAATACGAAAAATAAAAGGATAGCGCTTGATATAAAACTGAAACTCTCATAAAACGAGGGGAAGAATAAAATATCCTACAAAATTCATAGATTCTCAAATGTGGTCTGCTTATAAATATTCATGGGCAAAATTGGAATTGCATCTCACAGGCCACTCCTAAGGGAGCCTTCAGTGCTAACGAACTCTAGCAGCACATGTTAGTAATAATGGGCTTCCTTATTCGACAAGACAAAAACAGACTCCTGTGCCAGCATAGTGGCTCAGGTAACCAGCCATAGCAGGTTGGCTGGCATACCCTAATTTTGCTTGAATTCCTTCCACTTGCAGCTTCCTTGATGGCTGCAGCCCTTTTATGAAAACACTGAGGTAAGACTATCCAGTGCAACGGAGAGGCATTTTTTCAGCTACGTACGTCCCAGCCGTGCTAGTCTAGTTTGCCCAGTTAAAACCTTCCCCTCCGGATACGGTGATTGGAGGGGGGGGAGTGCGTTGTAGCACCCCCATTAAAAGGACATGAAGGTGATTTATTACAACAGGTGCTTTATACTGAAGGAAGCAACTCTGCAAAATGGCAGCACCTTGGCTGCTTTTCTTGGGCACCAGATTATGAGTTGGTGTCAGCATTAGGTAGTCCTCCTTATATTCCTACTTTTATAATAGCTTTCCCATCGTCTGCTTTTCCTTCAGGGTGGTGTCTCCACAACAAAGTTGCGGAGTAGGTTGGGCTGAGAGAGTGGATGACTTAAGATCCAAGGTCACCAGACTTTATGGTTGAGTTGTGATAAGACCAGCCCTCTAGCTGCTATATCACAGTGGCTTTGAAGGCAGGTTTTTAATATGAAAGGTTTCAAAACCAAGGCTCAGCCCTGGAAAATAAGTAACATGGTAATGTAGAAGGATGTGCTTGTGAGCATGTGCAGAATGTATTTCATCCTTACAGCTCAGCACACTAGAGGTAATTACAGTGCTGTGCTGTGTGCTGAGCTGGTCGTCTTCCAAGTGATGAGGAGAATTTGCAAGTATTTGATTAGAAATCCAGAGAGGGAGGTGGATAATTAAAATATTCTGCACCGCTTAGAACAGGCGTCTGCAACCCGCGGCTCCGGAGCCGCATGTGGCTCTTTTACACCTTTGCTGCGGCTCTGGGGCGGATACTAGCGAGGGGAGGAGGCGCATTGTGCGCCCCGACACTCCCCACTGTGGCGGGCGCTGTACTGGCTGTGACGTTGCATGGGGGTGGTGCGTGTGTTATTTTTATAATGACGAGTTTTGCGGCTCCCAGTTTTTTTTCCTTCGGAAACGGGTCCAAGTGGCTCTTTTTGTCTTAAAGGTTGCAGACCCCTGGCTTAGAAGAACAACATAAGGATGGCCAAGGGGTTATGTGCTTAGGTGCAAAGGTAAGGCTTCCAGTCAGAGATCAGCCTGGCATATCTTAGTGCTGTATTTGACCTTTACCAGCTTTTGCTACTTGGGACCTTGATGCTTGAAGGATCGTCTCTTCCCACACCTGTTCCTTGAGGTCAGCATCCGACGCCCTTTCTGCAAGTGCCTCTGCCAAATCAGGCATCATGGTGGATGACTGTGTGGGAAAAGTCCCCCTCAGTGAGGTCCACCTGCCGCCAATTGTAATGTCTTTTCAGCAGCAGGCAAATATTTCTCTGTTCCTCCAGGCTTTTTAATTTAAGTGGTGGTTTAGGGCAGTTTTAGCTCTGTGAATTTTTATTGCTCTGTTTTGTGTTTTTAATTGATTTAATACCGAGGGGATATGTTCCTCTACTCTCTGTTTTAAAAGTGGTCTTTTTGATACTATAATTATGTTTTATTTGATACATTTTATGGTAGTTTTGTTGTAATTGGTTTTTCTTTTATTTAAAACAAGGTTCTTTTCCATCTTGTATGCTATCCACAAAACTTCTGTTATAGGACTGCCCATCTAAAGTGTGTGTGTATAAAGAAATTGTCCCATC